GTTAGTAATAGTAATAGAAACTTTCTATATATTATAAGTAGAAGTATTAAATTAATTAATTACTTTAATTTTAAATGCGGTAACTGGAGTACATTAGAGTTTATAAATTTTAATAAATTAATAGTTAATAATGTTTATCTTAGTATAACTATTTAGGTCTGTAAAAGTCTCAATACTATTTTAAATATAAATAGAAATATAAAAATAATAAGTAACCCCTACTATAAGTAAGAGAATTGAAATTGTAAAATCTATCTTAATTTTTTTATTTTTTTTTTAATTTTGATGAGAACTGATAGACTTTAACAAATTAAATCTTTCTGTTTTTAGTAAGATAATAATTTATAAGATATTAAGTATTATTATATATAAAATATTATAATTATTTACTAATCTTTCTAATAAGATTTTTTTTATAATTTAAGATATTGTTTGTAACAGGTTTATTATTATAATAATTTAAATCTAGTAATAGTTTAGTAAAGTATGATAGAGCTTTTTTCTTCTTAATTTAATAGGGAAAATATTGCTCTAAGATATTAAAATAAATATAAAACTTTTTTAGGTTTTAACTATATTGCTGGTAAGCTTGTTTAAATTAGACTATAATATTTAATTAAAGAATTATAATATTTTAAATCAAAGTAAGGGTCCAATCTTTGAATTAGAATTATAATTTTTTAAATAATTATTTTTCTTCCGGACTCTTATTATCAGTGAAATAATATTATTTTTACTTATATATTAGATCTATATAGTTAATAGCAGCAAGGATCTTACGTTCTTTAATAGAATACTTTCTAAGAATTTTCTAAAATATATATTCTAGATTGGTGATCCATTCTTGATATTTCTAGAGATTAAAATTTAATATAAAGTAAGAAATATCTTTAAATTTAATTTTTTCTTTTTTCTTATCAAGTTCGGAGAAGGATCGAGAATACTTAGATAATATTTTACTAGAAGAATGATCTCTCTAGAGATAGGCTATTCTTTGTTATAAATTATTAGCTTATTTTAACTAATAAATATAATTTTCTAACTATTAGATCTCTTTAATAGTAGGAATAGTATTTAATAATAGTTCTGAATCAGTTTAGTCACTAACCAATTTTATTTTTTTATAATTCTTAAGAGGTAGTATTTCCCTTAGGTAGTTGAAAAGAAAGGATCAGAATATAATAGGATCTATTTATTAAGGTAGAAGATTTATTAATTAGATAAGGAACTAGTTACTAAATATATAAGATTCCATTGATAATAATAATGTAGCCTATATCTATAGAAGAAGACTAATCCTTTAAGGATCAGTAGCTTAACACTGAAAAATGTTACTTTATAGTAAGTAAGGAGATTCTAAACCGTCACCGATAACCTTATAACTTCTATAACCATCCCAGTACGTCACCCTGAGGGTCCGGATCACACTAGCTGGACTACTACAGGACCAGACCATCGGTCGGACCAGTACTGATAAGATAAGACCTCCATCTAGTCCGTTCTATCACATTTATTTACTATCTTTCTCTAGGATATTTTAACTAATAAGATATAGATACTAACTTTTTAATAACTATATATATTAGCATAAAAGATTATTCTCTATAATATAATATTATGAAATTTTGGTACGTAATACTATTTAAAAATATTAAATAATTCTAATTAATAATTTTAGATTTTATATTATTTTCCCATCATATTCTTACTAGATTTATTTTAGAATACTTTAGTAGATTCTATAATTATTTATTTTTTATATATTTATCCATCTTTAATCTTGTGGAGTGTATATCTGAATTTATTTTAATAATTACTATAGTTAGAGCGCAGTATAGATTTAAAAACTATATAAACTTATCTTTTTTTAATATTATGAAAGCTGTATATATAGAATAAGTATATTATTAATTCTATAAGTATTTAGAGAAAGTAATTAGTTTATAAATAGTAAATCTCTTTAATCTGAGACTTTCTTATAATATAAGTAAAAAAAGAAAGTGGAACTACTTATAGATTATTTAAATTCTTTTATTTTTAATTATATTTATAATCTAGGATAATGATCCTGAATTATTATAGAAAATTATTAGATTTTAAATAATACTTATAGATTGTCTATAGAAAAGTATCTTTATTAAATAAATAGATATTAATTATATTAAGAACTAGCACGATTGGGTGAAAGTAACAAGAGATTAATAAATAAAATTAATTATTTTCTATTATTTGATTCTGTAGGTAATTGTCTATAATATTTTATTTATTTTTTTTAATAATAAAATTTATTTATAACTTTCCTGCTCTTCCATTTAATAAAATATAAAATCTATCTTAGAATAATTTTATATCTAATATTTAACTAAAGACTGTTAACTATTTTTCTAAGATATTTTAAAGATTTTATTAAAAAGGTATTAGTATCCTGTTTTTCAGGTATATTTTATATTACTATTAAAAAATTTTATTCTTATTTATATACTTTTATAATAATTATTTATAATTTAGTAGGTAGTAGCAGCAGCGCTTTCTAACTATATTAATAGTCTATAGAGTTAGCTAGAGTAGGTAATTAAGTTATTTATTTTTATTCTTAGTACTAATCTCTATATTTAATATAATAAATATATTTTATATCAATAAAAGCTTAGCTGGTAATATATTTTAGAATCTAGCTTAAATATTTATAATCTAAGTAGTTTTATTTTTTTTATGTTAATAGGATTTCTGGTTTTAATATATATATATTTAATTTATAATTTTAGGTCTTACTGAGAGCTGAAGTCATGGAATTTAACTTATATTATAATAATACTTACTTAATTATTTTTTATTAATTATAGTTTTTACTTAGTTTTAGTCTTTCTTTATTTAGCGCATACTATTAATATACTAGTTAAACTAGGTATTAATTTTATTATAAAAAGCTAGTATTTTTTTTAGAATGTTTAGTAATGTGTTTATAATCTTGAATATATTATTTTCTTAAATTGATAGCTATATTAGGTTAGATAATCTAAAAACTATAATTTAATAAGTGGTATACTAGTTTTCCTACTAAATTATTTATATATTCTTTTCTTATTTTTTATTGATCTACTAATTTTTATGGATATTTCAGAAAGTGAAGAATATTTTTTATTATAGATTAGATATATTATAGTAAAAATGTCTGTGTATCCTAACTAAGTTTTACTAATAATAATAGATAGTAAAGTTAAATTAGATTTATTTTACTTAAAATTACGCGTTATTTAAATATAGGTGAAAATATTCAAAGGTAATACAAGCTAGAGATTAGTAAATATACTAAAAAAAAGTCTAGACTTATTAATATTAATAATAGAGAATAGCTTTCTGTGGATTAAGAGATTATAAATTATTATAAAAAACTATATATATTACTAAGGAGATTAATAGATTATAATTAATAATAATATAGTTTATTTTTTATAGTAGATATGAATCTTATTTCATTATAAATTTAGCTTTTATAGTAATTAAATCTAATAGATTTGATAGGATTGGGAGTGGGGATAGGTTAAGAATATATTTCTTAATTTTCTATAGTTAAATAATGTTAACTAAACCTTATAAAGTAATTTTAATAATCTTATTAACTATTTTTTAGAGATTTTTTTAAAGTAGCGGACAAGTTTTAATAATATATAATTATTATTTTAACTCCCTGTAAATTAGTCATATCTAATTAAATATAATATTATTAAATCTTTAGAATCGGGTAATTAATATTATGTATTATCTTAATAATTTTGATATTAAAGTTATATATAGATTGTTCTTAGATTTTCCTAACTTCTATTTTTAATTTAGTCTAGAATCAGCCTTTTAAGTATTAGGTAAACTAGATAGTTTTAATAAGAAAAAAATATTTAAGTTCTTTAATAACTACCACGGAATTATGAAAGAATTTAATATAAGTAAGGATTAATAAATTTATTTAATATCCTCCGTGTACTTATATAATATTTATTAGAACTGTAGTTTCTAGAGCTAGATTTTATTATTAAGAATAGTTATAGTGTGATTTATTATACTAGATCTAATATAGGTTCTTATTTTCTAGGTGAATGAAGAATGATAATTATTATAATTAATTTCTATTTTATTTTAATAAAATATTTTAATTAATAATCAGTCCTTCCATAACAAGTACTCTTAATTTATTAAATTTAATAATAATAGGAGAATTATCTATATAATTAAAATAATTAATAGTGGTTTGTTTTTATACTACTCAGTCCTATTTTTTTTTAATCTCTGGTAATTTGTGATTAAAACTAATAAAATTATAATATATATTATTTAAGTTATGTTAAAATTAGCTATATCTTGAAGTACCTATAATAGATTAATAGGGATTTGTATCTTCTTAGTGATATTACTATATATAAGAACTCTGGTATGATTATTGAAACAGATTCTGTTTATTTATATACTTAGTTAACTAGTGTAGGATTTATACTGTTTAATCTAATATTTATAATCTTAAGAAATAATGCATCGGTCAAGCCTCAAAAAACTCTAGTAAGTATAACACTATCTTGTGCGTAGCCAGGGAGTATTTAGTAGCACTGATCCCAGTGAAATCTTGATACTAAACTAGTATTATACTACTCGGAGTCTTTTCCCTCGATCGGCACAATCTGTGAGTGGCTTTAAGGGTGGAATTTTACAGGAGGAATCAAGTGATTTAAATAGAGGGGAACTGTGAGTCATTGTGAAAGAAGAAATAGGGGGGCGGGGGCTTGTGTCGGAAATTGAGTGGGGGAGGGAGGGTACAAGGGTAAAAGTATCCGTATGGTATACTGACGCACTCTCGTGTACGGAGTAGTAGCTCAGAAAAGGAACGAGTATTCAACTCCACTAGTAAGAATCGCCGTGTAGGAGAATGAGGTTGTGCGTGGCAGTAGTGGTAGACGCAGGAGGAAGAGCGGGACGCCCCTTCGGAGATCCGAAGACCTCAGAGGAAGGTGCCCCTAACCCAATCTGACCAGTGCTTTACTAGGCAGCCGTTCTACCGTACTGATACATGATACCTAGTAGATCCATGATCCTCAGTCCCCAGACCCCTCCTGTGGAGTTATATATTTCTGTTTAATGTTACGTGAGAAGCCAGGTGAGGCTGAGGTCTCGCCGGTGGTTGGGCAAATGGAGGGAATCAGATCAGGCTTGAGAATTGAAGAGGCAGTTCCGGACAAGAATGCTGTAGACGATGTATAGGACCATGACCAGGACACCGAGGAGCGGAGTTTATTACGGTCATCGTGTTAGGTGCGCCGTAGAGAAAGCTCAAGGAGTCACCCCGATCGACTGCTAATATCCACTTTCAACCAATCCCGCCACTCCTGGTCATTAAGAATGGATCTTACACGGGCCTCGAGCCATTCGGTATTCCCCCAGAACCCCCACGAAGCCTGGAACCGGCACCAGTCCACCAATGCCACCTCCCAGTGCCGCTGGAAGAGCTCCCATGGGTACGGGTCCGACGCTTCCCCCTCAAGGAGCCGGGTGCGGTACCATTCCAACAGACGCTTCTCTCCCGCCTGCATCGTCAATTGCTCCGGCAAAGGCTCACCGGCATCGACGAGCATCTCCAGAGGGACGGAGCAGGTGAACAGCTTCGCGAGATCACAGACCCCCAGTCCCAGCCCGACATACTGGAAGTCAAAGAAGGCTACCTGAGTACCCTGCGTGGTGGTAAAGAGGTTCTCCGACTTGACATCGCCATGGATATACGACTCCATTGGCCGTCCACACGGACTCAAGACCAGTGCCACCATCTCAGCCACAGACATGGAATCGCCATCGGACTCTCGGCACAGGGCATCGGACCACTCCGATTCCGTGTCCTGCGCGAGAGCCGCATATTCCTTCCGTCGAGTCTCCAGGTACGTGTACCCGCCGTTGAGCCACAAGCCATTGCCAGCGTCCGGACGGGTCTGTCGTCTCCGCGATTCCTGCAGCGGCGGCAAAACATATGCCTCCCAATTATTATCCGGCCGCAGATTCCTCGAGCCGCCATGGAACCCTGCCAACCAGGCCAGCGCGCCATGCACCTGGGTGGGACTCAGCGCGCTCCGTCGGCCGCCCGCCACGGGAAACCGGGGCCGCAGGTCGACCATGATGGTGGCCATCAGCCCTGGGAATTCCGCCTCACGCTCCGCCATCCCTCGCGTCGACGCCACGCACCTGGCCACAGCAACGGTGTCCGCTAACTGCGGAACCACCTCGCTGTAAAAGCACTGCTCCACCTCATAGCTGAACATCTTCCGCAGGTGGCCCTCCTCTTCCGTGGCGCCCGTGGTGCCCCGGGGCGGGGCAATGAGCTTCAGGATCAGCGGGTAGATCGTCCCGATCCCCTGCGATGCCACTCCGCAGAGCGCGCTGAGACGCGTGGCGGCTTCGGGGGTGGTGGCGCGGGCGGTGATGGCGCAGATGTGGCCGTACCCGGCCCACAGGGTTTGGAGGGTGGTGCAGGAGACGAGGTCCAACGAGTGTCGGGCGAGCATGGGGCGGGCCACCCGCGAAGGGTCCAGGTTAATGGGAGCCATGGGAGACGGTCGCGGGGGGTCGGATGGTCTGAAGGCGGAAATACGGGGTACAAGCGTATATACCACCAGGTGGATGGGGGATGGACACTGGATCTGGAAGGTGGGTATTTCCGCTGTGAAAGTCACGTGGCTCGGAGTCTGTGGGGTCACGTGGGGATAAAGGTCTCAGCGTATGCCCTGGGGTAGAAGACGAGATGTACAACTAGAGCACCTAGTCAAAGAGACTAAAAGGGCTCCTCAAGGGTCTCTCTAAGCGCTCCCAAAGGGCTTCCAAAGGGCCTTGTCAAGCATTTAAGAATATGGTACTTGATTCAGATCTACAGCCTGAATATATGTAGAGACTCATTTCAGACCTACTCCATACAATCTGTATATATATCCTGAAAAGATATTAGTCAATCTCTCTCCCCAGAACTCCTTTCCTCTAAGAGAACTAAAATAATGAGAAAAGGCAATATTCAAAGAACGTTATAGGCAATTGAGCCAATTAGACAGCTAGATTAATGATTCTCATGGACTGATGAAAAGTCTTAACGCTGTGAACTTCCCTTACCCAGGAGCTGACCGAGTGTTTTTCAGCGCTAGCGCGCTTAAAGAATTATAGTATACAAACAGATAAAGTGATCATACATCGTATCTCGAGATGCCAAATGTTCACCCTTACCTAACATTCTTGCTACACCGGGTGAGAGAACGGGGTAGAGCCCAAGCGATCCTAAGCAGACATTATGACACGAGCTGATTGATGGAGCCAAGTCCTGAACTAGATGCCGAGCTCCGCCACGACCTCGGCAGAGTTCCAAAAGGCACACCGCGGCACCAAATCCTCATGATAGCCCTGGCCGGTAAACCGGGCGTCGGGTCCGCCGAGAACGCGCAACTTCGGCACGATCGAGGACTCTAGGGTGGAACGAATCTGGACGGGCAAGGCTTGCAACCACCCGGGGACAGTGCCGTTGACCTGCGACGGATCCCCAAAGGTGGCAAAGGACGCCCAGCTGGCCCCAATGGCGGCGGCGAGTTGGCGATCGGAATCGGTCGACACCGGGGCCAGCAGGCCATCGGTGACGGTGTTGAAAATATACGGGATGTCGCTGAAGTGCGGGACACCGTAGTAGGTGAGGTTTTCCACGGCAAAGACTTCCGCGAAGGCGGTTTGGTTGAGGGCGTACAGGTAGTTCGAGACGCGGGGATGGGAGGCATACTGGGCGTTGGTCTGGACCATCAGCAGACTGGGGCAGGTGAACCCGAGATCGCGTGCCATTTGACTGGCGCGGAAATACTGGGCCGACACCGGGGGGTTCACCGTCGTGTCATTCGAGAAATCCGACAGGGGATACAGCTGTAGGGCCTGGGCGATGGTGGCATTGGAGAGGCGCGGATAGCTGGCCCGCAGCGACTCGGCCACGTCCGAGGAGGTTTCCAGGTCCGTGGAGGTGAAAAAGGCCCCGTCATTCTCACACCAGCCGGAGATGAGATCGATGTCCCGGGCAAATTGACCGGTTTTGAGCAGCGTGGAGGGGCGGTCGGGAATAAAGGTCGACGGCGAGACGGGCTTGAAGACATCCATGCCGCCCATGGAGTCGATGGTCAGCTCATAGGCGTAGGCCGTATGCAGCAGCGAGCGCATGGGGAGTTGACGCAGGCACGCCAGCTCCGCCTGGCTGGTGGGCGCCGTGCAGTTGACTTTGTCGATCAGCACCGCCGTATGCTGGCCCGACTGATCCCAAGCCGTGCCGGGGTCGGCCGTGGCCCCGCCGGATTCCATGATGGCGCGGCGGAAGGGCACCTGGGACACCTGGCCCCCGTAGGCCGTCAGCTGCAGGCCCACGCTCGTGGCCCCGTCACTTTCGCCAAAGATGGTGACCTGGTCGGGATCGCCGCCAAAGGCCGCGATGTGGTCCTGGATCCACCACAGCGCCAGACGTTGGTCCAGCAGACCCGCGTTCAGCGAGTCGGACGCGTTCAGGGCCGGCGACGAGGCAAACCCGAAGATGCCTAGCCGGTAGTTCATGGCCACGTAGAGGACGGGGATCCCCTTCGCAGCGGCCCCAGAGACCAACAGCGTCGGATCATAGGCCGAATCATAGATCTGGCCGATGGTGTCGCCGCCCCCATAGATAAAGACCAGCACGGGCAGTCGGTCCGACGGCGATGTGTGGGCCGGCCGATCGACCCGCAGCGTCAGACAGTCCTCGGAGATGTGCGTGACATTGTCGAAGAGGGGGAAGGTAGGAATGGGGTCCTTCTGCTGTGGACAGGCGGCGCCCGACTGGGTGGCGTTCACCACGGACCCAGCTGGATAGGCGTAAGGCTTCGGCGGCGCGAAGCGGTTGCTGCCGCTCGTGTCTTGACCGAAGCGGATATTGAGAAAGGATTCGGTCTCATTGCCGGCAGTTCCGGTGAACCAGACGTCGGAATCGGGGAGATGGACGATGGGAGCGGAGGGGCTCGACGGCATGGGGCTCGCCAGGCCCGACGCGCAGAGCGTCCCGAGCAAGAGAGAAGTCCGGGAGAAAATCATGATGCGCGCGACTGATCAGGGAAAATGCGCTGCATGGGCATGTTTTATAGGCAGCGGATGCTCAGCCTCGCCGCCGAAGGATGGCGATATGTGATGGATGCCTGGCCGACTGCTGGACGCCTAAGTGGATGCTGATGGGTCGGACATCAGACTTCCCCGATTGGGACACCTTCGCGAAGTCCGTGGGCATCAGCACTAGTCGGGGTGATGATGACAGTCCGCAAGACAGCAAGGGTTGTTCCGAATCTGACCCGGCAGATATAAGCACTGCCACGATCTGGTCAGGTCGGGATCGACGCCCCGGCCCGCCCGCCGTGCTGGCTGGCTCCATCTACATAGTACTTACAGCTCTGGCGGTCTGACGGTTCCCAATGGGGGCCAAAGACAAACTCTACCTCCCTGGCTAATGGGAGATTATGGTCAGCTGCTGCAAAGATGCCACTGCGGGCTTGATTGCCTCGCTATCCTGGAGACCTTGGTGTGGCCCCAGCCACCGATGAACTAGGGAAATACCCGATGCATCATACATCCATCCATCAATTCCCCCCGGGCGGTTTCTCCAGATGGCGTTTCAGCATCGATGTAAATGCCTCCCGTTTCTGCTGGAATTCAACGGTCGACCCCTCGAGCACCTCCGCACGCACGCGGGTATTCACAAACTCCGCAAACCGGAGGCGGGACTGTCGCTCCCGGTTAAGGTTCTCGCGTTGGGCCCGGGTGTGTGTCAGGAAGGGAAGCGTTGCGAAGTAATCCAGGTCCTTCGTTTCGGTCGCATCGTACGGAACCGGCCGCTGCAGGCTTGGGCAGGCTCGGTCCGCCAGGTACCGATCGTACGGAACCAGCACGTCGCGAAACCCATATTGGCAGCCGGTGAGATCGAGGATCCAGGTCTCTCCGGCCCCCGATCGGCTTACCTGAATGACGGTGTGGGGGCAGCTGCTCGGATCCGGGCCGGGAATGAGCCTGGCTGGCATCGGCCTCCGGCCCAGTTGCAGGTCCAGCACCTCCAGGGTGGAGGCGATCCCTGGGACATGTCAATTCTAGCCGAGGAGAGGACGCTTGCTGCGGGGGTCCATGTTACCTGCCAGAAGCTTTCGAGTCAACGGACCCAACAGTGCCATCGCGAGGGTGCATTGGTTGACCGTGAGGGCTGCTTCGCGGTGCTCGACGTGGGTAGTCAGATGGTCGGGAAAGGGACCGGGCTGGAAAACGGTCGTCGGGGCTCTGGGTCTCTGGTGGAGGTAGAGGGTCCCATCGCGCCGCTCGATCTTGGTGAGCGGGATGTCGTAGACCATTTCTCGGTAGGTCAACAGCGCGGCTTTCAGAATGAGGGCGGTGCGAAGAAGCTTCCTTCGTCGGCGTAAGTTGATGCAGCGGGACTTATGACTCGGCCAGTGGGATATCTGACAGTCCCGGCCACAGTAATGAACTCCCCCAGCATCGCCTGGCTGGTATTCGGGCGCGTCTCGGCATCCAGCACACTGCAGCGTGGCCGCTGCCCCGCAGTGGGCACACTCGGTTACCGATGTCGATGCCATCGCGGGTAAGAGGAAAACGGAGACGGACGCTGAACTGATCAGAAGGAGGGGAAAAGACAGCCACGTCGCGCAGACTGGAGTCACGTGGAAGGGAGGGGTAAACCCCAACCAGCCGATCACTGCAGCGCCGGATGGCAGGCAGAAGTTTAGACTGGCGAGTTTATGGGAGGTGAAGGGCCCGTTCTCCATGGGACCTCGCATCCGGGTGGTACTCTGGCGTGGATTCGTGATATTTGTTTGGAGCCATGTTCCCTACGATGGGTCACTACTGCATGGGGCATATCCAAGGTAGGCTCTAACCTAGACTTGGGTTCCCAAGCACGCATTATAACTCAGTGGATCTCGTGAGACGGTAGGCATACAATTAGAAATCTATCTATGCTAGATGGCTGCCATCATAAAGGATGTTGTAGAATGCAAGCAGATTGCCTATTCCTGCCCGGCAATCCTGGACGAGCGTGCTCGGCACCCAGAACCCCGGAAGACAACAGAGATTTATATACAAACCCCGATCTCGCTCTCAGAGCGATCCAGACACGTCCTCAGCGATCCGAGCACGCGCTTATTTGCCCTGGCCCGCGTTGCTCATGGTCCACTGGGCAATGTTGGTCGGGGGGTGGGCGGTGGCAATGTTCTTGCCGGCGAACCGGCTGATGATGCTGGTGTCCGAGCCGGACATGGCGCCCGAGTTGCCAAAGGCGTTGAGCTGGCAGGAGCGGCCAAAGACGGACGCGCACTGCGCGTTGGTGTTGGTGTCGGGGGAGCTGAAGAGCTGACCGTTCATCGGGGCCTCGACCACGGTGTCGACATCCTGGAAGACGTTACCCTCGGCCAGGACGTAGCCGCCGGTGCCGATCTCGAAGGCATGGCCCTGGATGTTGTGGAAGAGGTTGTTGACCTAGAGGCATCCACGTTAGCGACCGCAAGGGGGCCGGGGGAGCACCGGGAGGCATACCGCGTGGAGGAGAGTGTTGGTCTGGACCTTGGGCATGCGGCCACTGAGGTAGTAGAAGTAGTTGCCCTTCAGGGTCACCATGTCGTTGTTACCATCGAGGTAGACACCCCAGTAGTGGTGGCCGTTGCAGGTGGCGGAGTAGTCGGAGCGACCATCGATGAGGGAGTAGGAGATGGTGACCCGGTTATCGGCATCAGTGCCCAGGACGATGTGCTGACGGCCAATGCGGGCAGTCGTGACGTGGTCGATCCAGACCAGGTCGGAGTTGTCGACCGTGATGGCATCACCACCCCAGACATACTTGGGGTTGATGTCGGTGACCGCAATGTTCCTGGTGGTGGTGGTGAGTAGGGAGATCGAGCGAGATCGATCGAGATTGACTGCCGGGCACTCACTGGATGATGACGTTCTTGGCCCCGTTCACAACACGGAGACCCTTGCCCTTGATGACACCCTTGGATCCCACACCCACAATACTCTTGTTGGAGTTGACGGTGATGGGGAGGATACCGGCCTTATCGCTAGTGGGGGGGTCAGCATGGCCAGACCGGGGAGGCTCGAGCACATCAGGGCAGACTTACTAAGTGACGGTGACCTTGGGGGCGCTCGCCTCGTAGTTGTCGCACCAGCTGTGCAGGTTGATGGCCACCTGGCACTGGGACGCAGTACCCCAGGGCGCGCAACCGCTGGTGGTCTCAGTGCCCTCGGTGCCGGTGAAGTCGAAGCTAGATCCGTCGGTTAGCGGGCAGGTTCCCCACGCAGGGCAGCAGGTTGGCCACGTACGTTCTGTCCAGCATGATGACACGGGGCTGGCTGTCACCCAGGTAGGAGACCAGCTCAGCGGTGGTGGTGGGGTAGACGGGCGAGGCGTTGCCTCCTCCCGTCACGCCCTGGGCGAAACCCTCGGCAGCGCCGACGACTCCCGCGGCGCTGGCGGTGCTCGCAAAGGCCGCAGCCGCAGCCGCAATCAGGGACCCGTACTTCATGGTGTCGGGTAAAGCAACGAGAATCACAAAAAAAGAAACGAAAATGAGGAGAAGGATGAACGAATGAAAGCTTGGAAAGAATGACAAGCGAATGATCAAGGAAGGAAGGAATGTGGTGTAGCTGATGACCCAAACCGGAGGCAGCGCCTGCAGGGTTTTATAGAGAGGATCGGGAGGGCCGGGTGGAGCTGGTAGGGGGCACCCTGTCCGGGACTTGCCCATCAACCATGTTCTGGAAGGAAATTAAACGTTGCAGACGACCCCTCGTCCGGCTTGGCAGTCAGCTTGGAATCGTTCCACCGGAGATTAACTCCTGCGACAACGTTTCCTTGGCGGATGCGATGGGTGAGTTAGGGTTCGGAGACCCAGGCCTTTCTTCTTGGGTTCAAAGTGCTCTGTTGTGAATTCGCGGACGCTGCTGGCGGCTACCGTTGCTGTAGACCATGGGACCTAGGCATTGCCGGATATAGGTCAGAAATGCCCCAAATGGCTCCCTTCCGGAATGGCCTCGGTCGAAATGCGGTGCCTAAACGGCCTCGAGGAGGGGAGTCCGCCGGGTCCGGTGAGATCCCGGGTTGCTTGGCGGAGCGGCCAGGAGCCTTGGAAGGGGATGGGCCTGATCCACTCCCGCCACCCTAATCCTGCAGGGTCTCACTCTGAGAACCTTCGGTGGGATTGGCCAGGCGCTAGTGCGTTCTCGACTCGAATCGCTATTGCCTGATGATGCCCCCGCGGGCAATCGGATTCTGGAAGCGGCATGCCTGGGACTTGGGGAATTTGGGCAGCCCCAAGTGGCTGCATGGACAGCCGCGCTGGTCGCTCCCATGTGGCATGCTGGCCGAACTGCAGTGTGTGCCCGGACGAGTTACGTAAAGGCTCGAGGAGGGAATCATGGATGGCCTCTGCGGTGCAGCGCCGAACACCAGAGGCCGGCCGACCCTATAAAGTGGGTCAGGGTCTAATGAACCGGTCTATTTCAAGTGCTGGCAACTGAGTAGGTCTGCAGGGGCCGGTTCCACCACGTGTGGACGGGTACCTGGTGATTCACCAGGGATTCATCCGAGTATTCCGAGAGCCATGACCCCTGGCTCCGGCTGATGTGCAACAGGGCAGCCCCGTCTTGAAGAATGAGCCCGTCCGCGGGCGAATGACGCTGCTGGGAGGCCTGGCGTCACGTGGGACCGGGCCGACGAAATTTTCACAGCCACATCACCTGACCTGGCCCCACCAGGACTACTGCCTGAGGCGTCAACGACCGGAGGCTCTGGTTGCCTTGCCCCGTTGGCCGTCTGTCCGCGGGGTAGAATCAATCCTCCCTGCATCCGCCATCCGCCCCTCTTAGGGATCCGCTATGTCCCTCATGAGGCGGCCATTTCAATCATAAAAGGCCCAGTGCCACGGCTACTACTGCAACCTCGTCCCTCGTTTCAGGGAGGACCTTGAAGACAGCCATTGAGTTTCCTCCAGCTGTTCCTGCCCGCTAGTCCACGATCCAGGGGCTGCCCGGGGTTTAGCCCTCCTGCATGAGCAATATCCATCAAATCCTCTGCCGGAATTATCGACGTCAAGAAGCAATGTCGACAACAAGCGGCAGAGTCTAGAGGCTCGCGTTCTGCAGAAGCTGCAGCCACAAGTGATCCAGCGTTCGGACATTGACCGTTACTTCGAGGAGGGTGTGGTGACTGTCGATGAGTCGATAACATGCACAAGGATGAGTACCCACGCATGGCAGCTGCAGCACGGGATTATCTTGCCATTCCGGCAGCTGAGGTAGCTGTAGAGAGGCTGTTTAGCCGTGGTAGAGACCTGTTGGGATTACGTCGATCTTTCTTAAAAGGTGAGACGATGCGGAAGGTGATGCTGTTGCGAGATGCATATATTTGGAACACGAGGTGAAGAGTAGAGTATATCACTAGCACTGCCCGGGCAACCAGCCATCCACGTGACCAAGACTGCGAATATTCGCTATTCGTGCCGACCCCTAGGTGCAGTCATGGTATCTCTGGGCCTTGCACGTCACATGCTGTGAAAACATCTTTTGCTTTGCTAAAATCATTCTCTAGCTCAACTTTTCTTTATCGTAGATTATATAGAAACGTTAATACGAGAGACAACACTCTCCTATCTAATATACGCTGAAATTCTCAAGTAAACTCCATATATTTCCCAAGTACTTCATATTAACAGTTTTTGGTGTTTATAAGACTTATTTACTGTCTATAACGTAAGGCCTAAATTGTGTTGATATTCATTGATATACAAGAACAATTGATATTTTTCGTAAGGTCGGTTGGGTTGGTCGTCCTTACTCACGGGGCTGGGTCACTTAACTTCTACAGAGGTCAGTTGACCTGTGTACACTAGCTCCCCGATCCCACGGATTGAGTCAGTTTTTCACAAAATCTTGGACCATCATTCTGATAAGCATAACAAAGCTTTTAATGGATTACTATGTCTGTAATCAAGAAACTTGAAGGGGCTTCTTAGAAGATACTTGAGTAGGCTCTCTACAAGTCGCTTAGGGAAGCCCTTCGGAAGTCTTCCGACTCTTGTATCGGCTAGTCGTAAATTTAAAAATGCCTGCATTGATCGGGGTTAGTCCCTTGACGTCACTGTCCTCGCGCCGGTGCGACTCGAGCTCAGTGTCTCGGGTACAAGCATCTTCAGCCCGGCGTGGCTTTCCTCACTATGTTATGTTGATCTGATACAAACAGAAGAGAGTCTGACTCTGTGAGATATAGCGATTATGTTAGCATGCCTGACATCGTTCTGGACCTTCTACACAAAGCTGTGGAGACCAACAAACGATCTTCGGTGACGCGGGGGGGCGTTCCATCCTCCGCGCGATTATGCCTCCCTCAAGACACCCATCTTGCTGACCGGGCGTTTGAGTGATAGAGACAAGCACAATCAGTTGCCCTACCAGTGGAGAGCCACAACGCGATGAAAGAGACTGGAGTTTGGGGTGGTATATCATCTTCTTTAACGTATATACCCTTCGGACTAATACAGATCGTTAGTACAAGTTGTCCATTACCTTCCGTCTATTACGTCGTTATTTTGGGGATCCCCTTGCATGTCTCCCTCCCCGCTTTTGCTTTGTTCCTTCCCTTTCCTTCTGTTGTGTCCCGTTTGTTTGCGCACCTCATTCTTTTGCCCTTGCATCTCACTTGACACCGCCATTCCATGCCTTGTAACGCTTCCTCAATAGCTACCTAAGATCGAAACATGCCCATGCTGTGTGACGCTAACCGTGACTGCATAATGAGCTCGCCTGAAATCAGGCCTCATATGCTTTTTATGTATGCCAGCGGAGGGCCTGAATTATTGTCTTGCGTCATCCATGCCGGTCTAGAACTTCAATAGGCGGATGCGGGGGAGCAGATATAACTGACGAGTCCTTTGTGCACTGCACCAGAGGCGGTCATTACTTGTAGGCTGTACAGAACGGGTCTTCATTTCATTGCTTTGACCAAGTCAATGTGTGTATAGAACATCGCCCTTAATGACAGATTTTTATTTTGCAGCTGGCGCAGGCGCTACTGTCGCCCTCCTTATGGCCATACTCTGGATTCAGATCCGCGACCGGAAACCAAATACCAGCAGCCTGCTAGCAAATGGCAAAGTGGTGATAGTCACAGGTGGCCTAAGCGGGCTAGGCTATCAACTGGTCAAGTTGTATCGGGCCAACGGCGCTCGTGTGGCTGTTTTGGATGTAAAAGGTGAAAGCGGCTTGCCGCAGCCGTCCGAGCCGAGGACTATAAGATACTACAAGTGTGACGTCTCCAACCGTACTGAAGTAGAGGTTATCATGGACGTGATCGAGACCGAAGTGAGTACATCAGTCACTGGACCTGATAGTTGGTTGTTCATTGTCGACAGTTAGGGACTCCCAATATATTAATCAATTGCGCGGCAATGCCAGTCAATAAGCTGCCGTTCCACTGTCTTCAGAATGACTTGTTTGTCAAAACCATTAGCACCAATTTCCTTGGTTCGGTGAATCTCATCCGTGCAATCCTTCCAAAACTGATCAATGACGGAAAAAGAGGAAGTATTGTGAACATAAGCTCTGTTGTTGCGCATCTCTATCCAGCCGGCCTCTCTGACTACACGTGCAGTAAAGCTGGACTCAGTGCCCTTCATCACTGCCTTGAGGCTGAGGCCCGCTTGTTGGGGTATACTCGGCGGATCAAGTTCCACCTGGTGGAGGTTGGGCAGATGCAGACTCCGCTGTTCAACTGGGTCAAGCCGCCAAATCCTTTACTTGCCCCGGTTCTCCAGCCTAGCTATGTCGCGCAGAAGATTTTTAACGCGGTATATTCGGGAGAACCTAGTATCATTCGTTTACCGAGGTATGTATCATGGGTGTGCGCATATGATGGGCTTCCGCTCCGAGCGCAACGGTTAGTTAGGTACCTTATGGGGGTTGATGAGGTATTGGGTGAGCACGAATCCAAGAAGACCATTAATTAGGAGATGGGATAAATGAGAGAGCGTGTCAATTTCTGCTTCGGTATAAAATTTGTTGAGTTACGTAGTCCAAATGCTAACCATTTCTCACAACCACCGTCTGACTGAGTGTAGGACGTGCAAACCGCATGCCAAAAACTAGAAAAACGGCTTCCCCCAAAGGGTTTATCCTCAAGGTCATAAGGACTGGCTTCTTGAGCTTGCAGTAATAAGAGATAAGAAAGTCAACACCATGGTAATATCTCACAACACAGTCAAATCATGCAACCAAAAAAGGCGCAACTGAAGGCACTAGAAAGCGGTCCAGGGTAATAGTATGTCCAGCGCGTGCCAATTTTTCAACATACGGCTCGCTGAACATTGGCATACATATGGAGCATAAGGTAAGTTGCTAGAATATAGTAGTACTTATAGGTCGCCTTGTCAGCTTCCTTGAATGGCAAGGTTACAAGTCGCACTGCAACGGTCAACATGGAAAGCAGATGGCATAGTGCCAGTAAGAGCAGACCCGGACTTAACATGGTCCAACTCGACAGTAGGCAGGATCTGAACAGCGCAATGCTGACAACTGGAGTAGCGCCAATAAACACTGCAGTGGCAACACGCAGCCAGAATTGACCTTTGGGGCACAGAACCAGGGGCAGTGTTTTACGGCCCGCATGCCGGTCTCCCTCCATATCCTGAAACTCTTGGATATGAATAGTCATAAATAACCAGATGAATAAAATCCACTTCAGAGAGGTCTTTGCTTCATGAGATATGGCATCATGTGTTAGCAATGTGTCTGTAAGCATCGTATCCAGCAGAGTAAGCTGAAGGATGGCTCCTACAGCTGTGAAAATATTTCGCACCCACCAATACTCCACTTTGGGCCACACGTAGAATATGAAAACCCACACCTCCCACAGAACAAGCACTGATGTGGCCCGGAGACTGACAGCGAAATATACCAAAACAGGAAATAGAATCCAGCTTAACAGCCAGCGTGCGTAAGCACCACCTCTGCTTAGCCTGCCGGAGGGTATAGGTCTAGTAGGCTTGTTCACGGCGTCCTCCTCCACAGAGAAGGCCTGGTTTGCGATATCGAATACATAAGAGAACGCAATTATTGTCAGAGTTGCCTTTAGAATTAGGCCCTTGAGTTCTTGGAAGGCGAGGCTTGATCCTAGCAGGCGTGTGGATAAGCAAGCAAACGCATTCCCACAGTGCGCGGTGAAATTGTCTCTAAGGATTGCTACCACCAATGAAAGCTCCTCAGTGATGGCATATATGCCCCGTTTCCTTGGGGATGTTAGTAGGGTCGCGCCACCTCAGGGAAGTGCCTTACACAGCATTAGTAGGTGCTTTTAGCCCCATTTTGAAGCGCCTCCGATTCTCCTTGGGCTATTGTCTGCTCAATGGTTGCTGCCTATCCAGATCTCGAGCGGCTTCAAGAAGAAACGAATCAATTGTGCACGTAGCCCTCCGTTACAGTAATATGGGGCTGAGAGCCATTTATTTATGATTTAATTGTTCTTATCAAGCACATTTTCTGGGCAAGGGCATTCAAGGCAGGCATGCATGTCGAATCAAAGTTGTATCCACTAGGCTTCTTCTTTGTGCAAGGTACACAAGGGTTGCAGTAAACAAGGGGGATCTATCCAGAAAAAGGTGGTACGGCGTAAACTCTAGGAAATCATACAGCGTGTCAATACTAAAGACGTCATATCACCAGCTTTACTCGCCAAACCTCGCTGGGACTGGCTTTTCTCATCGATTAGTCAAATGTCGATTCTGTCATACATTCAAGCCCTGCTAACACTCCTTGCAGGTTGCCCATGCCTCATAGTGGTATCCTGCAAAGCCAATCAACTTAGGACCTAGTAAAACTCATGCTGTCCACCAGACTAGTCATGATGTATCTGTGCGGGAAATCATAGAACTTCTATGATATCGCATGACGAATCGTAGCTCTGGGACACCAGGCGCAGGAAAAACTACCCAGATAAGCTCTACAGTGAGACGTTGACATGCCCGTATGACTCGATGTATCATGCCGGTGTCACCAAGAAAGGTGTCTCCCCCTTGATGCTTCGGTGGTAGTTCGCTACTTCTGCCAGCGCCACTCTCACCCCCTCAAATATTGCCGAAAGGCGAAGAAACACACAACAAAACCCCCAAACCGCCCCTACCTGCCACCACACCTCCCACCTGACAGCAGACATAATGGCACCATACTACGATGGCCTACTCGCTTTTTTGTTTAGACAACTGTTCTACACTATCCCCGAAGTTGCTCCCGTTGACCTCAGTGGAAAGGTGGTTCTCTTGACGGGGGCAAACTCTGGAATTGGTCTTGCTTTGGCATTCATGCTAGCATCACGGGGTGCCGAGGTGATTGCCGCCGTTCGATCAGTAGCTGGAGGGGAAGCTGCTCGACACAAAATCCTTAAAACCATTCCGGCAGCCAACGTTAAGGTTCGACAGTGTGACCTGGCCTCGTTCGACTCAGTCAAGAGGTTTGTCACCGAGCTGGAACAGGACTCTGTAACCCTAGATCTGGTGATTTTGAATGCCGGTGTTTGGTGTTCGGAAATGATAACTTCGAGGGATGGGTTTGATCTGTCACTCCAAGTATAATCCTCTCTCTCCATACTCGGGCGTTTCTAATATGGCCAGGTAAATGTGCTCTCAAATGCCCTTCTCGCCATATCTCTTCTGCCGTATCTTCGCTATGAGAATTCTCGAGCGCGCATAGTGTTCGTGACATCTGAGGGACATGCAATGGTTCCGACTAGCTTCCATCAGAGCAGCAGCTTGCTCAATTCTCTCAATCACAAATGCCATAATTTTGATCATTATACCCATTACTACACATCTAAACTGTTCGGGCTTCTCTGGGCACTTGCCCTGTCACGACGCGTCAATCCAGAAAAGCTCTCCCTCGTCTTGGTGTCCCCAGGACTATGCAAAAGTGAATTGTTTAGAACCGTGAGGTCTGCGCCAACGGATCTCTTAACCCGGTGTTTTGCCCGAAACTGTGACGATGGGGCACGAATGGTCATGTTAGCCTCTGTCACGGAGACAGAGAACTCCCGTGGCATGTACTACAGCCAAGGGAGCCAGGTGCCGTAAGTACAACCTTTCTCAATATTGCATCATGACTCAGAAGTTGTAGGATTTCAAAGTTTGCCTCCAGTACTGAAGGAATCGTATGCCAGGAGAGGCTGTGGGAGGAGATAATGGCCATTCTGGATCGCGTGCATCCTGATCTGAAATCTCATCTGCGCAAAGTGCAAACGCTGTTAGATCCACGCAGCCCCTTGCAAGGCCATACCCAGTGTCTATAGCTACAGCTGTGCCGTATTAGGCTATATGCATGGATAGTTGAAGGTTATTAGAGGCGACAGGTCCAATAACAGAGATTTGCTGTATTCGGTAAAGGCTCAATTATGTATATCTCTACTTCTGGCCTACACGAACTTTATGATTGGTTATTGGGCCCCTTCTTGTCGATCACTTTCTATTTTTCCTTGATCACCCTTCTCTTTTCTTCTAACCCTCTGCCACACGCAACCCCGAATATGACCGGTAATGGCACAATCGCTAGAGTTGTGATACAATAACAACATCGTAAACAGTATATTTAAGCCGTTAGGACCATCTTCCCCAATGGTTATACCTTGTGCGTCGAATAACTAACACCACGGTATCATCACCATTGGAATGCAGACTAGCCTCTCCTCTGAATCATGACGTTCTACTTCACCCCGATGCAACTAACGCTGTTGGATCAAATGATGCCGAAATGCTACATCGCATTCTTCTACTCTTTCCACTTGGAAGACCCACAAAGAGCGGTGTCTATTCTTGAAAATGCTCTTCGATCCTTGATGATGAAAAACCCGTTCTTGGCAGGGAATGTGATCAACCACAAGCCAGACAAAGCGAATCCCGCTATTTGTCAGGTGCACCCCCCAACACCTGAATCGTTACACGAATTTCCCTTCTTGAGGGTGAGATACCATGAGGATGAATCCATGTACCTTCATCAGGGTTGTTCTGGCTGCCCAATCTTGAATGATGATTTCTTTGCCGAAACCTATTTGCCGGTTCCCTTGTCCGCGGCGACTGCCCTGCTGTGTCCGATTATTCGCTGGCAAGCCAATATTATGCAGGATGGCTTGGTTATCACTGTTTGTTTTCATCACTCAGTGCTAGATGCCGCTGGGTTCTACGTCATTCAGGCTGCGCTAGCGAAGTGTTGTCGGATGCAAAACGGCACCGTCCCAGGGCTTTCTTTTACGTCCGACCTGCTAATAGGAAGGCGGAGGATTCTTGAGACTGCTATGGCGGGAGGCGTCAGTAGGGAACCTCCACTTGGCCACTGCCACGAAACTCTCAGGGATGCCGACTTTGAGTCTGCCAAAGGCCTGATCAGCCGCCGTCTTACCTTGGCATCTACTAGAATTGAGTATTTGAAGAAGGCCTGCAATGCATTGGTGCGAAGCCACATAAAGGACGATCTGTTATTGTCAACAAATGACGTTATTTCAGCTTTGTTATGGCTCTCCATCATCAGGGCACGATATGAATCAAATTTCGAAGGCCCTGAGAGGAGGGGCCATCCGGCACAGAGCTCCTTGCTTCTCATCGCAGACATCCGTCGAACCCTGACACCACCACTTCCGATATCGTATATCGGCAATGGGGTAATCCAGAGTGAAACGTCATCACTCATCCGGCCTGTTCTGGGTTCTATGTTGAATACTTCCAGGCGACCGCATTCCCACTTTCCCATACTGACGAATGACGGACTCTCTACCCTCACCGACCTCGCGGTTAAGGTTCATACTGCCCTCACGAATGTGACCAATTCTTATGTCGGGGGGCTTATCAAGGAAAAGCACGAAAGCGTGGACAAGGGTCCGAGGTTGAAGCAAGGGGATGTTACATCAACAAGCTTGCGTCGTATGGGAATCTATGGGCTTGACTTTGGCACAGTACTGGGGAGGGTCGTGGAATTCGATAGCCCTGACAACAGGATCGACGGGACCGTCTGTATCTTGCCCGCTCGGCCCAACTTCAGAATGACCTCGTCCAAAATGACCTTGTGGGAGGTGCGAGTGACACTGCAGCGTGAGGTCATGCTCCGACTCCTCCACGACCCTCTAATGCATTGGTCAATGGAACAGGAGTTGGCCAGGCTATGAGAAAGACGGTAAGCGCATGGGCTGTATCTGAAAGATCAGGATATATGTGAGTTTTGATTTACTTAGAATGCACGGCCCACATGAGTTATACGGTGTAAGCAACTCGTTGATCATATTATCTCATTGATTTAACAGAAAGTTTCAGCGTTATTCCGCTCTGGGTTTAGCACTTCCGCAAATTCATTACTGCTTTCTAGTAAATATGGACGTGTTTGGCTAGGTGAAGCTGAGGATCTCCGTAAATCATTGTTGCAGAACAACCCGCTATATCTCTGCAGAGCACTTCAAACTTCTTTTAGTTCGAGGTCTTCCAGATCCCAAGCGCTATTCAGAATGTCCTTTGCCAGTTGCTACGACATCATTATCGTTGGTGCAGGTATAGCCGGTGTTAATTGTGGGTATCGAGTACAGACACTTTTGCCAGATTATACGTATGCCATCCTCGAAGCACGAAATTCTGCTGGTGGAACCTGGGACTTGATGCGGTACCCTGGGGTACGACTGGACTCTGACATCTACACATTTGGATTTTCTTGGTATCCTTTTCCCCATAGTCAGACTGTGTTGGATGGCAACACTGTTCTGAATTACATCAATGATGCCGCCAAGAAACATTGCATCTATGATCACATCCTCCTTAATCATCGAGTCACGAAGGCGACCTGGTCCTCTGATACCCATAACTGGAATTTGATAGCAGAGGCTGACGACAGGAAGCTCTGTTTCTGTGCAAGATATGTGATCTTTGCGACGGGGTATTTCGACTACCATGAGCCACTTCCCGTACAAATACGTGGCCTTCATAACTTCAAAGGAAGAGTTATTCATCCACAGTTTTGGCCTGAAAGCCTGGACTACTCGGAGAAGAAGGTCGTTGTCGTTGGCAACGGAGCGACTGCTATATCGCTTGTCCCAAAGCTCGCAGAGACCGCCCTGGGCATCACCATTATTCAACGGAGCCCGCATTACGTTTTACCTACATCATCAGGTGGGGATGACTCTCCAATTATGCGACTATTACCTACGGCTCTATCATACTGGCTCAAGCGCTTGGGATGGCTCTCCCTAACGTTACTTAGTTACTATGCGTGCCGTAGGTTTCCTCGAGCTGCGAGAGACTACATGCTGAGAATGGTACGGGATGAGCTCCCTGAGCATGTTCCTCACGACCTGCATTTCCGACCTAAGTACAATGTATGGGATCAACGGCTATTGACATGTCTCGATGGGGACCTCTTCAAAAGTATACGTGACGGGAAGGTCAACATAGAAACAGCCAGCATCCAGAACTGTACGGCAAACGGCCTCCTTTTGGAAGATGGGAAGACCATAAATGCAGATCTTATTGTCACGGCCACAGGGATCAAACTTCAGATTGCAGGATCGATCCAAGTGGGAATTGATGGGAGTCGTTGCGACGTATCCGAGAGGTTCATGTGGAAGGGCATGATGCTGCAGGGATTCCCGAACGCATTCTTTGCTCTCGGATACCTCACGAGCGCTTCTTGGACAATGGGAACTGATCTAACTGCTCTTTTTGCCTGCCGTTTAATCAGACATATGAAGGAAAAAAATCGCCTAGCAGCTACCCCTCACATGCGCGAACTGTCGGACCTCACTGAGCGCCCGCTTTGGACTCTGAGGTCTACGTACATGACTACTGCGAGAAGCAATCTTCCTAAAGCGGGGAATTTCGGGCCATGGAAGCCTCGCTCTAATTATTTATGGGACTATATTCAAGCGTGCTACGGCTCTTTTGAAGGTCTGGAATTCTTTGAGGGTTTTTGATCGAGTACACTTGGATTCATGTAATATGCCATGCAACCGGCCTCTCACATCTGGGGGTTGCTAGCCCGAGCGTATGGGTAGGCACCGACGGGTCATGATCGAGCAGCTGGGTCTAGGGTATTCGGAAGAATTTCGCCATTTACCATTTCCATAAATTGTAAATCTTGGATTTTTAAATTAGGAGTAGCTGTTTCGTGTCGTGAAATAGTGTCCGTGCCCTCATGCGGAGATCATTGTCGTCTGCATTCTGATCGAGAGGCAGTTTCGTGCAGGTGACGCTGCTGATCATCTTCCTGGCAGGGTATTTAACGGGTCCACGTGAGTTGGCAGATCTAGCTCACATACACAATGTATGTCACGTGATCTGTGTATTGCAAGGGTAGATGTCTTAGCTTTGCAAAGCCAGGGTCTCTTTTCTCGGCGATCGTTGTACTTCCCTTGCTTATCACAACATAATCCCTTGATTCCTATCCCACAACAAGGTTCCAGAATGTACGGCAGTGGGAGAGTAGCTATAATTCTTCTTTTTCATCGTTGTTAGCTCCGATGTAATAGAGATACACAACCAGCCGATAGAATAGGATATTCATAAATAAACCCTGTATTGGCCATTCAGACTACCTTCAGCAGGGGTTAGAGTCACTGGTGCTAAATTGAAAACTGACCCTTTCACGAGAGGGAAACAATATAATCTGACTCCAATCTGCCCTACCGTTCTGATAAATATACACAGAGCTCCTCGCTAAATTCGACCGCGTCCCAGAAATCGGTTTGCGATATACACATATTTGCAGTGGAGATGTTCAGCTACATTCTTGCCCAGCACATCATAAGTGAAACTAGACGTTACTCCTCGGTCTAGGTCATCTTTCTACGGGAATTGAACGGCTATCCCAACAATTAGTATATCTTATACATTGGAAACCCCGAAATAGTGAAGAAAAAAGGAATATCAAAAAAGCATCAAACTCACCCGACAAATTCGGCAACTCGAACCGAGATATTCGATTACCCATATCATCCTCACCTAGCAACGAGCGGACCTTATCCACAGTCAACATAGGCCTCAGCCAATCCCATTCGTTGGCATAGCGTACAAAAAAAATAAAAAACAAATAAAAAATAAAAGGCCCACATTAGCATCAGAGCCCTTATCTCCTGACCGCGCATGTACGACATACCCCAACGGGGCACACGTAGTGGGCCCAAGGACAGCGAGGTCGAATGGCGTGGCAGATTCGTACAATGGTTGCTCGTGGCGGAATGGGACCGTGTCCGGGGGGCCGCTGATCAGGATACTCGTGTCCTGCCAGGGAAGGTAGCAGATATGGTGCCGCTGGTCCTGTGGGAAGATAGAGACACAGTATTCGTAGTACGGTTTGGGGACCGCTTGTCGAGCGTCCACGGCTCCCGGGGTAGCTCTGCATGATAGTGACACTGCATGGGCGAGAAAGTTTTCCAAAGGACGCCGCGTCTTCGCTGCGGGGCTGCGCAAAAATGCATGAAGTCGACGGTGGCCAAGTGTTCACTGAGGGTCGGATGAGCATGATCCGTTCAGGTAAAGCTTGAGGATATGGAACTGGGATTTATCGAGTAAATGTCGAACTTGTCGATCTAGCAGGGGGCCTTCTCTGGGATGTGCAATCCACAGAGGAAGTAATGTACCTTGGCTTGGAAGCCACCATGAGTGGTAATGCCGATCTTGGTGGTAGGTGGAAGATTTCCGTTCTTGATGTTGGATACATGACTGGAATCCATATGTCGGTTGGACCCAAAAGTAATGTCTAGAAGACCACTGGCAAGTGCTTAGAGGGGCATAACCTACACTCGTGAAGCCCTTGCCGTTGAATGATAATTTGGTCCAGGATGGCAACAACATCGAGGTTGTAATATGATGAAACCTGATTTCGTACAGCCTTAAGCCCCTCATCACAAGGAACACTAATACTCTACACTACTATACTCTTCTCTATACTCTTCTGACTCAGGCCCTTCTCCATAATATAGATCTTTACGACGCGCCATCTGTACCCTGTAAGACGGACTACATTTTCATAATAAATGCCAGTGTTTTTGGCCTTTCAATAACCCTAGAGCTCTGAAAGCGCGATTATCAAAATATAACCATACTAAATAAGTAAATATCACTAATTCGTGATAGATCTAATATTAATATATCAAAGATTATATATTTTAATTATACTAATCTATTCTATGCTAGACTGAGCCTAGAAACTCTAAAAAAATGGAGACAGAACTATAATGGATATTTTAATAAAAACAAATTTATTTTTATAGCGGAATTAAATAATAATCTACGTGTTCAGTGCTATTAAGTAAATATTACTTGTATTTAAATAAATAGTTTAATCCTTCATTAGGAAAATAAAATTTAAGATAAAATAATTATCACGGTGCAACCTCCCAAGCTAGAAAGAGAGAAATACTGCTGAGCCTTACTATCTAGCACGTGATCCTAGACATGGTTAAAAGCTACCTGTTTCTTAAACCTTATCTATAGCCTTAAGCTATATCTTATTTATTAATTTATATATAGTTTAACTAGTAGCTAGCTTAGTATTTAGTTAAAATCTTCGTTATTATTAATATCTGAATCCTGCTTATTTGTGAGAATTTATTATTTTATTATTTTTATTTATTTATATTTTAATATTATATAGCTTCTTTTATAAAATAATGGATTTATAAAATAATTACTATTTTATAATCTTTAATTAATTTTAATAAGCTAGATAAATTAGTCTAGAGTGGCAAACGGCCGGGTCAGGTTAGGTTAATAGGAAAATTATACCTTCCATTAGATTAATAATTAAATTAAGGAAACTTTTATACTTAGCCACAGTATAATTTAAAAGATAATTAATTATTTTAAATATCCTTAGTATTAAAACTTATTTACTATATTTATTTTAGCTATAGTATAGTTAAAATATATTTAAATTAATTCTTATTTATTCTAGCTATTTATACCATCGTGTGATAGGATCTACTTGTCAGGGTAGAAGGCCTGTCGACTAGGTAAGGAACTGGCCATCAAACGTATAGGATTCCACTGGTAACGACAATGTAGCCTATATTCACAAGATAGAGAGACTGATCCTTGAAGGATCAGTAGCCTAACGCTGAGGAGCGTTGCCTTATAGCAGGTGAGGAGATCCCGAACTGTCACCGATGACCTCACGACTCCTATGACCATCCCAGTACGTCACCCCGAGGACCCGGATCACACTGGCTGGACTACTACAGGACCAGAACATCGGTCAGACCGGTACCGATAAGATAAGACCTCCATCCGGCCCGTTCTATCACAGATAAGCCTTTTTTTTATAGTATAATTTCTATATAAAATTCTTAGATTTAAATATTAAAATAAATATTCTAAAATATTACTAGATTAGGAATCTCCGAGAGTAGGTTAAAATTATTTTTAATAAATTTTAAAAAGCCTGAGATATTACTAATTCAATAATAGTAATAATATAAGAAATATAGGAATAATATATTAACTATTAATAAAATTTTATTTTTTATTATAAAAAAAATAATAAGATCTGGCTAGATTTGAAAAATATTTTAACTAATTAATCTAGTAAAAAGTTAGATTAATAAAATATAAAGTTTATAATACTGGAATAGATCAGGATATATATTTATAAATTAAATATATTATTTAAAATTTATTAAATATTTTATATTAATTTACTTTAACTTACTATTACAGATCTTTTATTTATTTAAAAGATAACTAATAAATAATTAAATATTATTATTACGGAAGATAGCACTGAGAAATATATTATTAATAAATTTTAAATAAGAAGAATATATTTTAAGGGAAATATATATATAAAAAAATATTTTTAATTAAATAGAAGAGATATGCTATACTTATATAAAAATTAATAACTAAATTTTATAATATTAAGACCTATAAATACTGGCGTAATCTTACCTATCTAATTTTTTAAAATCTATTATAGGCTAGTTACGTCATAGTAAAAAAAGTAATAGTTAAAAAAGACTAAGTCCTATTAGCTATTTAAAATTAGAATATCTATATTCTGATCTATCTAGTCCTAGATTTTAATCCGATGATACTTATAAAAAGAATAAAAATCTTTAAAAAAGATAGAAATCTCCAGGGTAGTAAAGAAGCTTATTAATATTATAAAGAAATCTTCTAGAAAGAGTTATCTATAAGAGAATCTAACTAGTTTGTAGATTAGATAATTCTTTCTCTAGTAAATTCAATTTCTTTATAGACTATTGTACTTCACGTAGTCCACCCGGCTTCTTAGCCCGTCACACTTATTCTTATTCGGTTAGTTAAGGATGGGATAGGCATGAATCTGTTTGTATCCTTACACGGCCCCAGGCATCTCCAGCTGCGACGTGCCCGAGAAGTCGGTGTCGACTCGTAGGATCACCCCGGAAAGCCCATCATCGCCGACGCCCATGTGGTGGCAGCACGACCAGCACCGGCCGAGCCCTCGCCCAACCCGGTTCCCGTCAACCCGGTCAGTGAGGATAATCTTAGCTGGAGGAAACGCGGGAGCCGCCCAGCCAGCCCCGCATGGGGCCGACCATTCGAAGGCGTCTGTCATCGTCACATTATCACTAACCAGAAAGTGTGCATTGGAAAGCCATAATGCATCGGAAAAAAACGGACTCGTAGGAAAAGGAAGATCTCGTCGAACTTCATCCAGAAAGCTGGTTGATCACGTTTCCTCCGCCGATCCCCGTGATAACAACCGCCGCTACTGGGGCTTTCATTTCTGCCGGCAATAAGCTCAAGAGAGGGCCACGGCATCCCAACCAACTGCGCTGCTGTGACATAAAATGCGCATTCCTCACTTAGTATCGAGACCGTGAGTATATATAAATGATGGAAGGATTGAGATGATCGGTGCGATCAGATTAGTGCCTGAGTGACTAATCGACCCCTCCCTGTCAGACTTATCGCCCGTCCCGATATATAAATGCCGGGGCTGTCCCGATGGCAGCCCCAACTCCGACTTCCTCTCATTCCAGCTGTGTCCCCCACCCTCTGCCGGACCATGTTCCAACTACATCCCCTCACGGCGGACGACCTCCCGGCTCTGGTCGATCTGTGGTATGATGCCTTCAGCATTCCCATCAATCTCCGCCTGTTCCCCGACACGGCTGGCGTCCGCGCCTGGCTGGCGGCCTACCACCGGGCCAGCCTCGAGCGCCCGGATCAACACTACCTCAAAATCACCGCGGACAGCGCATCCTCGCCTCCCCTGGTGGCTATGGTCAAGTGGGACTTCAATACCACGGCCCCGGGCCACCGCTTCCCGGTTTGGCATGCCGACTCCGACCGGCCCTTCTGCGACGACTTCTTCGGGTCGATGGACGAGGCCCGACGGACGATCATGGGCCCCCGGCCGCACTACTGTAGGTCGTCCCCGAGGTTATATATGCCGGGCGTATGCTAAGCGGCCGCAGATCTGGACACGCTCCTCACCCACCCGGACTACCAGCGGCAAGGGGCCGCCTCGAGGCTGATCCGGTGGGGATGCGACCGGGCCGATCACGACGGACGACCCATCTGGGTCGATGCCAGCCCGGAGGGAGCCGCTCTATATCAACGTTTTGGCTTCCGCGATGTCAGCGTGCCGGGCATCACCCCCGAGGGGGCCATTTCCATGCTCCGAGATCCTGTAGTCATGCATTCTTGATTTCTTCTGAATAATAGATAAAGTACCCTAGCTATTCCTCTCCGCGGCCCTTCAGCGGCCGCATCTCGATGTACTCGGTGCGCAGACTCCATTCGCGCGTCTCGTGGATCAGCCACCCGCTGGTGCCCTCTCCGGCATCGTCCCGGGCCCGGAGGTCCCTCGAGCCCAGCATGGCCACCTCGTCGTCCGCGCTGCGCCCCTGCGATTGCGGCTGGGACGGGGTGGCTCCGCTGGTGCCCGACCGCAGGTACGAGCCCTCCTTCTGGCCACCCTGGCCCCAGCCCGTATTGAAGGCCATCACGAAGGGTTTGAGACAGGGCACGGTGGCGGCCATCAGGCTGCCGTGCAGAAGCACCTCGGTGGCCACCACCACGTCCGAGAGGCCCAGCAGGAGGGGGTCGGAGCCGACGCGCTCGAGGTAACATTGACGCAGGATAACCAGGACGATAATCCTAGTCCGTTCGTTAGCCGGGAACCGGATGTAAGGATTGGGGCAACCGACTCACAGAATGCGAGTACCAAAGGCTCCGATGACGGTCGCCTTCTGGGAGCGGTGCATCTGCACTCCCCACACCAGTCGGATACTCAGGCCCACCAGAAGGGCCTCCGTGGTCGCGTCCACGGCGGCGATGGCGCGCCAGGCAGGAATCTGTCCGACTCAGTAGGCATCGAGCAATGGGGTGGGGAGACTCACAAAGGAACGGCACCCGATGAGGTTCCACGGGTGGACAGGCTCGCATTGGAGCGACACGGCCAGGATGGAGGCAATGCCCCAACCGGCGAGAATGGCCAGTCCCCCCAGGCAGAGCCGGAGATAGGCCGTTTCACGCCCGAGCCGTCGCAGCAGTAGGCAGACGGACAGCTTGGCCGCACACTGCCCGGTGAGGAAGAGGATCTCGCTGGTATACCACGCCTCCCCGGGGTCGGCAAGTCAACATGGTGGACATGAACGGAATCCGATGGGGGAGGACTACCTTCAAGGCACTCTCGCCGTCGCGGGGATCGGCCCGGCCCAGGCCATGTGCCACGCCCTTCAGGATCGCACACACGTTCCCAATGCCAATCACCTACCGCGTGGTGTTAATTCGTTAGCCGGTCAGGAATCCGGGGACGCGACTTACTCCTCCGATCCAGGCCACGGCGTCGTCCCACCCCGGGGGTCCGTTCATGGCGACCCGCATGTAGACCCGAAACAGGGACACCAGCACCATCCAGGACATGAACAGCGTCGCGGCGATCACAATCACCCCGCTGCGGTCCGTCGGGGTGATAGCATACGGGGCTGCCATGCGTGGGGGGAGCCGATCGAAGACGATGGCCGCGGAGAGTCCGAGGGCATCTCGGCGACCATGCGGCTGTCGAGGGTTCTTAATGGATCACGCACGGCTGGGAAGCAGGGAACTGACTCCTAGAGGAGCAGGCATCCTGGTGCAACATCCTCTGGGAGGGGAGCTGAGGTGGAGGGTTGGCACCGGCCGAGTCAGCGACCTGAGACGGGCCCCCTGTCTGGTCTCACCGGCGGATATGAGAGCGCAATGAGATTCCCCCGAGCACAGCGCGGGCCATGGGACTACCTGTCACCGGCGTGACCAGGGGGGTCGGTCCAGACTCTGGCTGCTGTGCCGCAATTTATTGTGCCCGGAAATTCTCGGATTCGCTCCGATGACATCGGAAACCGTTGGGATGAACACCACAGTGCGGTCTGACACTCGTCTCAACGCCGTGGATCAGGTTCCTCCGATGGGGTTGATTCCGATTCCAACCAGCGCAGTATGGGAGACTTCCAGGACTGCATCGGCCCTACACGTGAAGGGGGACTTGGAATGACGCGATCCTCCGAGGTCTCAGAAGGAATTATCAGAAGGCTCATAAGCTAAGGGCCTAGCTCACGAAGACACAATGAGCATTGTCTGAGACATCGACACCGTCTCGACGCCCGGCCGTTCATCGGATGATAGGGCTCCATATTATAGTAGCTTAAGTGGCCACGGACCCCTCCCGACCCGGATCGGAGGTATCGTAATCCAATCCGCTGCCACCAGCACCGCCCGAGAAAAACGACGAAATGGCCCTAGCAGGGATGACAGGACCGTCCAGACGCCAACGGACACGATGTAACGGCGGGCGGCCGCCGGACGGGGGATCCCTGCAAGTGCATCGGCCATGGCCCACTAGCTTGCTGCTAGCTACGCCAACGCACTCGCCAGTCTGCGCCTGTCCCACGGATTGATTAAGCTCCGACTTCCCCCCCTCGCCCACCCTCCGGAGGTTCTGTCCGCGAGTCGATCATCCGCTCACGGTTCAGCACAATGTGGCCCGAGAAAGGCATTCCATCGGTGTACACCTCCGCCCCGGAAGAGGGCGCCCTGCCCGCGACCAAGGGCGGCACCACCCAGGATGGCCGCGACATGTGGCGGGTTGGCCGCGATCAGGAACTGAATGTAGGTGGTGCGTGCAGCGAGGATGGCCCGGACTGACCGGGGCAGCGGAACTTTCGATTTCTCTCGGTGCTGGGCTTCAGTGCCGTGTTGATGTGTACCTGGGAGGCGGTGCTCTTGTAGGTGGTCTCCCGACGGACGGTGGAATCCGGGCTAATTAGTTGGGCAGTGGCGCCTCGTACGGCCTCACGGATGGAGGCAAGGGGGGTATGATTTACACCTACCTGGGGGTGCTGTGCGGCTTCAGCTTTCCCATTCTGTCCATGGCCGAGATGGCCTCCATGTACGCGCCCCGGCTCCTAAGAATCCCTTCCGGTCCACCCTACCCTCCAGCAACATATCACGCCACTAACGGTGAGACCTGACTAGGGCTCCCACCTCCGGGGGTCAATACCACTGGGTGTCCGAGTTCGCCCCGCCGAGCTGCCAGTGTCTGCTCAGCTACATCACCGGCTGGGTGTGCGTGCTGGGATGGCATACGGGCATTGCCGGCTGCTCCTACACCGTGGCCAATATGCTGGTCGGGCTGCTGGCCATCAACTACCCGGATTCCTACGAGTATAAGCCGTGGCACGTCACTCTGTTGGTGATCGCCGTGGCGGTGGCGGCCCTCATCTTCAACACGCTGCTGGCGCAGAAGCTGGCTCTGATTGAGGGCATCATCCTGATCGTCCACGGCTTCGGCTTCTTTGGTATTCTCATCCCGCTGTGGGTGCTGTCCCCGTCGGTGCCACCCTCGGAGGTCTTTGGGTCCATTGTCGACCGAGGGGGATGGGGCAACAACGGCCTCTCGTGTCTCGTCGGCATGGTGGGCCCTATCTATGCCCTGATCGGTGAGTCGTACGAGACACCAGGACCAACGTGAGACTGACGTGGAATAAGGCCCGGACTCGGCAGTCCACATGTGTACGTCTACCTATATCTTGAAGAACGCCGTGTCAATTCACGACTAACACAGAAAACAGCGGAAGAAATCCGCGATGCGTCGCGCGTGCTCCCCCTGGGCATGGTCTGGACCCTGATCCTCAATGGCGCCACGGGCTTCGTGATGATCGTGACGTTCGCCTTTGCCGTCGGCAACATCGACGAGGTCATGGCCTCGACGACGGGTTTCGCGTTCATCCAGGTGTTCCTGAACTCGACCGGCTCGGTGCGTGCGGCCACGGGGATGACGGTGGTGATCATGATCATGCAGTTCTGCGCCACCATCAGCAACGTGGCGACCACCTCGCGGCAGATCTACTCGTTTGCGCGCGACCAGGGGCTGCCGTTTTCTAGCTTTTTTGCCCAGGTGCGTACATCTCCTCACCGGTTCCCCACGATTCATGTCTGTATGGCTCCGACTAAGTATGGGTCCAGGTCAACACCACCTTCACCGTACCCCTCAACGCCCTCTGCGTCAGCCTGGTCATCGTCTCCCTGCTCTCGCTGATCAACATCGGCTCCTCGGTGGCCTTCAATGCCATCATGTCGCTGGGCACCGCCGCGCTGCTGTCCTCCTACCTCATCTCGATCAGCTGCGTCCGTCTCCGCCGCTGGCGCCAGCAGCCCCTCCCCCCGGCCCGCTGGAGCATGGGGCGCTTCACCCCGGTGGTGGATACCGTGTCGCTGCTGGTGCTGGCGATCGTGTTCGTCTTCACCTTCTTCCCCCTGACGAATGACACCGCCCCGTCCGAATTCAATTGGGCCATTGTCATCTTCGGGGGGGTGGTGGTGTTGGCGCTGGGGTATTATGCGCTGCATGCGCGGAAGGTGTACAAGGGGCCGGTGACGAGGGTTCGGGTGGCACAGTGATTTCCTCATTGTCCGTACCCAGTCATAGATGGGGGGATGGGGGGTTTTATATAGTAGGATGGTACTCGTGGTACCACGCAGGGCGAGGTGATGTGTGAATGACAACGTTCGCCACACGAGTTCGCATGAACCCATCGTAGGAATTTAATTACTAGGGTTTTCAAATTTAGTCGTCACCGATTGTAGCAGGACGCGCACAGCCGCATGTCATGATTGGCATGGTAATCCACCCACGCTCACCGGGAGTTTGGAATACATGTTTCGCTACTGAAATTGGACGAAGAATAGAATTATGGCGCGGCTGATGGCTCGATGGTCCGTCGGAGCCATCTCCGATGAGCGCCCGCATTAATCAACGTGAATATACACGGCATGCCCGTCAGTGCTCACACAGCGCAAAGTCCCCCCGCTCAAAGGTCGTGTTCTGGGCGCGCTGGCGAGCCCGTCGCTCGTCCATCAGCTCCTGGCGGTAGGCCTGAGCCGCCGCCCCGGTCATGCCCGCCGCGGGCAGCGCCTGGGACACCAGGTGCTGCAACTCCGGGGGCAATCGCGCGGATAAGGCCTGCTGCACGGCCGCCTGTCGCGCGCGCGCCCACTCGGCTTGCTGCGGTGGCACATGCGCCGTGGAGATGATGCGCCGGTGGGGGTCCACCAGAAAGAGGGCCAGGATCTTGCGATGGCCCGGCTGCGTGGGATCCGCCAGGGCAAAGGGCGCCACGCGGTGCTGCACGGTATTGGGGAAGGTGAGCAGTCGACCTGGGCGGCACTGGACGCTCCCCAGATCTTGCGTGACGGGGGTGTCCCCCAACCCGGTCACCTCGGGGCCGAATCCATACACGACCTGCAGAAATTCATGGTGGCTCTGCTCATAGCGGACCTCGGACAGGTCCGTCGTGGCGCGTTGCCGGAAGCACAGATGGCTGTCGGTGATGTTGTGACTGTCGTAGTAGTAGATGGCCGTGGCGCAGATCCGTTCATTCTGGCAGCTGTCAGTCACAACCCCTTACCTCGGAGCCCGACGCCGGGGGGACCTCACCAGCTGCCCTTCAATATGCCACGATCCGCCGCCATAGTCCGGTCGCTCCGGGGTCAATTCGATATTGGCCAATTTGACAATGATCTGGAGCCCGTCGTCCCGAAACCGCGTCCGCAGGTCCACCGGGCCCGTGTAGGACGGTCGCGAGGGCGTGAACGCCCCGGGCTCGGGCTGGCGGATGGGCCGCGCGCGCCGCCATTCCTCGTGACGGTCCCAGAATGCCTCGCTGTCCGAGTCCTCGTCCTCCTGGGGTTCGGGCTCCGGCCGGGGGTGGTCCAGGTACTCGACGTGGTCGTAGGGGATGCGCTCGTTGCAGTAGCTCCGGACCTTGGTCAGACTGGCGTCCCAGAGGGGGATGGCCGCGTCGATGATCTGCTCCACGACGTGATAGAGGTCTTCGTGCTGCGTCGGGTGCAGATTATTGATGTACGATCGGATGTGACAGCCGCCGGTCTCGTTCAGCGCCACGTCGCAGGGCAGCCACTGAAATTTCCGGCTATAGGGGCGCAACCCGTTGTAATGCCAGGAATTGCGCCCGACGGAACCGGCCTCGCTTTCCGGGGGGATGGGCAGGTGGACCCCCTCGCCCATGCTCTCCAGGCAGTCGTCCCGCGTGATGCAGCTGTCTGGCAGGATGCGCGTCTGCCCATAGACCAGTGGGAACAGGGACGGATGGACCAGGTCGACCACGCGCTGCTCCGAGCCGGGATGGTAGTCCTTTTGATCCTCGGGGATCGTCTCCAGCGGGCGCACGGCCTGTCGCAGGGCCTGCTGTAGCTCGGGCGATACGGCGGTATCGGAGCGCACGACGCCAATATCAAAGACGGGGAACAGCCCGTGGCGCTGGAACCCCTCCGTCTTCCATCGCAGCTCGCGGAAGATCCAGTCCATCATGCGCCGCGAGACATCGCGGCCCGATTCCATGATCTCGGTCCGCCATCGATCGGTGATGGTGTCGTCGAACACCTAGTCTGATTCAGTGCTCGCCGGAGGACATGGCTCGGGCGGGGGGTCTACCTTGCGATCCCACTCGGGCTTTTCCGCGATGGCATTCATGATCTGCATCATGGTGATTTCTCGCTGGGTGCTGACCCGGCTACGGGGGCGGCAGCAGACGGCCGGTTAGTGCGGCGAGGCCGGGCTGGCAGGCGTCGACTTACCCGGCGTAGCCCTGCTCGACATCCCGCGGGTCCAGGGCATTGGGAAACACGGATAATTCGTAGAGATTTCGCTTCTGCTATGCCGGGGTAGAAGTGGTCAACCAGGCATCCTAGACCAACAGACCAGCGAGACCTACCGAGGGCCGGTGATCCAAGGGCAGATTAAAGCCGGGGAGTTGGACGGGGGTGGTGTGTCTTGATCCCATGGGTGTGTGGATATGCTATATATACCTCTGTAGGTGTATATGTATGTAGATGTATGAACCCTACTCCGACGAGACATCCGCTTTTATAGAGCCGGGGGACGGAGGCACCCACGGGGGAGACAAGGATGCCTGGCAGGCAGCAGGCAGCAGGCAGCCTCGAGAAATCCGCTATTTAAGGTTTCCCAACGTGCTGCCCAGCCGTCGCCAATCGGGGATTCTGAAGCATAGGTTTGGTTTTGCATGCGCCTACAAAGTACACGGGATTACACATTGCACATGCAGAGGTTCACTACGACCACAACAAGAGATGGGATCAACAAGCAGCTCCGATCGGCTGGGGGAGCTTGGAATCAGCCATCAACGGCAGGCATCTAGAAGAACAAGAACCGGACGCCACGACTCGCCCCCGACGTGGCCGTGCTGGGGGACGCCACGGCTGCGGACACACTGGTCGAGGCACTCGCCCAAGAGGCCGGCTGACTGACCGTGGCCGAAGTCACCGTCGGGGTGGGATACACCGTGAAGCTCGATGCCGTTGTGGTGGGCCCATTGCCCGGACCAGGCCCATCGCCATTCCCAGGGCCGTCTCCTCCGCCATTATTCGGGCCACCACCCCCCCCGGTGCCCGGCGGCGGACCATCGCCCTGGCCACCCTCGTCCGGGTCCGCCAGGATGCCCAGCTGATACACCGACCAGACATTGTGACCACCACCTAGATGTCCCCCCCCCCCCCGAGCGCGCGTTAGCCAATCCGTGCCACGGAAAGTCGGGGCCACCCTCCAGGTCACCACGTACAGGTATCGATGGGGTAGCCGGGGCAGTTGGTATTACATTGCGTGTGCGCGACGACGCTGGCGGGCGCGGGCGGTGCCGCGCCACACCAGCAGTCCGCCGCCTGCACGGCCGCAAAGGGCGCCGCATCTTGGGCGCAGAGCTGAGCGCATAATCCCACCGACTGGTAGACGTTGGGGCCCTGGTTGGTCAGGTTGCCGGGCGAGGCGTAGCAGCCCAGGTAGTGCTCCGCCTGGGCGCGGACGGCGAGCGCGAGGGCCAGCACGGTGCCGACCGAGATGGCGGCCTTCATTGGAGGATCGATCGGTCGGAATCGACGGAAGAAGGGACGCGGACGGGTGCAATGAGTGACTGGTAGGGAGAAAAGGACAGAACGAGGAGCCCGGAGTGCAGAGAGACGAGATGGACACCCGCCGGCTTTAAAAAACGGTTCGTCGCCGGACCCTGTGATCGGCCGCAGACCCTGAAGGTGAAGGAATCGACCGACCGGGCCACCCTGGCTCGGGTTTAGGGCCGCTTAGCGCGTCGATAAGGGGTCAATGTCTGAAACCCAACGTATCAGAAGGTGCCCCGAGCGGATGCGCCCCACGAGGCCCTGACAACGGTTCCCTCTCGCGTCGTCGGGGGATGATGGATGGCTGATTCTCTCCGATTTTCCAGTCGAGCCGGATGCCTTCTGCTATGGTCCCTCACGGTCGAGATGATGAACATTTCTACATAGTATTTCCCATCTCCCCGGTCCTATCCATGGTTCGGCCTGGGTCCGAAGCACTAGCGGTGATGGCGATACCCCGCTCTCAAACCATGGCCCAAACGGTAGGCTCCCGATGCGAACCGAGGCAATCAGTAGCCGGACTGGAGAGTATATGATGATTCTTCCTCGCCTGCAGGCTCATCGGACTAGGAACCCTCTACGGGATCCGTGGCTAAGCGGCGAGGGGGTGCGCCCCAGTTGGAATCATCTCCACCATGACCGCCAGGAGCATCCGGCTTACTCTAGTCCAGCATAGCATCAACTAGTCCCTCGACAGCGAGCCCCCTTGCCCTTCCCTCTTCTCCACGACCATCCCCCCGAATGCACCCGAGCAGAGACTGAATGTCCTCCATATCCCAGCAGGACCGCTCCAGGGACCGCCAGATCGCCTCGCCCTCCAGCCAGGCTCGTCGCGTCATCCACCACACTCCCAGCGGGCGCATCATCTCATACCACCCACCCAGCAAGAGCAGCGCGCGCGGGTCACGGTCCCGCAGGAGCTGCTTGAACGGGGGGGGGGGTCATGGTGCGGAGACAGTCCACAAAGCGGAGGGGATTCACGATCGCCGGACGGTCGGTATACAAGGCGCGTGCCACCTCGACAGCGACGTCACGGTATAGCGAATTCTCGACCGAGGGAGACACAGGGGTCAATCCAAAGAGGCGGATGAACGCGGGAGGGACCTGATGGAGGTTCAACTCCCCTGGCTCCCCAGGGTAGAGGGGGGCTCAACGGACTCGGAGCTAGGGCTACGGCAACCGGGTCCAGCGACGCGGATGGCATCAAGCGCCAGATTGCTTCCTTTCCCCCCAGTGATTCGCAGCCAGGCGGAACCAGGAACCACAGGATGGCGGCCGTGGGGAGCAGCGCGCCCGTCTCCTCCGGGGGGGATCCCCGCGCCAGTTGGTGGTTGAACCCGGTGAGAGCTCGGTCCCAGTGCTCGGAGGCTTCCAGGCTCAACCCGGGAGGGCGGGGGTGCCCCGTGGCGCGGTCATGCATCAGGACCAACGCCAGAAGGGCATGCCTCAGGTAAGGGGTCTACTCCTGTCAGTGAGCAGGCCGAAGCAAGGACCAGACCCGGGGATGCGCACCGATCGCGCCAGCTGCACTTGGAAGCGGCTCAGGAGGTAGTCCATCCGGTCCGTCCAGTAGGAGAGAACTGCGAGGCAGGGTCATCGAGACCGTGCGCTCCACGGTGGCCTGCAGAGCCGGCGTGGAGGTGTAGGGGCACGACACCCCGTATGCCTGGCATCGTCGGCAGATGGGCTTCGTCTCGTCCACACTACGCCAACAGAGCAGATTCTCGGCACCGGATTTCGGGGGAGTCCTCGTTCCGCCACGACTTACCTTGACGCTGCGGAGTTTGCAGTTCCCGAGGGAGACATCGGTCACCTCTCTGACTAACAAGGTTGACCACCTGTCATCCGTCCGGCAGGCCGTCAGCACTAAGTCCTCCAGATTCAAGGCACCAGCCTGATGTTCCGCTGGCTCACCTATCCCTGCATTCTGGGCACCGACGTCGCCGGCGAGGTAGTCGAGGTCGGCCCCGGGGTCACTCAATATCAAATGGGTGACCGCGTGCTGGGCATGGCGAGTGGGAAGAACGAGATGAATCAACGCTCCCGCCCAAGGCGGATTTCAGCGCTATGTGGTCCTGGCCACGCATATGGTCTCCCCGCCTTCCCGCGTCCCTGTCGTACGAGCAGGCCGCGGTCCTGCCCCTGGGCATCGCCACCGCGGCCGGTGGCCTCTTCGAGCCTGACCAACTCAATCTCTCCTACCCTTCGACTCATCCCACTCCCACCGGCCAGACCGTTATGATCTGGGGCGGGTCCACCAGCGTGGGCAGCAACGCCATCCAACTCGCCACGGCCGCCGGCTACGAGGTGTTCACCACTGCATCCCCGCACAACTTTGACTATGTGACGCGCCTCGGGGCCGCCCCGGTCTGGGACTATCGCAACTCGACCGTCGTGCCGGACATGATCGCGGCCTGCCAAGGGAAGACCGTGGCCGGGGCGCTGGCAGTGGGCGCCAACGCCGCGGACGGCTGCATGGCCATTCTGGCACAATGCACGGGGAACCGCGTCGTCGCCCTGGCCAGCTATCCGGTGCCGTCCCCCCCCCCGCCCAAGCACTTGACCATGCTCCGCACCATGCTGGCCTTCCTCGGGGGGAGTCTCGCCTACTGGCTCAAGGCCCGGACCAGCGGGGTGCGCTACAACTACATCTTCGCCTCCACGCTGTATGACAATGGCATCGGAGAGATGATCTTTGCGAACTTTCTCCCGCGGGCGTTGACGGAGGGTCGCTATCAGGTGGTGCCGGAGCCGGTCGTGCATGGAAGGGGACTAGACAGCATTCAGGGGGCCATGGACTATCAGCAGCAGGGCGTGTCCGCCAAGAAGGTGGTTGTGTTGCTACAGGAGTAAGTTTGCGGGCATCTCATGTTAGTGGTAGTCAGTGATATATTCCCGTCTGTCTGCAGATTATTGTGATTAGCTGCAGTTTTAATCCTCTCTATTCATTCTGTTCTTATACAAAGTTCAGGCCCCGACCAGACGGTGGAATTCAATTCTATATCCCACATGTATTCCCTGCGTTCATCCATTTGCGTTTTCCCATTTCATGGAGTGTTGACACGGCTCCTAAAGCACCTCTTCAATGCGACTCTGTGCAGACCAAGAAACGTAGCCCAGCGTTTTCTCGCTAGAATCAACGTGCATCCCACTCTTCTGGTATTTGCGGTCACCCAACAAGTTCCGGTCTATTCTGGAAAGACGTCTATGAAAAATCATTACCGCCGAGGCTACCAGAAGAGGAGGAAAAAGGCCAGAGGCCTGGATGTTGTCCTATCGTTAAGTTATATTCTCAAGTCAAAGTAACATTCGGAGGTATAAGTGCCGGTGAAGAAGAAATGACGAAACCTGGGACTCCTGAGGAAGGCCGATTGGATGAAATTCATGCTTCACCTACTCAAGCCACGGCCAAGGGCCATGTATAATCACAGCGACTTTCGAGAGGACATATCTACTTCCATCTTCCTGCTACCAACTCAGGTCAGGTAGCCTGACGGCTATCTTACCATGGTATATACTATCGGATTTCTCTTAGTGCTCCAGGTCTTAGGACACACAATAAGAATCCATTCTGTCCTTTCTTCGGCAGTGAATTTGAAGGGCCTGCGAGGGATTGTTCTCTCTCCATGAGCTGCAGTATATGATTCCGGCATGGTTGGCGTATGAGGATGTTTGCAAGATGCAAGATTCAATTATTTGGACCATGGACAAAGGTATTATAGGTAATGGATGAATACGGTATCATGCTGGGCAGTTCGCGGGGTGTCTGATGAAGATATAGACTGGCGATGATTGTGCCTGAAGCGGGAACAGCTCGAACGTGAGACCGGGCGAGCAGATTACATCAAGATGCTTAGGGAGATTGACCAGGAATGGCATATCTCGAACGAAAGAATTATAATTAGGTTTGGCTTCGCTGTATCTATGACGTGCCTACAGCAGACAAGCCTGGCGACAAGCCGCAGTTTACTCGTAGATGTAGCACAGCGGAGTACCAGCGGTGGTGTCCAGCACATCGTAGATCTCGCGCGGCACCGTCAGGTTGCCCATGTACAGGAGATCGTGGATGGTGGTGTTCGGCGACGGCATGAGACCATCGATGAAGTCGGGGCCCTTGACGACGTAGGTCCGGTTGGCCGGGTTGAGGTTCTGCCAGATCCAAAAGGTGCGGTCAATCATGGCGTGGTGCAAGTAGAAGGCCGGGTCACCGGGCGAGGCGTACAGATCCTATGGGTGAATATCAATCAGTATCTGCCGGGATGATGCCACTCGTGGGAGGGACAGCCAAACTTACGCCACCCGGATCTCCACCAATGGTGAAGTGGCCGGCCGTGTGAACGCCCAGGAAGCCTTCCTCGAAGAACCCTTGCATGGTCCACTCGAAGCAGGAGATGTTGTCGCAATTCTCAATCAAGCTGATGACGTCGCTGCTCTTCGTCCAGCCGAGAGCGGTCCAGGGGGAGATGTCCCGACGCAGACAACGGGGGTTGTAATCCAGTCCGCTGCCGTTTTGGGCCACGAGGCCAGGGATCTGCAGGGTGGGGTCGACGGGGCCCAGGTTGACGGTCATGCTGTTGATCATGGGTTAGTATAAGAGGAAGAGTGGTCGCCAGGGAACCTACTTGGCGAAGGGGCCATTGCGGACGCAGCCACCACCCACACCCGGCGGGATGGTTGTGTACGCGGTGGCCGGGGTGCCGTTGTGGGCGACGTAGTCACCGTTACCCGACATACTGTACTCGGTGCCATCGAAGACCGGCGAGTTGATGGGGTTGGCAGCGTACTTGTTCCACGCCCAGTACGGCTGGTACCCGTCGTAGCCACATTCGGTGCGCAGCGCGTTCTCGTAGGCCCAGGTGAAGTAGCGGTGCCAGGTAAGGAAGTTACCCTACGCTTCCAGGTCAGAGCAGAATATCCTCAAGGCATTCTTCGCCACATACCGTGCCGTGGATATAGAGCGTCTGGTTGATATGGACGGCCACAAAGTCGTCGAAGCGGTTCCGGGCGCCAGGGGCCCAGGTGGGGTCGGACCGGGGGGGCTTGGACATCAAGCAGAGCACAGCATCGGTGTATTTCTTGCGGTCCGCCGGTGCAAGCGAGCCCCTGTGGGAGAAGAGCGATTAGCGTCAATGGATCGTCACACGATGCAAGCAACGGTTGCGACTTCGTGTGGATAGATCGGGAAAGCAGTCGTACCATTCCTTGCGGACAGCCGCATTGTTAATGTTGCAGCTGGAGTTGGAAGCTCCCTCGGCCGCCACATAGGCGACCTTGGTTGCGAGGGCCTTGCTGGCCAGGGCATCGACAGGGTCGGCGGTGGCTGCCGACGCCGGAGCGACGGCCAGCGCGGCGGTTGCAGCCGCAGAGAGGAACGAGAAGCGCATGGTGCTGGGCAGTGCAGTTCTCCGGAGCTTGTGAGAGCGTTCTGTCAGGCGAGTCCACTGGGAGAGACGGTCCGTTGCGACCTCTATATACCCCTTTACCCCCCACGTGCATCGCTGCCGACCAATGCAACGGCCAAAGACCCATCTCGGAATCCGGCATGGTAGCCCTCAGACCGTCAGACGATGCAGGCACAGCATGGTCGGCTGTGGTTGCAGTCTAGGCCACTGCTAGTGATGTCTTGGCTATGGTGGGTGGAGATGACTGGGCGGCGACGTACGATTCCGGGCAGGCCGTTGGACAAAGAGATTTGATTACTCTGGCCGGTGCCTCGCTAAGGTCCGCGGAGACGTTCCGTCGAATGAGCTAGCCATCTGGAATTCGTGGCATGGGGCTAAGGCTGTCCGTCGCGGACCGGCGCGTGTCCAAAGCGACACCAAGTGGGGAGACCATCGCCAGGGTTTGGGATCCCTGGCCGACAACCTGGCAGACCCCTGTCGATTTCCCCAGGTCTGTCAGATTATCAATCGCAGCCGGGGGCCGGCAGGATTTGGGTTCTCACTCCGGGCCAGATAGCCTTTCGAAACATGTAGAGATACCACGGCGCAAGAAAGGGGAAGGCAAGGAAGGGCCGGAGCCACGCCGCGACTCAGCCAGTGCCACGTTGCCAAGGACTCAGTCGGATCCGAACCAGCCGGCGGAAAAGGTCCGCAACACGCTAGAGCGAAAAGCTCCTCAAGATAGATGACTGGCATCTCCACCCCATCACGGGCCAATCTCCGACGCTCCGACTGAAGCCCATTTCCGCCGGTCGACCCCTCCAGAATGTTCGTTTTCTGGCCTGTGAGTCGGGGCGTCCCCAGCGATCGTCGCGATAAGCTCAAAGCCTTCATTGCTTCCACGCGTAGCTCCAGTGGTTCTTGAAATCGGCGCCCGCCATCCGTCTGGGGATCACGATCATCCCGTCAGGATATAGAGATCTCAAGGTTTGAGTCTCCCATCACCCATCTAAGAGGTCGGAGATATGCCTCACTCAGTCGGCACCGGTAGCCCTCGCCGACGGCACTAAATCCTGCGCAACCCCTGCTAGTCGCCACAGATTCCGAGCAGTGGCTCCATTCTGCTTTTGCCGAAGGCCCCCCTGGTACGATTAATTAATTTTGGTTCACACAATCCTTGGCTGAGGTTATGACTGGAGGGATGCTGTGCCCTTTGACCGAGTTGCCAGGGGTCAGGATTCATAAATCGGTCATAATAGGTCCAGAAACGTAATCCCCCCTTCTAGACTCATACGCCCAATTGCATGAAGCTAAGACCGTAGTGGTGTACCCGGAATCCTTGACCAAGCCGTTGGGCCGGTTGAATGTAGAAAAGGAGGCGTGGGTGCGTCCTCGGCCCCATTTCCTGGACGTCTAAAGTCTCTGCGAGTCTTCTCAAAAGAACCGGCCGGCAGTTCGCGGGCAGTATGACTCCTCGTTTTCCCGGCGTCGAGGACCCACGGCTGTTGCTCTGGCCTCGAGAGGGGTCGGATGACTCCGATGCTCCGGGTATCCTCACAATAGTTGGCACCTTGACCGGACTGTCGACCTTGGTGTTGTGGCTACGTTGTTATGTGCGCGGGTACCTCCTTCGACGCTTCAATGCAGAGGAGCACATCATCATCGCGGCGTGGGTAGGTCACTCTACTCCCTCGTCTGTAGGGAGAGGAACTGTCTCGCTCATCAAGGAGTATAGCTGTGTGCCATCGGTGTCCTGATTTGCTTCGTGCTGGAAGCCCAACATGGATTGGGGCGGTATAGCCAGGACATCTCTGACCAGGATAATCAGATGCTGTCCAAGCTGGTCTATTGCCACTCAATCATCGTCATGGTCGGCCTCAGCCTTGTCAAGATTTCCCTGGCCGTGTTCCTGCGACGGTTTTCGCAAAGCTTGCTAAGCAAAGCGCTGGTTGGGTCAATTGGTAGGTTCACGCCACTATGCATCAGGGGCACACTGACCGATTGCAGTCTTTCTCATCGCGTTTACCATTGCCTGTAGTTTGACCCTGATCCTCCAGTGCATTCCCGTGGCAGCAGCATGGGATACAAGCCTGCGGCCTCATGCGCGCTGCTTCAACAATGATACTTTCACCGCCATTGGCCTGTGGAATAGCAGTAAGATTGCCGTGCCGGTCCCTTGTCAATTACAACGTGTGTCTGACCCTCTGTGGCTCTCTCGTCCCTTGCCAGTTACCAACCTCGTTACCGATGTCATATTCGCCACCCTTCCAGTGCCCCTTTTCATCGGAATCCAGGTCAATTGGCGAACCAAAGTGTCACTTATTGGAGTCTTGAGCCTGGGATACCTGTCAGTTGGCGCCCCATGGTGCAATCCCCGTGGCGACTAACCCCGCCGATTAGAGCATGCGTTGCTAGTATCGTCAAGATCATTTCCCAAGTCAAAGTGCTCAAAGAGCAGAACATGTACCGGTAATGATGAGCCCCGTTGCAGGTCAACTGGCGTGGATCAACCGAGCTGACAGCCGCACAGACACGACACATTCATGATCTGGAATTGGTTTGTGGCACCGCGACGGATGGAACCAGGAAGAAAATGGAGGCTAATCGGTTGGCGTCTTTAGTGCCGAACTCAACGTCGCCATTCTCGCGGCCTGTCTGCCCAGCATCAAGCCCCTGCTGAAATCCATCCTCGATGGCACTCGCAGTTTGACCAGCGGGCGTCGCAACGCTACTGCCTACCGCTACAACACGCACGGCTACTATGTCCAACACAGCACCGATATTGCCCTGAAGTCAGTGACCAGGACGCGACCGTCGCCATACGATATCACCCACGACGCATCAGTCGTGGCAAGTTCCGACAGTGATTCGGGGAGTCGGCGCGAGAGTGATGAGCAGAGGCTACATCGGACCGAGCCTGGCATCATGAAGACGACGGAGGTGGTGATCCAAACCCATGGCGATTGATGTCTCAAAAGTGGTTTTGTCTCTCTTAGTTCCTTTGTCAGCTTCCTAATCAACCAGGTCTGCTTACTGCATGTTGAACTTGGCTGGAACAGATCAATTTTCCTAACGCCCACCCGACCTCGAGTGGCCGAGCGCAGTATTCATTTCCCATCACCGTAGTCTGTGACGAGTGAAGATTTACCCCCGTTGGGCCATGCGCTTCCGTCCAGCCCAGAGCACTGAGTCACCAACCTCTGCAGCAGTCGCAGGTCGCATAGATGCGTCGGGCAGTGGAGACAAAGCCATCGTCATGCTGGAGCATCCTGGGAAACACACCCGCTACTCCAACCACCGGTGTTTCTCCTCGGGATGATATTGGCATGCAGCGCAATATCCGCAGCGCCCCGGCCACCAATGGGAGGCGTTGCTGTTCGTCTTGCCCGCGAGGGGATTGCGTATACCACTGGAGGTCGGATGGACTGGTCCGTCGGCTCCACCAGACTCCCGATGATCAAGGTCAGGAACAGAGCACTCGACTATTCGTTGGTCCACATGCAGTTGCCATGGCAGTCAATGCTGCTATAGATGCAAATTGAGGATGTCAGAGCTGCCCGAAACAACAATAGTCCTCCACTCTGAGAGTAGCTGCCATCCATGGGATGCCTCGAATGGGAGGCCGGCAGTCTGCATTGATGATAGACGGCTCCACTCTCCATTGGCAATGATGGATGATGTGGGCAAGAGCTCCATGAGAGCTTCATCCGAGACGGTAGCATCAGATAAATAGATCGGCGGCCTCACTGATGCGCCGCAACGACGGTAGCCCTGGAACTACTGGCGAGTACCTCATCATACTTCCACTTGTGCATCATGGCTCCTTTCCGACTCCTCCTGGCCTGCGTTCCGCTGGCTCTGGCATCCATCACGGTGTTAGACCCCAGCGACAATGCCGATCTGACTGCAGATGCCGCAGACAATGCCTTGGAAGTGGACTATACCACCGACAATGGTGGTCCCTCGTATCTCCTCTACAATATTACCGGCCCCTACTACTATTCCGATGAGGATGCGGAAGTCAGCCACCAGACCCTGTCGGTGAATGCCAACGACACCAGCGTTCTCGTCGCGACAGATGGTGCGGTCGTCAATGTGTCCTATACCGACGTGGTCAAGAAAGGTTACTCGACATGGCTCAACCAAGCGAGCTTCTTTGGCGTCAACGCGGCCATCAATGTGGCGAATGCCTCCACGGCCTATATCGATCACAGCAACATCACCGTGCACAACGGCGCCGCCAATGTCTATTCGTATGGCACCGGATCAACTGTCTACGTGAACCACACGGATCTGTACAGTTCGGGCCCCGTGTCGCACGGCCTCTATGCGAGTGGCAACGGTACCATCTATGGCTCTAACCTGCGCCACTATTCGGGTGGGAGCCGCTGTTCTTCCTTCTCCGGGGACAATCCGGCCGGGTATATCCATGTCACCGATGCCGTTGCTCACACGGCGGGAATCGGCAGTGCTATCTTCTACACGCTTGGGGAGAGCTATGGCACGGACGTGGTGGGAAGAGCCGAAAGGGCGCCCAGTCTTTTCTCCGATGGCGCGCAGACATCCGTCTTCGAGAATGTCGATTTCACGGCCGGTCTACTGGCCGGGACCGTCATGTTCTCATCATCCACACGCTCCAGCGGCGCATCTCTGACCTTCTCCAACTCCCGCCTGACCACTCTGGGCGAGGACATGGCCGCCCTATGGTTCGGAAATCTGATCGCATCGGCCACGATCCATGCGACCGAGCTGAACACCACTTCAGGCATCCTCGTCATTGCCAATGCGTCCCAGATCACACAGTCCTTCGACCACTTCGTCGGATGGGAGGAGAATTCGAGCATCCAGCCCGCACAAGTGTCCGTGTCGGTGACAGAGTCCTCACTCACCGGAGATATCGTGGCCTACAATGGCAGCTCCATCGCCTGGAGCCTGGCCGAACACTCGAGCTGGACAGGAGCGGCATCCTTCGGAAGAGGGACTGCGTACGTGGGGGTCACCCTTGATGCCACCTCCACCTGGACGCTCACGAAGAATGTGTATTTGCAGAATTTCACGAATGCCGATACAACCAACAGCAACATCCAGAGCCAGGGATACAGCATCTACTACAATGCATCATCATCCAGTAACGCATGGCTCAAGTCCACTAACACATCCCTTCCAGGTGGGGGGCGGTTGCAATCGTACTAGGCACTTCCTTTTGGTCTGACCGAGCATGAGCCGATGCTTGCACCTGGGTTTTGCGAGTTTGTCACAGCAGGGCACAGTTTTGTGATCAGCAAGTGTGATGAGGGATGCGATTGGTGGCTCATCTTGAGAACATGTAACTAGTGGCCATGGCCGTAGCTCGAGCAAATCAGCCTTTCTTGATTGCCCATCAAACCCGTTGAGCATCCCTAGTGCGTAGTAGAGTGTATGCAGGTGTCCGATGCAGGGCTGGGCGGGGAAGACGGTCCTGGAACGGTCCATCTGCAATACAGCCCTATTTGCCCACCTGGGCGTGTTCCAAGAATTCCCCATCACGTTACAGTAATTAGAAGAGAGGCCGTCGCCCATTATCATGGCAATAGCGCAGCCCAGGATTGGTCCAGCGAGCAGTGGCGTTGGACCCCGGCTCCCCAGCCGCGTCGGCTCCCTTCACGTGCGACAAGCCACGACAGTGCATTACGCAAGCCCTGCAGGTAGTCAATATAGATTCATTTGGCTATCCCGTCGTCCCTGTGATTGACAGCTCGTCCCACTCAAACGGTGCATCCCATTGGTCGGTTGGCTGTGACAAGCCAGGATAGGGCCGAGACAGGATCGACGCGGTACTGGGCCCTCTTCCTGCGGCCGCGGTCGACTTCAAGGCCTCCGGCTGGTCCTCCTTAGGGAATATGGCCGGTCGTTGTGGATTCAGGGCCGATCCACGGTCTCCCCCGCATTGCTGGTCTCCCGAGATCTCCTCCACAACCCTAAAGGTCAACCCCGGATTTGGGCTCCACATCCCTTAGAGACCACGTCGATCTGGCCGTCGGTCGTCTCCGTAGGGTGCAGAGCCGAGGCGAGGGGCCAAGAGACGACTTATAAGGCCCTTGGCCATGGAAGCATCTTCTGAGTCCATCCGGCTGCGCAGCACTCCCCTTCGAGCCAGCGGAATCAAACAACAAGATGGCGGCAGGAGTCCCAAACCTCTCGGTTCGAACGGTGCAGAAGATCGGAGAAGAGGACCAGCACCCTCACCGTTCACTAGGCCATGTTCGCTTGCGCCATCACGAGACCAACGAGGTGATCTTGGTGCCTACCCCCTCGGACGACCCCAATGATCCGCTGCGATGGTACATCCTTGTTACCCTCACCAGAGCTGGTAGTTGACGCGTTCCACTAGGTCTACCTCGTACAAGATTTACATCGCCATCCTCGTCTCCCTTGCCATGGTGATGTGTAACTTCATGTCGGCGGGCCCGACCGTTGCCATGGTGGACGTCGCTGCCGACTTTAACACCAGTGTATCTCGCGCGGCCTACTTCTTTAACAACAGCGCTCTGCTGCAGGGGGTATCCAACTTGATCTGGGTCCCTCTTCTGAACAAGTATGGACGGAGGCCCATCTATCTTGCGGCGTACCTGCTCTATTTCTTTATGATCCTGGGAGCAGGGTTGGCCACGACCTATGCCGGCGAACTCACCACCCGCACGATATTGGGGGTGGGTGCTGGTGCTGGTGAGTGTCTGGCACCGGTCACGATCGCCGACGTCTTCTATCTCCACCAGCGGGGATATGGTATGGCGTGAGTTGTCCGTGACGATAGCCCGTCGGGTTCAGTGGACTGACCTCGACTACCAGCATCTACAATTCCGCATTGAGTGCCGGCGTCTCCTTCGGGATTATCATTTCCGGCTTGGTCACGATCAATCACTCCTGGCGCGCCATCTACTGGGTGGGCTGTGGCTTGGTCGGTGGCCTTCTTATCATCGTCGTTTTCTTCTTCCCCGAGACCGCCTTCCCAAGATCCACCAACCCGGACGATGTTCTAGGCGCCCAGAAGCATGCCGAGCATGTCGAATCCAGGGGATCGGAGGTCCTCCAGCGGAAGCAGGGCTACCTGCAAAGTCTGCGTTTCTGGTCAGGACAGACGTACACGGATGAATCGCTTTGGCGCATGTTCATCCGCCCCTTCGGGCTCATTCTGCTTCCCCCCATCTTCTGGGCTACCATTGTCATGTCCGTGACCATCGGCTTCCTGGTGGCGGTCACGTCGAACTTCGCGAGCGCTTTCAGCGAAGTGTATGGATTTGCTGCCTGGCAGAGCGGCCTGTGCTTCATCGCCGGCATGCTGGGCTGCTTCCTGGGGACTTTTGCCGGCGGGCCGTTTTCCGACTGGGTGGCCGATGCGCTCACCAAGCGCAACGGAGGCATTCGCGAACCGGAGATGCGCCTGCCCGCCATTATCCCCAGTGTCATTGCAGCCCCACTGGCTCTGCTGTTGTACGGTTTCGGTATTGGGCGCGGCTGGCATTGGATCGTGCCCACGATCGGACTGGGGCTGTGTAAGTTACTCCCGACCGTGTGATTGTTTCATTTCCTCATGCAGAGATCGCTGACGATGCGCGTAAGTGTCCTTTGCCATCAGTCAGGGAACCAACGTCTCCTTCGTCTATTGCATCGACTGTTACCGTCCGGTGGCCGGTGAGGTTGCCGTCACCCAGCTGGCGTTCAAATGTAGGATCTAGCCTTCTGATCTGCCTCTCGGATTTATCGTTACTGACTAGCTGTGACAGCCTGCTTTGGGTTTCTGCTGTCCTTCTATACCAACCCGTGGATCGATGAATCCGGGTATGAGGCCGCCTTTGGCGCCATGGCCGGCATCTCCGGTGGTTGCCTGCTGTTTTTCATCCCCTTGTATTTGTGGGGAAAGCCCATCCGGATGGCATCAATAAAGTGGCCGTTCGTCCAGTTTGTCTTCTGGAAGGATGATCGGGAGGTGGGGGAGTGATCAGCGTCATTGATTTCTGGAAGTGTCCCCCGGATGCGAGTGACATATCCTTCGATGGAGCCTACCAAACAAGTGATTGTTTCTCTCGTTCCAAGTTGTCAGGAAATTCCACTTGCATATTATTCAATTCTAGGCTGGTATGAAGCTTGTATTCGACCATGATGATCAATTGCCCAGATCTTCAACGCTACACTGCAAGGGGCCCAGTTTGAAGTAATGGCTGTCAAGTCTGAAGGGCGCGGGAGTCGGGGCTGTTGCATGCTAGATTGTACCCTCCCCGTGCCAGGTACATGCTCCCTGTAGAGCATTGGCATCCTCGACTGCGTTCCTCTGGGACTAGATCTCTAGTATGGCCGGTAAAGAGCACGACGAGATCTTCCACCCGGTCGAGGACATCCAGGACTCCTTCAAATATATAGGAATCTCCACAAGGACCACCCAGCGAATCCCAAAGATGCCACCCAGTGTCCAAAGGCCTTCGTCCTCAGCGTGTTACCATGAGTCCACACGAGGAGCCCATCGGAGAGCGCTGCGAGCGCGAGGATGGCAGCGAGGGTGGTGAGGGCGGTCTCCTGGCCCTAGTACTGCAGGGCAATCAGCGCCAGACCATAGCTCGTCTCTCGAATCCCCTTCAGGTACATGAGGGGGGAGACAGCGCCCGATGGGGGAGAGGTATTTGTATGCGTAGAAACGGCTGCGGATTCGAAGGGGAGACCAAACCACGGGTATTCGGAGGCTGGGCGACCGATGGCGTTGATGCCGAGAGCCAGGCACAGGGTGCCCAAGATGTAGGCAGGGGTTGGACTGAAAGTGGCCATTTCTCGCGTTCTATGCGGTCTAGCTGGGGCCACTCTGGGATTAGCACATTCTCCACCGTTCCATCAGCGGATACTAGGGAGCTTCGTGACCCACCTCGTGTGCAGTCAGAAACTCCGGAGTAGGTATTCTGCGGTGTCACTAAAAAGCAAAATGTCTCCGAGGAGCACAGTAGGAAGTAAAGAGTGAGGAGTGAGTCTCAGCTGGACATCCAGCTGATGCCAGAGAGGCTGCTTTATAGGTGTCATGATGCCGCTGATTTTCCGGGAATTTGAAGGATGCGAAGTGGACGGCGGAGTTGAACCACCGAGAGTTGAACCCAGCCGTCTACCTAGTAAGCTGCGCTAGTCCCCATGTAAACTAGTCTAGATCACCTTGTACGATGATTGGCCCCGTCGGCGTCCGGAACAATCTCTCCCGGCTTGCTGGGTCCGGGCTGTATAGACGAACACACAAATGACAGCCACCCAATGACGAGGTAGACGAGGAATGGAAAATCTTTAGATAATATTGTATATAGTAGGAGTAGCAGTAACTACGTATTGATTTTGAAGTTGTGCTTCTGCGCACGTAAACCCAGCCCTGCTCTGCCGCGCTCAGTCGTGCTATCTGGCCTACCGCTAAATATATATACTCACTACTCTGTACCTGCCGCACAAGCAGTGCAACGGGAACTGGAAGGGCCGACATCTCAAAAGCACATAGTCCAGGGGAGAATTAGGTGTTCCGACTGAATAATATTTTGCGACTATGCACAGAATGACCATGCGCCTTCCAAGTGGCATTGGAGGACAGCGATGTGGTGGGATCTTTTGAAGCGATCAGTTCACGTGACTACCCCGACCGGAACGAGGCTCCCCCACAGTCAAGCAGGAGATGGTTCCATTCCAGCAGCAACAATCATGAGAATTTTGACTGATACTGTTTGCCCCTTCCTCCCCCATCTCGCAAGCCATATACGCCTTGGATAAAATATTGTGGCTACAGATGGCTACAGTATGGAATAGAACGGTCAAAGTGTGATCTGCCTGCTACGCGACTACGGAATGCTGCCAGAGATGGGTTTGAGACCCATCAGATGTGATGTGGAGGTAGGGTCAAAGACCCATTTGTATCATTATATCATAACATCAATCAACTAGTATGCAAAAACTCAAAAATTCCAAAAAAAAAAGAAAACTCCGAAACGTCGTGGGGTCCCTCATCTTCCGATCACTGTACATCCACCCGGGTCACCATGACCACATCCGCCTCCACCTTCGGCAGCCTGACGCTCAACACGCCATTCTCCATCTCGGCCGTGATCCCATCAACATTGATTTCCACCGGTTGAAAAACACTCCCCAGGCGCACCTTGCGATCAAACGTCCCGACACGGCGCTCATCCAGCGCCAATGTCTTCAGCAATTCCTTATCCCCAGGACGCTCGATGGTGCCGCTAACATTGAGCTCGAACTTCTTCGGGTCCCACTTGACCTCCACTCCGTCCTTCTTGGCGCCGGGCAGCGACACGTGAACCAGAAAGTCATCAGGGGTGTCGAAAACATCCACCTCGGGGTGGACAAAGTCTCCGCGCTGGTGGTGCTTGTGCTTGTGGCCGTGCTCCTTGAATCCGAAGGGGCCAAAGCCACGCGGTCCACCCCGTCCTCCGTGCTTGAACCCGCCCCGCATGTGCTTCCCGCGTCCATAAGGCGAGAACCGGCCGTGTGGTCCATGGCCAAAGCCACCGTGAGGTCCGTGGAAGTCAAACCCCCACGGTCCGAAGGCAGGGGGAGGGGGGTGGTCGAATTTACCCCATGGGCCGGGGCCACGGGGCCCGGGTCCATGGCGCTCACGTCCGTGGCGGCCTTTGCCTCCCTTCATATGAAAACCGCCGCCATGGCGACCGTGGCGCTTACACTTTCTGGGTTCGTCGTGGTCTTCATCGTCGTCGGAGGAAGACGAAGCAGAGTCATCTTCTTCTTCATGGATCTCGTCTTGAGTGGGCTCCTCGCCTTCGGTGGCGGCTTCTTCGCGGTGGTGGCGGCGGTGATGAGGACCATGTCGGCCACGATGGGGTAGGGAGAAGCCGCCTGGTTCCGAGAAGTGCTCGTCGTTGTTGGTCTCGTCGTGGAACATGTGGTTGTGATTGAGACCGGGGAAGAAGGGGTGAGGGAGGCCCTGTTCTTCCATGTTGGCGATGATGTCCCAGAAGGGAGCGGCTTGGTTGAGGTCACGGATGGTGGCCATCTTGGTGTGTCTTGGTACAACTGCGTTGGGATGCACTGTATAGAAGCAGGCTTTTGGTTATGTCGTAGAGTTGGGTTTGAAAGAGTCGGGGATTTTGTTGGGAGGATAGAGGATGAAATGGCTGATGCTGTGAGATGGAAGAAGACCATAACCAGGCAAGGCTGGCCCTCTTATAGAGCGTGCTCTAGGCAGCCATGCTGGTTGTAGTCGATGAACTTCGCCACAGTTTCACCTTGTTGTCGTAACCACCGTCTCCTGGTGGTGTCGCCACAGTCCGGAGATAGGGGCCGCGGCCTCGGACATCCAATCGCTGCTCGGGGTTTTCCAAACACGTCACTGGATCTAACCAGATCAGGCTCACACTACAAGGGGGTGGTGAGTCATTCTCGGGGATAACGGACGAGTATGCCTAATGAGGCAGCAGAAGCCGAAGGTACTGTGCCACAGCTGCTGCGCCACGGCAACAGCCACAGCGCCCCCCGCATCGCAGCAGCCTTATGGTCCCCACCGGCGGCGTCGGCATCACAGCAGGCCTACATTTGCCTCATGAGTCAGAACTTTGACATAGAGGACAAGTTGAGATATGGACAGCGGACACAGTAGCCCAAAAAGAGCACGGGAGCGAGCATGCCTGGGGACCCGAGATAGCAACACAGCTCCCATGCGTCATCTGCAGTGCTCGAAAGAGTAGCGGAAGGCTTGCTGCCACCTACCTGACTCTGTTCGTCATCATCACATGGATACTGGGGCAGAGAGGCTTACCATACTGAGCCCAGGCAGATTACCTGCTACTACGGAGCAGACCGCCACTGTTAACGGGCCACTGGCTCCTTCTCGGACAGGACAGTAAGCTTCAATGGCCAGATCCCAACTCTGTTTGCAGGGGCTCTGGTAGGCCAAGTCGCTCCGACGGGAGTAAGGCTGCCATTCACTCCTTGGCACCCATGTTGTTCCATCTTCCAACCGTGCAACAATGCCACTGTCATGGCTGCCCACGGAAGCTTCATTAGTGCGGGTTTTTAGCGTCTGGCCACCGGGACTCGGAGTCGGAATAAACCTCGCTCCCGTCATCCCGGAATGCCATCAGGAAAGGAAGAGGTTGGCAGTTGCTTTTCCTCCCAGCCCACCCGGGAGAATGTTTCGACGCAACGGCAAGCCGGTCTCCTGCGAGCCCTGCCGGCTGTCCAAGATCCGGTGCGACCATCAGCGCCCAACTTGCCGGCGATGTCAGACCCGCCAGAAGGCATCCCAGTGCTTCTACCATCCCGCGCCGCTCACCCGGGCGCGCCCCAACCCTCGCCCCAACCCGTCGAGACGAACCAGCAGGTTAGGGTCAAGTTCGGAGTCAGGGTCGGGATCAGGACTAAAACCCCCAAGTCCTGCCGCGGATGACGAGCATGCCCAGCCACCGGGCTATCTGGGGTCCACCAGCTTTGTATCTGCCTTTCCCCGACCCGAGCTGCTGTTCCCCGCCGACGTGGCCAGGGTGCCCTCGCCGTCCCTGCCTTCAGACTTCTGCGCCCTTCAGGTCTCCTACGCCCACTCCCACCTGCTAAAGCTGGTTGCCTCCTTTGCGGACTATGAGAATCTGATCGTTCAATTCTATCAACGCGGTCAATTCTCCGTTGTCCCGCGCAACCTCGTGCTGAACCCGCTGTCTAAGACCGGCGCCTACCTGGCGAGATGGAAGGATGGCTCACGCGGTGCCCTGCAGGAGACCCTGCTGGAGGCCCTGGCGAGCATGTCGTCCAAGCGCCTCCCCAGCCCCACCGTGGACACGACGTTCGATGACTTTTGCGCCTCCTTCTCCGGACCGTCTCTTCGATGGGAGTTCGTCGGGATCATCTTCGCGTTCGCAGGGCTGGCTGCCTCCTATCCGGAAGCCGGGGCCGAATTCCAGAATGGTGACTTCGCGACGGGGATGTTCGCAGCAAGCAAGACATGCATCGAAATTTGCAACCAGTGCAGCCAGTTGAACGATCTCTCCATCTGGTTGCACTATGTGACCGTGGCGCTAGCGTCTAACCTGTTTGGAGACACTAGTACGCTCCCTGCTCCCTTGGATTCAATGAAGATGGCCTCGTCTCTGTTCGTGCTCGTCTAACCAGTGAACGGCGACTAGGTAATCTCGTCTACCGATGCTTGAGTGACCTGGTCTCGCAGTGTTATGCCATGGGCCTCCATTGCCAGTCTTCGCTGCAGGAGGGAGTGCCCTTCTTTCTCTCGGAGACGCGAAAGCGAATTTTCGCGGCCACCTTCACCAGGGATAAAAGCCTGGCGACCTACCTGGGAAGACCGCCCTTGATTGACTCGCACTTCTGTGATATATTGCTGCCCCTGGATCTGGACGACGATGAGATCACCGATCGAGCAAATATTCGTGAGCCGCGGGGGAACAACCTTGACAGTGAAGGCTGGAATACCGATCCAGGCAGTCTCGTGCGATCATTACGCTCGGTCACGGGGCTTCGCCTCCGATGCGTTATGGCCATTCTTCGAGAGAGAGTCTTGCGTCTGTCCCTCAGGAGTGGGAGAACCGACCATCAAGCCCACCTTCCGTACGAAGACCCCTCCCTTTGTCATGTCCCATGCACCATGCCCCGTTTGACGTTCTCTGCCTGTACCTACAAGGGCTGATGCAGATTTAGGAGCGTTCTGGAACACTATCAGAAGGCATGGGACGCCGTGCCACAGCAATATCGCTACGACACGGATGCCTGGAAACGACTCGATCCACACAGCTGGGTGGTTTGCTTGATCGTGTACTTGGACCACTGCTATACCGGATATCAGCTGCATCGGATGCTTTTGCGGCAAAGCGAAGGCAGCCGGACGTCGTTCCTGGAGGCGGCCACGAAGCTTCTTGCGGCGATGAACGACTTTGCACGACGCCAGGCACAAACCAGCGCCCTGCAGGGGCGGTACATGTGGGTGGTGAGATGGCCCCTTTCCTCATACTGCTTTTCATGCCGCGTCCCTAACGTCCCCCCTCGCGATGATTCAGTTCCTCTTCTATGGACTTCCAGGGGCCGGCAGTCTTGTTTCCGAGCTGCACCGATGCAGCAGCGCTGGCATCCCGTTTCCTCTCCCGGGCAGCCGACCCAAGATCATCCGCGACCTAAGCGTCTTGGTCTCCTGGCTGGAAGGCTCCGTCTTTCCGAATCGACCCGAGTACCGGACCTGCTTGGTGATCAGTTCTCTTATTAGCAAGCTGCTCGATGACGTCTTACTTGGTCCCCAAACGACAGCACCCAAAGACCAGCGGATAGATCTGGATGCGAATCCTGCGCAGGGGCCGCATGACAGGCCCACGATAAATTCCCCACGCGCTCTTTTGGCCGGGGTTACCGACTCGCAATCATCACACATAGTGGCATCCTCGTTTCAGGGGTTGAATGCCGTTGCCAACCCTCTGCATGGCGAAACCATTGATACAGGGTTGCCCCCGGATCTTGCCGAGATTGTATCCTCCGAGGACTGCCTCAATTGGCTGGATGGGTTCTCCTGGGATAATCACCTCTTGGGGGAGGGCTGGCCCTTGGTTTGCGACAAGTCGTAGACAACAGCTTCCAACCTTTCAATCCGAGTGAAGTCAGCGTACCAGCGCGAATTGAAACCCAGCTGGTGAACTGCCCCCATTTAAGCTGCTTACGTGTGGATTATCTCCCGGACAGCGCTTCTCATTGTCCAGCAGTGACATTTGTCCCTGAAATGATACTAGGTCGGACAGAGCATTGTGTAAGCCCAGATATTGAGAAAAAGAAAAGACCGGACCCCTCGGATCAGAGGGGTACTCCATGAGAAACCGGAGCTGCGATGATACCCCGGCAATATGCAGTTTAGAGCGTACGGTGTTAGATTTCCCCAGTTTCTGATCTAATTATAGTGGGAGACTATGTTTGTTATCGAAACGCTCAAGGGTCAGAGCCGCCGGAAATTGGGAAATGCCCTCCTTGCGCTTTATGGTGTTGCCAGCCATGGATCGGCTGAATGGGTGTTGCGTACGGCATCACCGGATCTGACACCGCGGTCCCTTTCCGACATATGTTCTGCTTTCCGGAGGCATACGGACTGGTTTCTCCCGCAAACCCAAAGTCCGATCCGTCAGTCCGACTACGCGGTGGTGGTGGCGGTACTCGGATCCTTGTCAACGGTGCTTCATTGAGCCATCGAGGCGTAGCATGCTATAGAAAAGCAAGCCGGAAGCATGGGTGGTGTTACAGGGACACCGAGCACCGGTCTTCTTCTGTGGGAGTGACTGAGGGCACGGCCGCCGCCTTGCGAGACGCGGGAGCGGATGCGCGGGGATATGCCATCGAGCCTCGTCCGATTCAAGGCCTCGAACGAGCTCACTCAACTGCCGATGCACGCGACGTTCTGCGGGTCTGGCTGGGCCCTTCGGGCGAGGAGACCAGCGTTGACATCGGCTTCCTCACACACATCCCGGATACCACCCTGACCAATGATTGGACGAGTCAACTAGGCCTCGAGGTGGACGCGCATGGACTCTACAAACAGAAAGATGCGACCATGGAGACTATGGTGCCGGGGATCTTTGTTGTGGGGGATCATGCTTCGATGGCCAAGGACGTCCCCAACGCAGCCAGTAACGCCACATTCGTGGCGTCCGCCGTTGCTGTACAATTGACGGCTGAGCACTAGCTGAGCATTACAGGCGGATTCTGTCGCATCCTGGTAGCAAGTCCACGTCGATAGACGACTGCACCGTAGGAAATCCTCATTGCGGGTGCACAGATCGTGTCACGTTCGTGTAAACGACCATTGCGTAACGTAGGGCAGTCCCAAAGCCCCGACTCGTCGTGGTTGCACTGTAACCTATGCGGTCTGCGGACCCTGACTCAATCCCGAGTCCGGCCGGAAAGGGGAGATGGCAGCCAAGATGTCGGATTTTGTGGACGGCAACTCTTGTCACTTGTCCAGTCAGCCATCAAACGAGGGCATGTAACTACTCAGCAGAATCCTGACACATTGGCGATTGGCCTGACGAGATCGAGAACTGGCCGATGACAGTCAACTGGTGTTTCCGCACGGACGACGCCGTCACGCAGAGGATGAAGAAGATGAAGCAATCAAAATCGTGCCTAAAACATAGTCAAAAAAGCAAATTATGGGAGGGTTCTAGGCTAGCTGGCGCTACGGCATTCCCGTGCAGACTTAACAGACAGCATTTTATTTTATCTATCGGATTATCTAGCTACCCCAGCATCTTTTACTACCTCCTGGTTGGTCTCAATCATAGTGTGCTTCCAACACCATTACCGGTTGTTCGCTGCCCCGTGTCACCACCTCAAAGCCATCCGGCCCTGCCGTATCCCTCTCGTAGTCTTCTAGTCCTCCCATTCCATCACATCCATGCATGGTTCGTCCGACACCTTCCGCGCAAGGAAAGATACATTCTTGCCCACGCCCGGAAGATCGACCTCTCCCACCAAGCTGGCGAAGTTCCAATTGGTGAAGTTGACGCTGCCATTCCTCGACTCGGGGTGAAACTGAGGCTCGCTCAGTTCACGACACCGGAGCTTCAGTTGAAACGTGCGGGACTGGAGGTTGCTTGTGATGGGTTTCACTGCTCGACCACGAGGCTTGGGAGCGAGCATCGTTCTCATCCATTCTGTCATGGGCTTTTCCTCCACATCCTCCTCATCGGTAGAGTCCTCATCGCTCCGACCCTGGTGATCCGAGCAATACTGTTCCAGTGCTTCCCCGTCTGCACCGAGAATCATGATGCCCTCCACAACATCAAAGTCAAAAGAAGCCTTAAAGATTCCGGGGGTGTCAGTCGCGTCAATATCGAGACACAAGTCGTCCGGCAGGGCCGACCACTCCTGTTCGATCTTCTGACAATCCACCAGGTACTGCCCAACGGGTGACCTGGGCGTCCAGGCCGCGGGGTCAAACCTCTGCTCCAGCCTCTTGAGGTAGTCTGCATGCATGGTGGCGCGCCCCTTCCTCCGCATCTCCTTCTCCTCGACGAGGTTCGACTTCTCCCGGGGCGCATGTCCCCAGGCGGCCTTTGTGACCGCGCTAGCATCCCAGCCCATGAAGACGGTGTGTGTCTTGGATCCTAACGCAGACGCATGATACAAGCCCGCCACCTGACCAGCCGCCTCTCGCATCCGGCTGACCTGACCCTCGGCGCAGGGCGGAAACGGGATACCGACAACCACCGTCGTCCTCGCAGGGTCCGGTTGTCCATTCGCCGGCCGCCGGAAATACTTATCCAGCACCCAGTCCGGAGTACTGAACAGTTCCTCGGGGGTCTTCGTGTTGAGCCATTCGCGATGAAGCTCATCCTGCAGGGTGAGAATCCGCTCGGGAACGACATCACACATACCCTCCCGGAGGACCTTTTTCAGAAGCAGTGTTCCGTGGCCGGTGAACTCGCATTCGTGGAAACGAATGCCGTAGTGCTGCAATTGGCTGCGGACAAAGTGCGGATTCGCACGCATCACATCCATGCCGTCGCGGTTGCGCACGGGGAGGAACATGCGTCGCAGCGTGGCGCCGTCCACCCGCTCAACCTGGCCGCGCAGGGTGTAGAACCGGCCTTTTCGACAGAAGAAGTCGTCCCGGATGATGATTTGGTCGGGAGCCATGATCGCGAAGGAAATGACTGGTGGCTCGGAAGTATGATGAGTGGTGGTGAGCATGGAGGGACTAGAATGGCCGGCCCAGACGAGCTCTAAATAGAATCCGGGCGAGCGTTGGTACCGGCATTGGTGAGGATTGGGTAGGGGAGCTCCACGGCCGCTGGTGAACGACTCCGATAGCGTGAATGGGTAGCTACCCCTGTGCTCAGCAAGATGAGGCATCTCGACTTCACCAAAGCAGCTAGTCGCCCCGTGACTTTTTCCAAGTCCATGCTGTGTGACCCCAGAAAAGTCAGATGCCATCAACGGAGCGGGATGGTGAAGTCATATTGCTAGCTGGAGCTTTCCGTCGCAGGGTAGCACAATCAGGGAGTTGCCATACAGGCCACGCGATTCCCCGAAAAATTAAGAATGTTCCTGAAGTGATCCCGGCATACAATTCCCCGCATCAGATATCAGGCCTGCATTCCACGTGTTCCTAATGAGTACAGTATTGGGGATTATGCCGAGTCAGATACATGTACCGTCTTCCACCAACACAAATGCCTCACATCAGGAACAAGAAAGGGAAGAAGTTGCGCATCTCTCACCGCCTATGATCGAGATTTGATTACTGATGATGATTCAGCGTTTTTGACGCGCATAAGCAATGAGTCATCCTCATTGGATCGTGCTCAACACGATATGGTTGGGGCCAACCACCAGTCAACATAATCAACCCTAATATCAACTAGTATAACTCATCATCTTCTCGAGCGAATCCTGTCGTATCGTATACACATCTCTAATCCTCTATTTGGTAGTCATCCCAACAAATCCCTCACAATGGCCGTCGGCAGCTGTTTCTGCGGCAAGATTCAAATCAAATACAATGCCCCAATCATCGCATCGGCGAGTCTATCCCATACCGTCAATCTCCCTCCCAGCTAACCTTCTTCTACTAGGGCCTATGCCACTGTACAAGTTGTCGCAAGCTCACCAGCGCCCCGTTCAGCTATAGCTTCATCATCAAAACCGCAGAGCTAGAGATCACCGGAAATCCCAAAGAAGTGCCCAAGATCGCAGATAGTGGGAACCAGATCAAGAATTATTTCTGTCCGGACTGTGGTATGTACATGCGACCAGGTCTAAGGGAACAGGATCTAATAACGTGATAGGAACACCGCTCTATGGACAAAAGATCAACGAGGACGGACAACCGGATCAAGTCACTATTGTCCGGGCGGGAGTCTTTGACGATGAGCGGTTGATGGAAGAGAGGAAGCCGGAGGTAGAGATTTATACTGATCGACGCTTACCGTGGATTAGCCCGGTTGAGGGGGCGGCGCAGTGTAGGGGCATGTTGCCACCGTGATGATCAATATTGCATAGCGGAGGGGATCGTATTACGGATGAGATGCAGCTACGAGACAGGAAGCCTGAAACAGTGTGAGATAGGAGACATGTTTGGATGAACAACCATCATCAGACTGGCCAGTTTTCAACGGGCCGTGTCCTACATATTTTACCACAAAAAAATGGAACCATAAGTCCCCACCGGAGACGAAAGGTATATATTGGCCCACTATCAGTCACTCAACTCAAACAAGTCCATTCAACGAAGTAGATGATCACTCCCTCGAATACGCCATCGTCGGTCCATTCCATTTATGCCGACCCCGAACCACCCAATCCCCCACCGCAAACAGCATAATGAAGCCCAACACCGGTCCCGCATAATTCATATTCTCCCCCGTCACGGGCAACGTAGCTGGAAACGGCAAGAAGATGGAAAAGTACGTGGCAAAGAGAATGGCCACCAGATTGATGGGCAATCCCCACTTGCCCAGCGAGAATGTGCCCTGGGGAATATCCCCCGGGGCGGTCAGTCGCTTGAACACCAGGAGGACCAGCGGGATCAGATACGAAATGTATAATCCCAGGGTACTGAGAGACAAAATGGCATTAAATGCGGCAGTGGAACCGATCTGGATAAACGAGAGGAGGATGACCAGCGTCGTGACAAGGAATAAAGCCCGAATAGGAATCTTGAATCGGGGATCGACCTTGACGAAAAAGTCCGAAAAGGGGAGACCGTTGTCGCGCGCAAACGCCCAGGTGAGACGCGTGACGGACGCAAGACCGTTGAAAAGCGCAATCCAGCCCGGCAGCATCCCCATGGCCATGAGCACGAACGTGGCGGCCTTGGATCCCGTGGCTTGGTACGCGATGGTGATGATGGGGTAGCCCGTAGGGCTGGTCAGGGCTTCAGCGTAGTCGCCCATGCAGTACAGGATGGCGAGGAGGTAGCCAAACGCCATGATGGAGTTGATGATGGTGCCGTAGATCATGGAGCGGGGAATGACGGTTTTGGCGTTTTTGACCTCTTCGGACATGTGGATGATGCCGTCGACCCCTGTAGTTGGTTAGTGGTTGCGTATGGTATCGGGGACGAAGGGGAAATATACCGCTCAAGGGCGTGATCACGCCGAGCAGCCCTACCGAGTAGACGACTCCCGGGTTCTGCCAGCCGCTGAGGCCACTGACAAAGGTATCCCAGACGAAAGCGTTAGAATTGCGCGGCGCCAGAATGACAAAGGTCGCAATGGTCACCGGGAGGAAGACGACGTGCATGACGCCTGCAGCGACTTCAATGACGGAGAGCACGCGCCGGGCAAAGATGTTGATGACAATTGGGATCAGAACCACGGCCCACATGAGCAGAGTTCCTTGCCACCGCTTCGCCTCGTAGTCCGGGTGGGCGAGCACGGCCATGCCTTCGATTTCAGTCCCGATGAAGTAGGGCGATATGCAGACGAGGGCAGCCCAGGAGAAGACCTGGAGTGGGTTAGCGGATTTAGGAGCGTAGCGGAGGGTGTTCGTACCGTGACCCATCCTGCACACAATGCATATTAGCTACTTCATCCGGCGGTCTCAAAAGAGGGGTTGCTGACCTTGGAAGAAACTGATGAATCGCCGGTGGCAAGGCGCCAGGACGTAGCTCCAGTGATACTGCGCTCCGGCCGTGGGGTGACTTGATCGATTCCCGTCAGTATCAATTCCCAGCTGAGGATGGTGAATGAGTGGCATACACCGAGGCTAGTTCAGCCAAAGAAGTGGCAATGGCCAGATTTCCCAGTCCACTGATGATGATTCCATAGACAATCGCAGCCGGTCCCCCATAGTACAGACCGGCCTGCAGACTTCCACCAGCCGATTCCCACGATGCCAGCAGGGTTGCAGAGAATGCGAGCGAAGAGAAGAAATTCAAGTATCTCTGGCGATGGCTGCGTCAAAAAGATTGAAACTCATGATTTAGTATTGGGGATTCGTACATCCAGTCTCTGTCGTTGGCGATACTCGACGTTGCCTCCATGAGGGCTTCCATCGGCAGTCGTCGATCGAACGGCACTGCCGCCTTTCATCTCAACCGCTTCGTCCAGCATGGTAAAGCTTTGTCTGCTGCAATGTAAACCGAGCGACTATGTGAGAAACAACCAAAAAAGGAAGAGCAGAGAAGGATGCAGCCGGTGCGACCGCAAGCGTAGCAGAATCGCACGACAGACAAAAGAGGGGGGATGGAGAATCTCGACCATCCGGCATCGGGCGCGCGAAAATAAATCCAGGGATGTCACCTGAGACCAGCAGCAGAAGGACTCGGCCGTAGGCCCGAAGTCGTCAGCTGGCGCTGCATCCCTGCAGGCACCCTGGTCGGTTTAGACGACGCGATATGCGACCATTGGCGACCGGCGTTCGGGCGAGATTGACTGCTTATTACCCCATCAGCACGACGATGAAGCTAACGGGCGCGACTCGGGCCGTTGAGAATTGAGATGGCATGGCCGGGGGGCACTAAGGGCTTGGGCTGCATTAGCCCCAGCCCCGGACGCGGACCGGCCAGGCGACGGTCCAGCATCCTGGCCTGCTTCCCCCACCCGCTAGGCGATTGCCAATAACACAGGTTATTAATTCATAATTGGGACGGGAGAGATGCACCCCGGTGGAGACTCTATGCTGCCTCGGGAGCCTGGACGGAGAATTTGGTCTCTGATCGGACAATTACGATGCGCGGGCGGGGATCCGGACCAATGCGCCCTGGTCATGGCGCGCTCGCTTAGTAGCAGGGGCGAGGGTGACAGAGAGACCTAAGCTGAATCCAAGAGCCTGCTGGTGGTGTGGTTACCTTAGCGTGCAGTCCCCTGGGCCAGGCAGTCAATTTCTATCTCGACCACCACGACAGGGATTATGGCGCCGATGGCCGGAATGGAATAGCAGCTGCATCCTGGCAACAAATTCCTTCTCAGCTCCCTCATTAGTACCACTGGCCTGGTTTCTGACCCCTTTCCGTTTTTTCTCTCTCGCCCATTGTCCCCTCGGCCATGCGACTCTACCACCGTGATCATGGCTGATCCCAAAGCCCCCTTTGAGACCCTCTCGGATGACAATCATGGGGCGATCATCACTCTGGTATCGGTGGCTCTTCTCATCACCGCTATCATATTTGTCGCAGCCAAGCTGGGCTCGGTGATGTACTTCAAACAGCGTCGTTCTGCCGTTAATACGCCCGTCTGGCTGGCTCTGGTGGGTGATCCACGTCTAGAATGATGAGATTTGCATCCTAACCAGGCGGATATTTCAGGCTCTGCTCATTATAGAAGTGGTGGTGATGCAACAGGCCGTCGATCAGGGCATCGGCAGGCATATCGACTCTCTCTCAGATGCTGCCATCCAAACAGCGAGCAAGGTATGTCCCCGTGAAACCACCCTAGCGAAATAAGACCCTAACCGCCAGCGCAGTATCTCTACGCCGCACAACTCCTCCAGATTGGCATCCTCTCTCTATCAGAGCTCTCCACCACCCTCCTGGTCTGGAAATTAACCCCTCATAACGGCATCCGTCTGTCCTGTCTCATTACCGCCGGCGTAACGGCAGCGTGGACCATCTTCGCACTGTTCGGAATCGCTTTCCAATGCGAGATGCCCGATCCCTGGACCTACAATCCTTCACGCTGTTCCGGACAGGTATATACCCCGTATGTAACCTCTATGTTACATGGCTGACGGTGTACCAGGGCGCGGTTCTGTATCCCATCTGGATAATCCACATCCTCACCGAGCTCATCATCGTGGTCATCCCATTCTTCATGATGCGCAAGGTACAAATCAAGCCTGTCACGAGAGTGAAGATCCTCGCCTCCTTTTGCGCACGAGCTATGTGCGTCACCAACCCATTCCATGCCTTAGCAGCATCTCTCTCTGACGTTTTTAGTGTAATCGCTCTCAGCATCGCCCACCTATCGGTCCTTCCTTCTTTCCTCCATTCAACGGATACTACATGTTCGTCCCCCGGTCCCTCGTGTCCACTCCTACTAACCAATCCATGACAGGGACGGTCATCACCCCGACCATATGCGCCCAAGCCATGGTCTGCACTACCGTCACCATCGCCTGCCTGCCAACCCTCTATCATATCTTCGCGGGCCTCCATTCCGGGTTAATCACCACGCGACTGCCCGATGAAGTCGAGCTGAAGCATCCCTATTTGTACGGGCGACAATCGACCATCAAGTCCACGAGGAGCAATACGAAGACCCATACGGGCCTGGGGACCATGGACGGGGCTACATCTAGGAACCGGGACTCGGTGATACGAAGGTCAAGTGTGAGTGATAGCATGAAGCATTTGAGAGACGAACACAAGGGCAATGGGGTTCTGATGACGGTGGATATCACGGTGGAGGTGGAGGATCGATAGTTTTCCTTTGTAATCTTCTCATGTGTTCCACTTTTCTGATTTGTCTTCAGGGACATGATCACAGATATGAAATTTCTAGAGACTCTCAGGGTGGCGGGGATTGGGACTGTACTTTGGCATCCCCAACATATAAGCGGAATTGGTCCCGGCCCACTAATTACAGCCTTGGACATTGCAGCCGCCAACTGGACTGATGGGTCTCCACGCAATATAATTCACGCGATCCCATTGGGAGCTGCTGACACCAACCCAATCGTCATCTCCGGGGCCCCGTCGGACGCTTATCGCGAGACAATCGATCAATCCACTACAGTGATAAGGCCGAGCATTTCTCGTCTTACGCCCACCAGCTACCTTGTTTCTCTCCTTTGGGTTCTTCCTTCGTTCCTTGCTCTGGAACTCCACGATTCGGACCGAATATGGTCCATGATGAACCCCGGGACGATGATGTCCTCCGGCCCCTGTTGGCTGATCGGCCAACACCAGACAGCGATCGAGGCCCAAACACCACCGTCAACTGGCGTCCGACAATTCTTTGCACTCTCATGTTCCTGGTAATGGGAATTGGATCGTTCATCAGCGCCGCCCCTCAGTTGCGTCTTTTTGAATCTATCATCTGCCAGCAATACTACCAGGATACCGACACTTTTCCGGACCGATCGGAAATTCCCGAGCATCTGTGCAAAGCAGGTCCAGTGCAAGCGGCGCTGGCCGAGCTGGTCGGATGGCAATCCTGCTTTGACAATATTCCCAGTCTCCTCCTAGCCCTGCCGTATGGAATCTTGGCGGACAAATATGGACGACGGTTGGTCATGACCTTGAGTTTCGTGGGCCAGCTTGCAGGCATGACATGGGTATTATTCGTTTGTAAGATTATCCCCCCCCAGAGCCATTTAGGGGCATGACTGAGATTTTGTCTAGGTTGGCTGGGACTGCCGATCAAGACGGTCTGGCTTTCATCGGCTTTTCTCCTCCTCGGTGGCGGGACCACTGTTGCTGCGTCGGTGGTGATGATGGTGATTACGGATTCCACACCACAGATCAACAGGTAAAATCCTTTCATTGTTCTGGAATACACTGGTCTAATGAGATCCCCGAGTTAGATCCCAAATTTTCATGTCTTTCGAGGCAGCGGTTCTCCTTACCGAAATTATATCTCCTCCGATTGGATCCCTCTTGATGACCCACAGGATTTGGTTGCCAAATCTGGTGAATTGCGCCTGCTGTGCAGTCTCAATCCTGCTATCCTGGTATATGCCAGAGACTCGCCACTATGCTATCAGAAAAGCGCATCCTGAATCCGAGATATCCGCAACGCCGAGCGAGGACCTTTCGGAGCCTCCCAACGCACATAAGAGGGGTAGTGCTTTGGTGAACACTTTGAAAGAGAGGCTTTCCGTCATCACAGCGCAGCGTAATGTCTCACTGTTGATTCTTTCTTTCCTGGTAGCAAACTTTGCGCGTGATTCCATGGCTTTCCTCTTACAATACATCTCCAAGCGCTATTCTTGGCCGATCGCCAAGGTAACCCCCAACCCTCTGCGAAACATAACGAGAGAACTGACTGGCGATGCACCGATCAGACCAGCTATATGCTTTCGTTTCGCGCTTTCGCCCAGTTACTCCAGTTCATGCTCCTCCTACCATGGATCGACCGCACCATGCGCAGGCGCTTCGAGACAAGACCGAAAGAAAAAGATCTATACCTCTCCCGCTTCAGCATTATCGTGATGACGATAGGCTTCGCTGCCCTCGGTTTTGCGCCTACCATTGGGCTATCAATGCTGGGTAAGCCCCCCTCGCACCTCAGCGCAGTTCGGGAACTTAATCACCCCATCACAGGCATCGCCGTTTACACGGTCGGATCGGGATTCAGTACCTTTGCCAGAAGTCTCACCAGCTCTCTCATGGAACCTACCATGATGGGCGCTCTGTACAGTACCCTTGCGATCATGGAAACCACGGGCTCCCTCTTGGCGGGGCCGTCCATGTCGTGGGCGTTTCGATGGGGGATGGACTTGGGAGGCGTTTGGCTGGGGATGCCGTATTTGATTTCAGCGGGCCTGTGTGCGTTGATGACTGCGGTGATTTTTATGATTCGTCTGGAGCCTGTGGGCACTGGGGCTGTCGTTCACGTTTAAGAAGACCGAATTGCAGTCTATGTAGGGCATGAACGATGGCGGGTTTAGCAACTCTCCACCAAGGAACTAGGTGGAGGGATATCCAGGGTGATCTTCCGACACGCAAGTGGTTCACGTACTAGGAGGTGGGCAGAACACATCGACTGGTGTGGCATGGTCCCATATAGGTCTTTTCAAGGAGAAGCATAGCACATACGACCATAGGGTGTGGAAAACAGGGCTTCCCGTCCGCTCAGCCGTACTTAAGCCACACGCCGGGAGGTTAGTAGTTGGGTGGGTGACCACCAGCGAATCCCTTCTGTTGTATGTTTTTCTTTTCTTTAAAAAGAAAGCATGTTGCATTTTGGAGTCCTATCTTTGCCGTGTTGTTTTGAGGTACTGTTGTGTCGAGGCTGTAGATGACTAGACGCGGATTGAAAGCCCGAGGAAGAGCAGTTCAGACCAGGTCCTCAGATCCTCCTCACTTAGAACGATGTCATGTTCGGACGGCTGAGGCGCGCGGCCCAGCACCTTCTCGAATTCGAGAATCAGAGGGGCGCCAAGAACAACTGGTATGCTTGTACAATTATCAATAGTGATTTCTCAATCCACCATCTTACGTCAGTTCTCAAACGCGGTCAAGATTCTCCAAGCCCAGCCTCCATAACCAGATACGGCCAGCTATCCCCCGAGGGTCGGATGTTAGGATTTTATCCGGGACGCATTGGGTTCCTTGGTCGATCCGCAGGGGGGCCGTATAGCGCGACGCACCCTGTGGGTAGAATTCACGGTAGGTTATATTCATTGCCATAAGTTTCTCTGCCATGGCAGCGTCCAGGGAAGCAGGTGCACGTTCATGTAGTGCGCTGCACTTGATGATCAAGGTGGAGATATCGGGGAAATAGGTGAATCGGATGCCTTTGTGGTTGTGGGTACGCCATTTCTCGATGGACTTGAAGTTGGAGGTATTGACATTGCTGACGGCGATGTGGATGTTTCCATCACCTTGGGCAATGCTATCGTACTTAGATTCGATAATTTTGCTTCAAACGCTGGAGGCTCGAGAAGGGAATAGGAGGGTACTCCCGAACCATGGCGAGGTCGGAGGAGGGGGTGGTTACCCCCATTGTTACACAACACGTAGTTGATAGAAGCCGATGAACAGAACTAAGACAGGTGAATGGCCTGTCTTCCTGTCACTGCCAGTAAGAAAAACAGTCTCACCCACCAAGCCGGGACTCTGGTCACGAACCACTGCTGCTCGATATTCTATAGCGGGGTTGGGGTAGTGATGACATTAGTATCGGCGCATAATAACGTGTTGTTCCGATCTTGGAGGTACCAACAAATTCTACGCTGGATCTTCGACTATTTTTTTTGAAGAAACTGACGCATTACCAAGCCAAAGGGGTGAGTCCCAGTCCGCTCACCATATACCGTGAGTGGCCGGACAAGGGAGTAGGCATCTGGCTGTTGTGGACCGGGTCGGGAGAGTGTCATTTTACCGACCATATCGGCATGGTCTCTCAACACCGACAGTTGGCGCACTTCTTAATCGAACATGGATTCCCACTCAAACTCCATTTTCTTTTCGTTCATCATCAAAAGCTCGACGAATATCATCTTCGAACACAATGGCCAACTCCATTTTGAACCGCCTAGCCGCCTTGGACACCAACACCGTGTCCGATGCCTTGGATTTCCTCAACCTCAAAGGAGCCACATACGGCCTACGGCCTCTCTGGGACTGTCCCAAAATTGTCGGCCGCGCCAGCACAGTGAAAGTCGGCCCTAAAACCGACACTGCCCCCACCACCCATCTACTCACCCCAGTCATCGATGCCGTCACGACCGACGATCGCATCCTCGTCATCTCCGGAGGCATCGACGGCATCTCCTGCTGGGGCGACATCCTCGCCAACGCCTCCAAAGAGAAGCGCATCCGTGGTACCATCATCGACGGCATGAGCCGGGACATCGACGGCAGCCGTGACGTCGGTTATCCTGTTTATGGCCGGGGAGTGACCATGATCAGCGCGCGCAACCGCGTGGTGCAGATTGAGTTCGGCACGCCGCTGCAGATGCGCGGTGTCACGGTCCACCAGGATGATTATGTGATTGCCGATAACTGCGGAACGGTCTTTGTACCGGATAGCCATATCGAAGAGGTCCTACAGTTGGCTGAGCGCATCGATTGTCGTCAGAATCTCATGGTGCAGGCTGTTCGATCTGGAAAGCCTGTCTCGGAGGTCATGCATGATACGCAATTTGAAGCTATCCGGGAGGGTGGCTCTTCGACGGCCACCCCGTCTACTCCTCACAATCCTAGGGAGGCTAGTCCGGAGGATGCAGAGTTGGTTGCGCTGTTTGCCGATTCTGATACCCCTGGTGTTTCGGACGCCCTGGATAAGCTGGGAATCCCTGGACAGGCGTTCGGAATCATGCCGTTGGCCAACTACAACAAGGTGACCGTGGGACCGGCCTTCACAGTCCGGTACGTACCTGCCAGTGATCCCCCAGGCAGTGTGGGAGATTTTATCGATGACGTGGCTGAGGGTGACTTCGTGGTCATCGACAACGGTGGTCGTACCGACTGTACCGTCTGGGGTGATATCATGACCCAGTATGCCGGCTTGCGAGGGATTGCTGGGACGGTTATCGACGGAGTCTGCCGGGATGTCAACCGTGCGATCAACGATGAATATCCCCTTTTCACCGCGGGACGCTGGATGCGGACTGGCAAGGATCGTGTTCAAGTAGGAGGGGTCAATGAGTCGGTGGGTATCGGCAAGGTCCGTGTCAACCCTCGCGATATCGTGGTGGCAGATGCGAACGGGGTGGTGATTGTCCCACGAGCTCGGGCCCGTGAGGTGGCCGAAGTGGCTCGCAAGATTGAGAAGAGTGAAGAGGGCATCCGGGCGATGATTGGGAGCGGAGCGACTATTGCTGATGCGCGGAAGCAGCTGGGATATCATACTCTGCAGCGGGCATGAGTAGTGGGGTCAGTAGTATACACCATCAGATACAATCTACGCAGTTATTTCGCTTCAATAACATGAAGAATCATCGTCTGATCTCGTAGCCCATTTTTATGACTAATTTCTATGGATTGTTTCTACCATTAAGGCAGGGGATGCATCCACGCTAAAGAATCCACAGAAGATACACCCTCTCTACATGGCAGGACATCACGAACGTGCAACCCCCAATTCGCGGGTATACCAATTCTGCATGGCCCGAATATCATAACTCAAAGCCACCGTATCAAAGACCTTCAAATGCTCCTTACACAGAGCCCCATTGTTGGACAAGCGACCGACCCACTTGCCATGTCTCTTCGCGGCACCCACGATTTTATCAATGGCATCCACAAACTCAGGCTCGTCCGCTTTGGCAGGTACATAGCCCAGAAGCGACAATGCCAGATCGTTCGGCCCGATGAAAATCATATCTTCGTGGATTAGCACAACGAACCGGATAAAAACGGGCAATGCACGAACCAACACCAGGAACAGCACAAATGGCATCGACATTCTCGACCCCTAACTTCGACTCGATCTGAATACATGTAAGAAGGGTATCGTTCGCTGTTTTGATATACGTCGGGATGTCGGTCCCGTGAGTAAGGGCTGGGAACGCCGAACCCTGCCCTCGAAGGCCCTGTGGAGGGAACTTGGCATAGGAGACGACGGCTCGGGCTTCTTCAGCGGTATTAATTTGCGGAACGACGATGCCGCTGCACCCTGATTAGCATACTACCATAGCTGGAAATGAAATAGGACATACTGTGCACCCGCATCCAGAGCTCTCTTGATCAAGTCGGAGTGCGTCATGCGCAGCCGAACCAGCGGCGACACCCCCAAGGAAGCGATGGCAGCGGTGGCGCTGTGCATGGAGTCGTCGCTTATATGGCCATGTTCGCAGTCGATGATGATGCCCTGTACAGTAATCAGTCATGGACAGGAGCTATAAGGAGGGAATGACTGACATCCAGCCCGGTCTGGGCGACCATCTGGGCGGTGCGGAAGGACGGAAGCCCTAAGAAGGTCATGATCGGCTTCGCGTTGGCTCGGAGAGCATTGAGCAGTCGCAATTGGGGGTTGATAATTGAGGTCGCCATGGTTGGATGGTAGGATATACTCCAGGTGAAAGGTCTTGCCTGGAAACTGCCCAACTGCGAAGATGGGGTGACAATAGTCACCATATCAGCAAGATTGTCCATCGGCAAAACAGAATTATCCCGAACCCAGCTCGGCCGACGGCCGATGTAGCCGACTTTTGCCTCCGGATTTTAAACTTCGACAAAATTTGAATGTCCACGCCCATCACACTATTTAATGCATGGAACTCTCCTCTCGATCAAGACTCATTCACAGCCCCAATCATACCACCATGCCGCTCACATACTCGACAATTCCCCTCCAAGTACAAGGCGTCAGCCTCAACATCTCCACCATCCACAACCTCAACTCCAAACCACCAATCGTCTTCCTCCACGGCTTCGGCTCCTGCAAAGAAGACCTCGCCGACATCACCGTGCATCCCGCCTTCCAAGAATACGGCTATCTGGCCTTCGATGCACCCGGCTGTGGACACACCGAAAGCAACAACCTCTCCGCCAGCGACATCCCCTTCCTCGTCGCCACCGCCGAGGCAGTCCTCGCACACTTCCACATCACCCAATTCCACCTAATCGGCCACTCAATGGGCGGGCTCACGGCACTCCTCCTCGCCCACCAGCACCCCACCCGCATCCTCAGCTTCGTCGACATCAAAGGCAACCTCGCCCCAGAAGACTGCTTCCTCAGCCGGCAAATCTTCCAATTTCCCTCCGACGACCCGGAAGCCTTCCTGGACGCATTTATCACGCGCACCGCGACGGCCAAAGCCTACGGGAGTCCATTGTACGCGAGCACGTTGCGGGCACGGGTGCGATCCGGTGCCGTGCGCGCGATTTTCGAGTCCATGGTGCGGTTGTCGGATGAGGAGGATCTCCTGGGGATGTTTCTGGCGTTGCCGTGTCCGAAGATGTTCATGTTTGGGGAGGAGAATCGGGGGTTGTCGTATTTGCCGAGGTTGGAGAGGGAGGGAGTCGAGTTGGCGGAGATTGTCGAGAGTGGTCATTTTCCCATGTATTCGAATCCGGTGGAGATGTATCGTCGGATTGCGCGGTTTTTGGAGGGACTTTCGTAGGGGGTTGGATGGAGTGGCGAAGTGTGATGGGTAGATGTGTTTGTTATAGAATATAGATCTGTCTTTACTATAGATTATGGAAGCAGTCTGTTCAATGATTCCAATTAGCTAGTGTAACCAGAGTGTACTGCAGCCTGCTCTGCAGTCTCGGGGAGGAGGCAGGTTGCCGAGTCGTAGAACCGGGAAGACTGACCGTGCTGACTATTAAGAACAGGCCAAACCTGCGTCTCCTCCTTACCCGAATACTCTTCTACAATCAAGACCAGCACCTAGACAGTTAACATGAGTGACCAATACTTGAACCTGCCAATCTCTCCTGCCGACACGGCCTTTGGGCTGATGGCGGAATACGATGCGGACCCGCACCCTAATAAGGTGTCTCTGATTGCCGGGGCATACCGCAACGAAGACGGACGACCTTGGGTGCTGCCCAGTGTCCAAGAGGTCCGTACGATAAACCCAGTAAATACTATATCCACCCGATCACTGACCACTGCTTCAGGCCAAAGCTCGCCTCACTCCGAATCAACATCACGAATACCTGGACATCGCAGGCTCCCCCGGACTGATCAAACTAGCTCAATCCCTAACCTTTAGCTCCGAAATCGCCACAGCACTAGACAAGAGCATCGCCTCTATCCAAACCGTCTCCGGAACAGGCGCCAACCACATGGCCGCGCACTTCCTCGCCCAGCACCTTCGGCCATCCCGGGTATTCATCCCCTCCCCAACATGGATCAACCACAAAACCATCTGGGCCACCACGGGGATCTCCATCGAGGAATACCCATACTATGACCCTACAACACGAGCAGTCAACATCACAGGAATGCTCTCCGCCCTGGAGACCGCCAACCCCCACGACGTGGTAATCCTCCAAGCCTGCGCCCATAATCCCACAGGGATCGATCTCTCCCAAACCCAATGGAGACGAGTCGCAGCGGTAATGAAACGGAAGAACCTCTTCGCCATGTTCGATAGCGCCTACCAGGGCTTTGCCACCGGGGACGTCGACGGTGATGCCTGGGCGGTGCGCTATTTCGTGAAACAGCTTATCCTTGATGGTGAGCCTGATCACCCCGGTCTCTGCGTGGCGCAGTCCTTCTCCAAGAACTTTGGACTATACGGCGAGCGCGTGGGTGCGCTCCATCTCGTCGTGCCGCGGCATCTTTCAGCCGAAGGAGCGCGGTCGGAGCTGATCGCGCGCGCGCGAGCGGAGTACTCTAACCCGCCACACTTCGGAGCGAGTATTGTTGAGACAGTTCTGGGGGATGAGGGACTCAGAGCCCAGTGGCTGAGAGATTTAGAGACTATGAGTGTGCGGATTAAGGAGATGAGACAGGAGCTGCGGAAGAGATTGGAGGATAATGGGACACCGGGGGATTGGTCTCATATTGAGAGCCAGATTGGGATGTTTAGTTATACGGGACTGGATCGGGAGCAGGTTGCTCGCCTCAAGGAGGAGTTTCATATTTATCTCTTGCCGTCGGGACGGGCGAGTATTTGTGGCTTGAATGAGGGGAATATTGAGTATGTGGCGAGGGCTGTTGGGCTGGTGGTTGGCTTGGGGCATGATTAGTTGGATGGGGTATGAGGCATACTGCCTCGGTTGATGTAGTTATCGCCTGCGTCTTTACTCTCTCTGACGTGAAATTCCATCGTTGAGGCCCTTTGCAAAGTCCCAGGATAGTAACAGTTTCATCTCGGGGTAAAGCAAATACATCGATCTTCCTTCTCCGAGTTGTATCCTGCTGCCTGAAAGCCTAAGCCTGGATCGCGTTGAATTTTGGTAGGCCAGAAGTGGAGAGATAAAGCTATTAGACAGAATCCTTACTACGATAAGCCGCAGCTGTGTCTATCAGAATGCAATCTCCAGCACTGCATGACATTCAACCCACCCGACGTCTATTCTCAGAGACTGCTCTATGGCTGAGGGAGGCTACAAAAACACCAAGTCGATGAACTACATTAATTACAATTATCTCAATAAAGCCTATCTCCACAAATGCTATCCCCTGTGGCTATGCAATCACGGAATCGGAGCATAGTAACTAAACTTGCCCGACGGGTCATACTTGGCCTTCAAGGCCCGCAGACGCTGCTGCCGCCACTTCTCACTGCCGTACAGCTGCTGCGGGGTCTCGTCGCCATGGGCATAGTTGACGTACGCGCGAATATCATCGCGCCCGGTTCCCTTGAAGAGGATGTTGCGGAGCTCTTGGCCCAGATTCGCCGCCGTGCGGTCCAGTTCCGTACCGTTGGGGTAGTAGTTGATCAACGGCGCAGCGAGCAGATTCTCGGAACGGAAGGCAAAGGCACTCGACCGACTGTCGATGTCGTGCACACCTCCCACGGAGTATCCCTCGAACATGAAGATGGAGTTGTTAAAAGGGGAGGATCCGCGGGTGGCGTTGGCGTAGACGTCCCAGGCCTGCTGCTGGGCCGCGATGTCGTAGGATTCCAGGTAGATTGGGTACCGGGGGTTCGCCATGCCCATCTTTTGGCAGGGGGCGGAGGTGAGCGCGATTTCGGTCCAGGTAGCGAGATCCTTGTAGGTACCGTTATTGGGTTCCACGGCGAGGGGCCCGATCTTGTGGAAGGGCTCGGTGTAGATGGAATCAACGGCGGTGACGCCTTCTTGGATGATGTAGAAGACGATGACGGGGTTCGTCGGGTCCAGGTCGGCGACGTTAAGCCAGTACGACCAGTTGATCACGCCGGCGGGCTGGGTGCCGTTCTTGACGAGGTAGTCATTTGCGGCCTGGTAGATCTCTTCGACTTTGTCGCCGCTGAAAGTCAGGGTCTCGATAGCCCAGTCATGGTGCTCGATGTCGTAGACCTTCATGGTGAGAGAGGTGACGATGCCAAAGTTGTGGCCGGCGCCCTTGACGGCCCACCAGAGGTCCGAGTTGGCGTCGATGTGGGTCAGGGTTCCGTTGGCCAGGACGATGTTCATGGAGACGAATTGATCGAGGACGAGTCCGTGGTGGCCCTGGAGCCAGCCGTGTCCACCGCCGAGGGCAGGGCCGACCAGACTGACACATTCGCATGTTCCAGTGACGGTCTGCTTGCCTGCCGCCCACAGCTCATCCGTGACCACCTTGGACATGGTGCCACCTCCGAACGTGGCGGTCTTTCCATCTTCCGCGACCTCGACGCTACTCAGCTGGCCCATGTAGATCGCGATGCCGTGGGTCATTTCTCCAAGGGAAACGAGGGCCCCGTGGACACCATTGTAGGTCAGAAAGGGGATGTTCTTCTGGTTTGCATATTGCACCTGTTTGTTCACTCATTAGCCTTGATGAAGTCTGACCCAGAGGAGACAAGACCTACAATCTCCGCGACATCGTATTCGGTACCGGGAACCACGACGATGTTGACCTCGGGCTCGTCCAGCACCGACCACCGCGTGGTCGCATTAGTGAACCCAGTCGTACCGGGACAGTACAGCTTGGCCGTGCTCGAAAGTCGATCTGCAAGGGTCTTGATGTCGCCCTGTGGGAGACAAAGACTATCATATCCGTCGGCGGAGCGCGGTAAGAGTTGGCTGGCCGTGGCAAAAGCCCACGCCGCAATGGCCGTCACCACCTCCATCTTGAGGCGATACATGATGCAGAAAAGCTCTCCAAGCGATAGGCCAGCGGTTTAAATAAAAAGCAAAAAGTGGCGGGAACAAGCAAAAAACCGTCAATGGCCCGGTGACCGTCGGACTGCGCTCCTGGGGGCGGGAGATCCTTGTCAGCTGCAGCGCTGGACCTTGGGGGCCTGCGGTTATTTCTAGCTTTTTTGTTCTCTTTTTTAGCCTGTGGTTTGACCCGAGGTTACTCCGTAGCGTCGGCTGCTCTTTCTGTAATGAGACACAAAGTGCGGAGTATGGTTGTATATTGGATCGTGAAGCTCCACCGGAGCGGTCCCTTACTGTCCGACGGTGTAACTATCAGAGGTCATTTGAGAGGGAAAGGGCGCCGTCTGCTGGCCAAATGAATCGACCGGTTCGAGCCGCCCTCTCGCTTGGAGGGCCCGACACTCAGACAGTGATCTCTTAGGCCAGTGGGTCCATCGGGGATGGCGGGATGCCGCGGGCGGCGGGAGACACAAAGCACCCAGGCTATCTAAATCGCCCTAGGGCTTACGGGTGGAGCATCCCCAATATCATCCCGCTCGAACTCATTAAACTAGTCTACTCTGTATTCGTTGATGTCAGTCAATCGACCGGGCTGGCCCCTGGAGAATTTAAATTACGTACCTAGTAGTTGACCAGGATAATACACAACACTGGGTGCACAAGAAAACGCTGTCCAGGATTAACTTCGCGGCTACTGCTGTCCTTGTCAAGGGGTTGGCGTAGCTGAACTAATGGCGGCTATAACCCCTTTTTCTCGCTCCTCCCTCTTCTCGCCATTAACATAGCCGTCCGGCCCCCGCCGGAGCACACTGAAGTATTTCGCTGGCCGGACTCGCGCATTGAGCCGTCTGTCCGCTTCGCAGGGCAAACCCCCACTCCTCGACCCCCCAGTTCAAACATGTGGACCGCTCTCAAAACGAGGGATGAGACAACAGAAGCTGCCTCCAAAAGCACAGTCCAATTATGGACCCTCTATTCGATCGGTTGTGCCGTGACGCTGCTCCGGACATACTCGCAGTGCAAGGACCTGGGATGGAGAAGGTTACGTCTGGACGACTACCTGGTATGGGTGGGACTTGTAAGTGCCCCCAGATTGAGTGCTCGGATCGTCAATCAGTGCTAACAACACCACGGAAGTTATTCTATACTGCGCAGGTAGTTCTGGCATATCAAGTGGGCGAGGCGGCCCATGGTCTTGCGAACAACAGCATGACGGCTGCCCAGCGGGCGGCGTTGGCGCCAGACAGTGCGGAGTATCGAGCCCGGTCAGTGGAATGGGCCCTATTTCAGAAAAAAAGGGCGTTAGCTAACACTGATAACAGAGTGATTGGCTCCAAGATTCAAATCGCGGGGTGGGCCACTTATACGGCGCTGATTAACTCACTGAAGTTGTCGATGCTGGCATTCTACACTCGACTCATGGTATGACTGCCAGCGATCCTCGACCCTGTATCACAGTGGATGTCTAACCAGCTGTGATTAGGATGGCCTCGGCCGGCGTCATCGTATTCCCATTTGGATTGGGATCGGCCTGGTGGTTGGGAGTTTTCTCGCCAGTGAGATAACAATCCTCGCGACATGCCGCCCTTTCCACAAAAACTGGCAAATCAATCCAGACCCTGGCAGTGAGTCGCCGTGCCACAATCATGGTATTCCAGTTGCCACTGACGGTCCCGCCTGCTAGACGTATGTCAACCAGCCATTTCCAAGCCGGTGATCGCAGCTACCTTTGCAGGGAATCTGGCCACGGACCCATATTTGGTCCTAATCCCGATTCCCATGCTTTGGAAATCGAGTTTGAAGCTCTTGAAGAAAGTCGCGGTGACCATCGTGCTCGGGGCCGGCATTTTTGTCCTCGTCTGCGCGACTCTTAAGAGTGTGTTCCTTTTGGTGGTAAGATCCTAATCCCATACTGTCGTCCGCGTCCAGGACCGTGTCTCACAGCGACCCAGGAACCTACCAATGGCGCATCCATTGCCGATGAATGGGGCACCCGAGAGACTTTTGTCGCAGTGATCACCACCAATCTCCCGATGGTGTTCCACCTCTTACGGACCTGGCTAGCCCGAGGGTTCGGGAGTGCATTCCAATCGTCCCACAGGAGTAAGACATACCAATTGCCCTCCGGGGGGTTGGAGCGTCTGGGTGGTGGGGCCAGCCGGAATCGTGGCCGAAATGCCAGCACGGAGCCCATCACGGTGGGCCTGACCTTTACCGAGAGTGAGGAACGAATGATGGGGGATATCAAGCTACAGACCCTGAGGCCGTACGAAGCACCCGCCGCGGGCACGATTGTGGTCTCCAATCAGGTTGAAATCAGCCATGAGACCCGGAATAGTCATCCCAGTGAATTGTCCACGGCGGGGGGTGATGAACCTTGGTAGCATTTGCGGAATATTCACCTGGCCATATGGATTGGTTTCTTGCGTATATTTCAGCACAGGCGGGGATGCAATCAGAGTGAGATTCTAGTGCACGCCGTTGGCCATGCGGCGCAGGCAACTTGCATAGCACTACTCCGGACTTGTCACTAGTAACGGGTTGGCTCCACCCGACCGGATGGCCTCCGGTTTCTCTTCGGATCACCAATCATCCCGGAGAACAGGCTAGCTTCCCGCCGTCATCCGGGGTCCGAAAGGAGTTCGGAACGGCCCAAATTCATCCCTGCCCCAGCACATTACTAAATACAACTGATCCACGTTGTACACGTTGTGTACGTTGCTTGGTGTAAGGGCCCTGCTCTGACTGGCGGACGAGTATCAGTCCTGGACGAGTCGGCCAAAGGAAGGAGAAGTGCGAGGGACGTACCAGGATGCAGGATCATTCGTCATTGGAGGTCTACACCTAGACTTCAAGAAGGCCCGACTACAGCTAGGATCAGGCTGGTAGACTCTATAGGAAGCATTGCCTACGGTCAATGCCTGTGCATGAGTGACAACCCCGGTTGCGGTGGATCGGCTGAAACTCGGAGCCGAATGGTAGGTAGTACACTTCTTTTATCATCATGTATCTATATCCGTTAGAAGAGAACAGGTGAGAGAATGGAGCAGCGGACCTTCTTCATTGGTGTGGTTACTATCCCTCCTGCGCCACAGCGGCACCTCATCTAGCGGTTCTGTCCTCGGTCCTGGGCTGAGACTTGCAGATCCATGCCTTTTGGGACCCAGGTTAACCACTGACCAGCCCAGCGGTGTGCGGCTCATCACGGTTTCATAATCATACTCCGTCACCGCTCGATCCAACGTCGCTTGGTCGGAAGGCCTCAGTTCAGGGATTCGAATTCGGGCTCCCTTGTCGATCAGGAATCGGGCCATCTCGTAATGACGAATGTGCAGCGCCCGGTGCAACGCCCAACCCCCTCCGGCGCGGGCAGGATCCGCCCCGTACTCGAACAGCAGGCGGACCACCTTCATCATATCGTCCTGGACTTCCTGGGGTGGATATTTCTGGCCCTGTGATGGCGACCCGAGCCATTGCCCCACGGCTCGCGCCAAGGGTCCTTGCTTGTCACTATTGGCGAAATTGGGATTCGCTCCCGACTCCAGAAGCAGGCGACACATCTGTCCTTGTCGTCTCCCAGCTGCGATGCACAAAGGCGAGATACGCTTATCCCTCCCGCGGAAATTGCCATCGACTCCCGCGGCCAACAACATGCTGACCGTATCCTCAAGGCCTGGCTTCGGGTTGTCCAGTAGCTCCACCAAGGCTTCGCCGATTTCCGGGTAGTCAAAGAAGGGCGGCTGGTATTTCCGCTGCTCGGCATCTAACAGCAATATTCGCACAATCACCGTGTAACCGCGGCGAGCAGCCTCACGCATAGCGCCGCCCGGGCACCACGGGTTCATCCCGCGTGCCAGGAGCATTCTGACCACGTTGGCGTGATTTCGGGAGACAGCACGAATCATGATGCCGTTGAAGTCGGAAGGGGTCAATCTGTCACTCATCCCCGCATCGAGCAAGGTTTCGATAAATTCAGCGTGCCCCGCTGCTGCCGCTATGAAGATCGGGTGCCTGTGCGAGGGGCCCATCTTGGTCCTATGGTCCCGAAATGGTCGACCGCCCCATAGGGACGGACAATATAGATCGACCCCCGCGCTCAGGAGCTTCTTCAGCACGTCGGAGTTGTTGTGCCTGGCGGCCCATGTCAAGGCGGGGGCTGGGACATGGTGTGCCACGTGGTACCGGTACAGGAAGGCGTTGAGTTGGGCGAAGAATGCGCGGTTGGTTCGCGCGAGGGCATTGATGGCATGCTGCGAGTCGAGAAATTCGGCGATGATCAAAACCAGCTCTCGAGGTAACCGAGAGAGGCTCATGATGCAGGGTGTCACCCCAACGGGGGGATGTTGGCAAGGATGGCAGCGTCAGCCGTCAGCATTAAGAAAAGACGCGGTTGCCAGTGGGGAATTATATAGCCGCCAACCGCCTGCGATCGCAATGCTCGGGCCACTTGGGGAACCCGGCGCGGGCGAATGATAAGCTAGTCTCCTGCTCCACCCTACTGCTAATTAAGTCCAGAATGGCGAGTACCCAAAAAATTATGGTCGGGTCATCCAGCAACGATAACTTGGTCATCGCTGGGCTTGATTGGGTGAGACTAGCTTCTATCGCGTGTGGATCGGGCACTAAGCAGGAGTAGTGGCATCCTACAGGCAGTAAACGGCCGCATGCACCAGCGCCGTCACCCCCAACAACCATAAGCACATCTTCCCGTGGAGTGCAAGGCACCACATCAATCTTGCCACACCTACCATCTGCAATGCTTTGCGGGTCCGGAGGGGTAGCTCGACCGTGGGAAAGATCTCTCGGACCCGGGTGCCTCGCTGTCTTGTCGGCGACAACACCAGCGTCTCGCAGGTCCGGGGCAGAAGGCTGGCCTCGACGGATATCAAGGCAATCCGAGAGGGCAGAAGAAGCAGCAGGTGGAGTGCCAACATCAAAACACATACGATGATATCGGACCTGATGACGGTTCGGTGCGTCGCCTCGTTCACGCTCTCTGGGGGCGCACCGCTAAGCTCCTCGACGAGAGCAGGTAGGTGACTCAGGATGCTCTCCGCCGCGGCATGAATCAAGGTCGGAAGAGCCAGAGCCGCCCATCGTCGACGGTCGCGGCCACTGGGCACATAGCGGACTTGGTCGCGGGGGAGAATCGTGCGGGCGGTCCAGGAGAGATGGTTCTCGGCGAGCAGGATCGAAGCGATGGGATACGCCAGCGGGCGAAGGAGTCGGGGGCGCAGAACCAAAGAGGACAACAGCTTGGTCAGAGAAGAGTGAGTGGCCCAGTAGGTACAGGCCGCGCCGAAGCCATTGAAGAGCAGCGCGATGCCGCCGCGGTGATAAAGGAAGGAAAGCGAGGCCAGCAGCCGCCGGCTCGCAGCCTTTCCCTTTCTGCCCCCGCTGACCGACCAGTGGCGGGCCTGAGGCTCGCAGGTCTCCAGGATCAGCAGACTCATCACCACCTGCCCAATCACGTATCGGATCTGCCACGCGTCAGTTCGCGTCATCTCCGAGAAAATAGAGATCGCTTACGAGTATGTCCACAATGATGCCCCCCACAATGGGGATAAGCACCATCACATTATGGGTTTGGGCCGGTTCCGGGTGCAACAGGTCATGAGCCCGCAACAGCAGCGGATCATCCCCGGAGGAATGGATAAAGGTGTTCAAGCACGCGCGGAAGAGTGTCAGTAGAAACCTAGCCATTATGGAATTGGGTTTAGAACTGAGTGGGGGCTCTTTCTCTCGCTCTACTTGTGATCAAAGGCATTTATATAGACTCGAGACTAGTATATCAGGATAAGGCTGTGATGTCTCACTCTGGACTCCGGAAAGCATCCGTTGACCCTCTATCAGCCAATCATCAAAAATCCCGCATGCAGAGGGAAGCCCTAAGAGAGAACCGGTGCCAAGCTAGGTCAGATGCGGCCTTCCCGACTCCCCGGGTGTACCCAGCAGACAGGCAGTACTGGAAGTGGACTACTCCTCTGGAATCCGGTAGCCTAGTGGGAGGGAGGCCTGTTCGCTTCACCTTCGAGAAATCTGATTCCGCCCAATGATTCCTGGTTGGTGTCCATCAAGCCCTGGTTTACAGAGTGACTATCAGGGAGGTTCCAGGGCTTACGAACACGTGGTGATAGGCCATAGCGGCCATCAGGCAACTCCAAACATAGTAGTACGTAGACTAGATTGAAGAATTTCCCAGTACCGGTCAAAACCAAATGATTATAACATTATCACTGTACAAGGATGTTGCCGTGTTCTTATCTCAGAAACACACTGTGCACCCAATCAAGATGAAGCCGGGAGGACCCAGGTGGTCACAGATTCACTGGGAATGTTTCCACTCCATTCCTCCCCGCTCTCAGTGGAAAGAGACACATAGATGTCATTGCTGAACATATTTTCAATGACAACCGTGCGCGTTCCATCCGGGTTCAAAGAAGCCACCGACTGGAGCCCTTCACCACTCGAATAGGTATAGCTACCGCTGCCGCTCAGTACGGTCGCACCAGGAGGCATGAACTTGCTGAACTGCGCCATCATATAGTAAGCGGTATTGAGCGTGTAGCTGTCATCGTCGTTGATGGTGACCAAGCCCTGGCAGGTATCGCATCCACCCGTCGTCAAGTGGGGTCCATCGTTAGTGTTGGTGCCGAGTGTCCAGGCAATAACGCCCGAAGCATAGTTCTGCAGGGGGCCAATAGTGAAATCAGCAGCCTGATGCCATGTCCCGGAGGCTGGGGTCCAGCACTCAGTCATGTATTGCTTGACCCCGGGGTTCGAGCTGTAGAACTGGCTAAGAACCGTCCAGTCGACATCCGTGGCGTAGCAGTGCCAGGCGACAGTGTCAACATACTGACTCGCTTCGTTGAGCACAGTCTGGGGGTAAGATGTCACATCTATTAAGTAGCAATCAGCAATGGTGAATACTTTTATCGAACGCGTTGTACTTGCCGGTATTGTGATCGTACGCCCAAATCTCGGTATCCAAGCCTGCGTCGGCGAGAGCTGGCCCAACGTAGTTTTGGATCAACTGCGCAGACTCGTAGTCGTAGACGTACATGGTAGGATACCCAGCCTGGCTATTCAGGGGCTCATTCTGAATGGTGATGGCATCAATCGTAGCCCCCAGGTCTTCGTACGCCTCAATGTACTTCACAAAGTACTGAGCAAATTCACTGGAGTAGCCTGTGCTTCCCGTACCACCACTGGTGAGGTAGCCATCGTTCAGATTATTGTTCGTCGTGCTGCCATCAATTTCACCATTCAACTTCATCCAGCCCGGAGCACTCCACGGGGTGCCTAGCACCTTCAGGCTTGACTGCAGCGATTTCATCGTGGCCAGCATTTTGGCCATGGCAGTTCCGCGATCGCCCAAATTGAAACTGGACAGTGATGTGTCGACACTCCCTCCATTGTCATCGTAAGTGTATGCGGGGTCACCAGACAAATCGGACGCGCCGATGGAATGGCGCATCAGCGCGAAATTCGCACCATCGGAGGTCATCAGCTCATTCAGGAGCTGCTGGAGGGTCGAGCTCGACAACGTGTTGAACGAGGTGACCGTCGCATCGGTGACCGCTGCCCCAAAGCCCGTGATCGATTGCTTGTGGCCAGACGATGTATCATCAATGGATAGCTTCCAGGTGGACTCGGAGCCGGGGCTCCCACTGCCCTGGACTGGAGCAGCAATCGACGTGAGCTTGTAATTGCCTGCTGAATTGGAAGCATACGCGGAGGCGTCGGACGCGCGCTTCCCGGGCGAGGCATGGCCAACCGCTACCAGCCCGGCAACAGCACACCACAAGGTAATCATGGTCATTGTTTCCGTGCGGAGTTGAAAGGGATGGTCCGCTGTCGAAGCGAGAATGAGGGCTGCCCCCGGGAATATATCCAGTCCATTCTTGGCCCCCAAGTGGCTGTTTCAGGGACCGAGTCTCCGCCCCCCGTCTGCAGCTGAAGGACCGCCCAGTCATGACCGAGGTTAATGCGGATAGACCTCGCGCTGCAGACTGCAGGACCATGAATGAACCTTAATGTAAGACGGGTTGCCTGAAGGGGGAAATGGGGTCGCTGGGGGCCCGGAAGCTTATTCGCGTAGATAATTATAGCCGCCCGCTTTCAGGTCCCGCGCATTCCGAGACGATCAGGGGCATGACATCGGCTCGCGCGTATATATCGATTTAGCGACGGAGGAGGTTGGTTGCGGCTGGCTAGTCTCGATCGATTGATTTTCTGCCACTTCTTGCCAAATGTTCCGGATGTCGGGGATACGAGGTTTTCGTGCGTTTGTCTTTGAATACCTTTTTTTTAAGGTAATGACGGCTGCTTGGCCGATACGAAGGAACTATGCGTGTATCGATGTGAAAGAAAGTATCGTTTGTGTTGTTGCTTGGCAGACGGTAACTCATGTATGTCACGAGAACGGCTGGAAGATATACATGCTAGTAGCTGGCGAAAAGCTGCATGATCTTTACGGCCAATGGCAAATATGCCGCATGTCCATAGAACTGCTACTGTTCTGGTGCACACGATACAGCTAAGCTTTTTGTAATCCCTGTCTACGGCTTGGCAGGGACATCTACCACTAGAACGTGTGGAGTGAGTTGACATGAGTGAGGGTGGTGGAGGTAGGGAATAGAAAAGGTTGGTGAGAGGGCATCTTATGATGACTGGTAACAGGTGGTTTCACACTTCTATGTTCATCCTTCCAACAAGTCCCAAGAATCTCTCAGGTCAAACTATACCAAAATAAAACTGATGCGGTTTCTAGTGAAGTAATCAAAGACTGGGGTAGCGCTCATGAAGCCCGCTCTGCTGTACTTGCATGCATCCGTGGTAACCGACACCACAACTTGCTTTAAAGGAGTAAACTAAGCAGTGGTACCATAACCAGGTACAGGCCTTGTGGCGGGTTGAGTTTCCTTACATTAACTTGTTCAGCTGCTTAACTTCTCAAAACACCGGGCTACTTAGCTTTTCAAACTGAAATACCTTTTCCTATGAATCCGACCGTCGCGACATGTCTTTGGATTATATATTTCCAGATGATGCTACTTATCAAGTCTCAGGCGCTGCGTGTCTTCTGTAGTACATACCTACTCTGATCCACAGAGACAACCCTTTCCGATGTTAAGTACTTCTACTATATCAGTCCACGATAATTCGCCATAACGCCTAAGTAAGCCTCCAAGATGCATCAAGGCAGAATTGTTGCATGGAAAGAAAGATGCTGCAATCCATAAGCCTTTAGCTTCACGATTGGCCATCACACGGTTGTGTGGGGTAGTGGTTATCCCTTCGGATTTTGAGTACTCTGTACTACTGAAGTTCCGACAACCCCGGTTCGAACCCGGGCACGACCTTCATTTCTTTTTTCTTCCTCAACGAGCTTCTCTCTATTTCCTGGTAGGGTATTCTTTTTGTTTTTCACATTTACTTGTGCCAGGCTAGATACCGCGTCACTGCAAGTGTTCCTAGCCCACTCCCTGGACCTAAAATACCTGTGACTTTTCGACAAATGAATCCCTCAAAACCACTAAACATGTCTCTTGGGCAATACAAAACTCACTGAATGCAGTAACGTAAATACTGGCTTCTATGATCGAGAAGAGAGCTTTTCTATAGTGCAGGCCCATGCCGTGGGTATGTCCTCGTCACGAGTGACAGAAAGCACCATGTCAGTATGCATCGGTATGCCTTCTCAATGCCTGCAGGGCGCGTGAAAGAACAGCACTTGGCTCGTCAGAGCCCCCCTCAGCAACCCGACACTCCTGCAGCTCAAGGTCAAAAACGTGATCCGCCCCCGGCACCGGAAGATACTGGACCCCAACACCACCCTCCGCCAACCTCTTAACCAGCTTCTCACTTTCCCCACAACTAATCTCCCCATCCGCAGTGCCATGCACAACAACAGTGGGTGGAAAAGACGACCCAAACTCCCCAAAATCAAGCGGAAACAGCCGTTTCGCGCGCTCATCCACCAGCCGCTCCAACCCTCCGCTCACAACGCTCTGCCCAAATCTAGCCACCCCAGTCAAATAATCCAAGAACACCCCCTTCTCCAAGATCGCATAAAGCAAAGGTAAACGTTTCCGAGTCCGAAGTTCCTCTTCCGCCTTGGGAAACTCCTCTCCCACGCTTATATCGCCCCGGGCAATCCGTCTCGGTATATCCTCCAACAAGTCTCGCGCTGTATCAGGGTCAACTGTCGCTCCGGGTAACGATACGCTCTGTGCCCATTTCTCGCTGCCGGGATCCGTCATCGGATAGAGTAGGAAGAGCGCGCAAGGTGGCGGGATTGTTTCAACAGATGTCGAAAAGTGCAGTGCACTGACGAGAGCGCACCAGCCGCCAGCACTTGCACCGGCGACAATGATACGGCTCGGCTCTGCACGACATTCGGGGTGTAGTTGATTCAGGGATTGCACGACCCATTTGTATGCGGAGAGGACATCTTCGATGGTGTCAAGGCCGGTGGATTCAGGCAGGACTCGGTAATCGGGGGAGACTAGTGGCCACTGTTGGGCGAGGGCGTAGTTGAGGAGCCATGTGGGGATGGCGTTGCGGGTGCCTGTGATCTGGTGGTGATTAAGCTTAGAAGGTTGTTACTAGGTGAGGCTAACGTACAAGGTAGCCTCCGTGGAGCCACAGGATAATGGGTTTGGGTGTTTCCGATTCAGTAAGCTGCGGTAAGTAGACGTCGATATAAAGATCGGTTGCTTGGTGGGTGGTGTACACATGGGTGTGTTTGATATGGGGTCGGTTGGCCATGGTGACGGGAGACACGTGTTGAAACTAGTTCGGTTGCAGGGGTGTCGCTCTTATCTATCCATCGTGACACAACCGGGTGATGTTTACCGCATATAACCGAGCCCAGTAAGAAATTAGTGATTCCTTCGGATTCAAGCTTTGACCTGTTGGCCCAACGGGAGATAACAAGGCTAGACCTGTTCAACTCCCTGCTAAATAACTCCCAAATTCTGAGAAAGGGCATTTTACTTCTCTTTCGGCCCAAATAATCCACCAGAGTCTTCATTTTATCTTGATCCCCGTGATCCATCTTCCTCCTGGGCCATGCGGGACAACCGACGGCCTTCCTTCGCATTTAGCGGGTTTGATTGCATGAACATTGAAACATGTCAAGATCATCTAGCTCAGCTCTGCATAAGTTAGCATTCAAGCACGCAAAGTGACGGAAAATCAGAACGCACTGAAGATATCCATAATAGCCGACATCATAGGTCCATACTAAATGACTCGAATCACCTCTTCGTAACCCTAGCCATACCCTCCTAGCTGCACGTCGGCACCTTCCACCAGTGCAGTCATCAGTCGAATATAAAGTCAAGAACCTCAAAGGTATCCATCTCTTGAATAGCTTCGTGGGGCTCAGGGTTGTGTACCGCTATATCGAACATGAAGAGTGACAACTGCTGCATATTGAACAGGGCCATATTCAATGGCTGGCCTGTACCAGACCGTTGGTCATGTACAGTATTGATGACATCGCCCTGGGGCTTGCGGGCTAACCGATCAGACATAGGCATCTTCGATGATGGCGGTCGGGTAGGGTAGCGGTGAAGAGTGCTGGAGTTGAGATGCTTCCTTGGTCTTTTCTAGGGACATCTGACACTAAAAGAAGGGTATCAAGCTGGAAGTGAATCAAAAGTCGAGGGTTGAGGAACAAAGGCTAGGCACATAAGTGAAGAGGGAAGACAGGGCCAAGATGAGCTAGCAGCCAACCGAGCCGAATCAGATACACCAGTTGACCACCAGAGAGAAACTAGCAACATTGCATATGTTATCAGAAAACGGAAGATTGCAACAACAACAACAACAACAACAACAACAACAACAACAACAACAACAACAACAACAAGTCGGGGGTTTTCTATCGCCACCTTCACTACAGGGGCAAGGTCCTATATCTATGCCCTTTTTTGTGCAACACAACTTCGTCGTTCGTTAGGAAACTTGGACACGGAAATTCTCATTATCATGATAAGAACAACATTTAAAATTTTGATCTCTTTTGCATGGCGCAACATGATCTACACTTCTCGACAGGTTGTGCACCCGAACAGTCCTCCTAGCCCCTTCTCTATCACTCCAAGGTCATGTTGAATTGACCTGTTTCACCCATGCTAAGATACCTCCACCGCACAGTCACAAGAACGCCTAGCAGCCATCTGCCAGAAGACTATGATAGCACACCAATTTGTGACAGAGATTGCAAAGGGCGCCGCCCGTTTGGCGACACGTTCTCTGTGAGTAGCATCGACTTGATCCACACCGACTGAATCGCGACTCTAACAGCGAGCGAGAGACCAGACTACCCTCTTGCAGGGCACGATGAGTCGCCTTGGACTCAGCAGCCCACTGCTGAGCCTCGGTCTGGAGGCTGTAGTCCTCCCGAACAGTGCTGAGCAAACTTTGGAAGCGATCTTCATCCAGCGTGTAGGCATTGTCACTCGGAGACATGTCCAGGTCCACACCAAAGTAATCCCGGTAGTCCGCTGTCAGCTGTGCCACACCGTAGGTCAGATTATTGACGATCCACAAGTTGCCCTCCGTGTCGGTGTCGTAAGCGGAGAGGTACTCGATAGCAACCATTTGCGCCTCCGTGGCATTACCAATGTTGCTGGCGTATTTGTGGAACACATGGCCAGTAGAGTCAACCAGGAAGAGCGGGTTGGCGTCGCTCGTGGAGTTTGGGGATAAAGTGACGCCGGTGGTGCAGACCATAGCGTGCGTCATGGTAGCACTGGCCAGAAAGGCGATTGTAGAGAGGAAATGCATTGTGATGCGTTGGACTTCGCGATGATAGAATAAATGCAATTGAGGCTTGTTGAGATACCCTTCCAGGAGGGCGAGCGACGCTTTATATCTTTGGACACCGTACTTTTGACCGCTTGTCGACCGGTGAGCTGCCAGAAGCCTTAATGCTCATGCCAATTCCATTTTGACAGGTATGTCGCAGGTAGTGTGCATGTGAAGGGTGAGACATGATCCTGACAACATTGTAGGAAGCATATGAGACAGATAAGACAGCTATCCAATAAGATGGGGGTTTGAAATGATGTAAACGAACCATCCAACCGCTGAAAGCTTGTTTGTACAGAATAACGCACTAAATCACACTAAGTCATGTAGAAGGAGTACTAGGTTGACTATTTTTGTTTGCCCTACCATGCGACTGGCTGGGCAAGCAGCTTCTGTCAGCCCTACCAAAGTGATCCGGCTTACTTCGAAGGTCCGACTGATCTAGGTTCTTCACCTGAGATATTCACTCGGGAAAGTATTATCGGTTTCGGCCCCATTTAACTTCTACAGGATCACCGTAGCCACAAAAGCTTGACCCTCCGGCTACCTTGCTTGGGACCCGGATATTAATCCCTCATATCCAGACCGACTGATGGGCGGGCATACATAATCCCTCTGACCAAGATGGCTGTCCGCTGACGGATCTACTGATGATGTATAGGCGTTAGGCTACGCCCAGATCAGGGATTTCGGCTACATAAAAGACTTCCAGTCAGAAATGTTGTTGCCTATCCAGCCTATCTCGGTCAAGATGGCCCAGGTACGCGGGCTCGATTGCGCTGACACTTTGGTACCGTACGGTAACCAGCCATTGCTGCGCTACTAATGAGCGATTCGGATCTCACGGAGACCACCCTGGTGGTCGGATAAGACGGTTACAGCCGTGAATAAGCGGAAAATTCATTGCATCCCTGTTCTGGCTAGGAGGGTTCACTTCTCACCCAAACTATTTTCCCCTTCCATGTTCCCTTCATCCTTCTCATTCCCTTGCTTCGCAACCACCATGGATCCATCCATGCCAGAACACGACTACCCCGCTGCATCCAGTCAGGCCACTCAAGATGCAGTGCGGGACCTGACATCTTGCATCCAGCAACTACGCAGTCTGATTAACCAGGAAAATGAGCGGCGGGACCCTCAACGAATTCGACAGCTCGCTAAGCAAAACGATCCTATTTTGAAGGCCCTCGATGAGGAGATTGACAGTGGACGACCAACACAGGTTGTAGCATGGAAGAAGGTACAGCTGATGCCACAACAGGATATTGATGCAGAGAATGAAGCCTATATGAAGAGGTATACAGGTGAGTGTGTTCCTGTCCTGGGAGAATTTGAACTGACGTGACGCAGCCTTCTGGGAGGAGTTTGCATCCACACCAGTCGACAAACAGGTCGCCGAAGATGCATATGAATTGGCCTTTGATCAGTTTCCTCAAGTTTATCGCTCTTTAGGCTGGCACAAAAATGATGATCTTCTCTTTGACGCAGTGGTCCTGACCCGGTATCGCGATACTCTTCTAGCAGCACTCTTTGCCATCGAGCCCTACAGGCTGAAGCACTTGCATGGCCCTCTGGAACAATCCAGAGCAGCCTTTGAATATTCGCGGTTACCTCGCCTGCTTTTAATACTTGTTCGACTGGAAGCACGACGGAATGATGCGCTTGAATGCCGGAATGGATCCTGTGTCGACTGCCGATACTTTGATGCTGATCAAACGCTCAACGTATTGATGGAAGTCGGACGATCACTACGCCTTATCAGGCTAGGTGGGGTGAATGAGATGTCTCTAGAAGAGCTTTTGCATCGATGCTACGCTCGACGGATTATAACTCAACCTAATGCCGACGATTCCGATCTTATTCGATACCAGTTCCATCTCATATACGATTGTCTCGATGCCTTGGACTTTACAACTCGGTTCCGCGAGATTAGAGACCCACTTTCTCTCACTTTCTATCTCCAGTATAAGACAGAGCCGATTCACAAGATTTTCGAAATGGTCAAGTCTCATACTAGTGTAATGGATGGCATTGAGAAATTCAAAGAGCTTCCTCTAGAGCAATCCCTCAGCCCAACCTTTTCACCAGAGACGTTCACAGTTCAATACCTGCAAGATTTTGGGGGACTGAATATCGAGTGGACGGACTGCTTGGACGATCACCTCAAAATATTCACTGGGCGTCATGCCATCAGAATCTTTGCCCACCCTACATTCTTCTACAATTGTCAAGATCTCCATGAAAGAGATTATCTTGACCCGATATACAGAGAGCTTTCCGATACATACGCCCTGCTTTTTAGGCCCTCATCGAGAAAGGGCATACGGCAATTGGAGCTTGGACGACGAAAGACACGATTTAGTGAGCGTCATTCAGCTCAGAAACGAGTAGTCGGCAAAACTATCGATAACAACTCAAGCAATGCATCGTCGCGTGTCTTGGAGAACTTTCACCGCTGCTCACTTCCTCCCACCATCCAAGCGGCATTCAACATCGCTAGTCCGTCTCTCAATATTATGGACACCAGCTCCTTCAACCAACACAAGGTGACATCCACTCCTATGCGAGAAATTCACTCGTGTGCGCCATATTACCCAGAGGATATTGAATTCATGATCAACTCAATCTTTGAACATGAATTACATTCCGACGAGCCCTTTTTACGTTATGATTACTTTGGGCCTCGTTTGCGTCGGCTCAAATCCTACCTTGACAATCGACAACCAAAAACTCTCAAACAAATATGGTGCGATAGAAGAGATACCCGGGCATGGTGGACCTTCTGGGGTAGTGCCTTCTTTTTGAGTACCATCTTGGTACTCTCAGCTGGTATTCTGGTCCTACAGATCCAACTATCTCGCTTCAGTGCTTAGATGGGAACCCCCTTGGTTATGTCATAGCTCTCTGCAGTCCATTCCGTAGTTGATTATTCACTTAGTGCGCGCGAGTACATTACTTATCATCAAACCAATGCTCTTATACAAGATACCCTAGATCTTGACGTGAAAAGGTGACAACAGTCTGCTCGGCCGCAGTGGCATGGATTCTTGTCTTTGCCGGCGTCGTTAACCTAGTAATCCGGTTAGCTCCGTGATCATCTTACGTATCTTCCCCCGGTATAAGCGTCCGCTTACACGTTAGGCTCGCCACGCCCTCCTCCACTGCACTCAATGACATGGTCATATATGGGATTTTTTTCTCATAATCGCTGAATGCCGGTACTTGCCTTATCTCCACACCAGATGGTGATGCTCATTTCGACCTCTGCCGGTGAGTGTGCCAGTTGACATAGCACTAGTGAGTGAGGATGGTATGGGATACTCGATACCATATCAGCTCGAAGTATGCTGATATGGAAAGATGTACTAAATCAAACAACATCAAGAAAGATCCCTGTGGTGATCCCTCCTTAGCTCCCCTCGAGCCACGTGGCGGCTAAGTGCTTACCCGCCGACTATTCTGTGGCTGACTTCGGGCTGTGCTCATTGCTCAAGCCACTCGCTCAGTCTTACTGTGGCGGGGCGACCAGATATGGGCTTGGGTCAGTTTCACCAGGAGATACGGGTTCTAAAAATTGCCTTAGTAAAATCTTACTAAACGAATGTTTTGCAATGCTTAGAACCTCGCAAGGGATGCGCACTTGACCCGAGTGGCTCAGAATCATAGTTGCTTGCCAGATAGCTTTCTTGTTAGAGCCTAGGGATCAACCTTATTATTCCTTCTTTTCTAGCTGTATGAAGAATTCATCACACATGACGTGTTCCGTGCTCCGTAGTCATTATGACAAGCATGTGAGACGGCTGCTTTGTGGCTTGCCCGCCACATCCCCTCATCAGTTGGTCAACCTTCTTGTTACAATGTCTTGCCTTGAACCTGAACGTTTAACCCTCGGCAGAAATGCGCAACCGGGTCGCTGAACGACTCGAATTTCTCTGGGAGCGACTGGTGGCGGCTCCCCCTTCCAACCTGGTGGATCACCAGAATCAGGTGAATGAGGCCGTCTTACATGAGTACAATATCAATCACAATCATGACCGCGGGGGATCTTTTTTGAGCCCATGTCCCAGCAAGAGCTCAGCCGGTACCCCATTGCGGAGACCGCACAGCGAACATTCAGCGACTATGACCCTGCCGACGAACCGGAAGGAGGCCGGGATCAGACGGAAGCTGTCTCTGCACGCGCCTACCAAATACTTCTCTACCTCGACTGCTCCATGTCTCAGCTCGGGGCCAGAGAAAACTTGCACGTCCACGACGGACTCCTTGGGCTGCGTCAGCTCGATCCCATCAGGTGGGTGATTGGCAGTGGCGGAGTATCCAGCTCCTTCTGTCCCTAGTCCGATGGACCATGAACTGACTCTTGGGTCTGATAGTCTTCCCAATCCGTTCTTGCTAGGCGGTGGCTTGAACGGCGCATACCCTACTATTTATGATCAGTGGATCGCCGAGATCATGCTCGAGCCGGAGATGGTGGAGGGCCGCCGGATTTATCCCCATGTCACCTTGGGCGTGGCTCAATCACACAATGGGACCGAGGATTCAATGTTATTCGGAGAGCTGGCGCCGCTGATCTCCGCCATGCGATGTTCGGGCCGTCCAGCCTCGAGTGTCTGATGATCCGGACGCGCAGGAGCCATTACTTGAGGAAAATTGGGAGAACATTCGGCGAATGCCACGAGAGTTTGAGCATGAGCAACACCGTTCTTCTCTTGTCGTTTCTGGGTCCTCAGAATGGTCGGCATTTCTACGCTTACATGGAAGGGGCCCAGCTGGTGATCGTACAGTCCCGGCTTGATAGTTTTGTAAGTAGGGCGACCTATTTTGCCAAGGAGGTCAGATCGGTCTGTCGGGGCGACAACACAAACTGCCACTTTATTCACCCTTACCCCGGCTTTTACAGTCGACAGTGTTAAGGGCAGGCCCAATATAATACGATAGATCTCCATAAAAGCCTGAGGACAGGCTAGCGCTGAGCAACTCGCAGTTAGGTCTTTTCCCGCAGGCTCTGCTTCTGATTGGTGCAGAAGAGAAGCATTTTGATTGGTTCTGCCCACTCATCCCACGTGACCTGATCGAGATATTGCCTCTCCTCACCGCTCCCCCCCCCAACCCCCAAGGGGCTTTGATGAGGCCCCTTCATAGGAGTGCTTGATGGAGCCTCTCTTGTCTCTGGGAAGGTCTTGTCCGCTCAGAATCCTTCTCTCCTGTCAGCGTCGTATTGGGTGATGGGCAGGATTTCTGGCCGAAATCCCGCCGCGAAGAATTTGACTGCCTGCGGAGTACTCCGTCGGCTCGTGTTCTGCTGCTGTCTCCACCCGCCAGAAACCCTGGTTGGATTCAATCTATTTCCCTCCGCTAGCCCGTCGGCCTGGTCTCAACTAGTCCCGGTCCAAACCCCAGCCGGTCGCCTCTGATAGGGTGTTGTTATTGACGCTCTCGCGGTCGGTGTAACCCTCCACGGCCTCCGCCAGCAACAGATGGGGGGGGGGGGGGGGGGGTTCGCATTCTCCCTCCCCCAGACTCGGACTCTTGTTGCCCTGCCACCAGCCACCGTCGGCTCATTGCCCATCCCCTCTCACTCCCGTCTTGCGTCAGCTCTAGTGGAAGTTTGGTCCCTACGCTGGCATTCTGCTGCTCGGGAGGATAGTTTCACCTGATTTGCCACCGGAGCCAGAGTTTCAATCCCCCACCGCAGTGGCCGCCCGTCCCTGGACCAGGGATGAGGGACTGGTGACAAAATGACCGCTGGGAAGGCCAAGCTTCGTGCTTGGGAAACAAGCAATGGGCCAAGGAAACAAAGTGGACGGGTTACGGAGCCACTTGGACTGCCGTGCCGTTGGACGGACTGATAAGCCCTCATCCACCCTCCGGCTTTCCGGTTAGTCCGTACCACTCTTGGGACCTGGCACTGGGGAGTGAGCATGCGCCATTGCACTTGGGCCGATCCAATCGGTCAACTGTGAGGACGCCTTCGCGCTACAGTAAGCGACGCTTCCGAGCAGTGAGAGAGCCAATCACTCGGCGCCTTGCGTCCTAGTCCGACATCCTCCCGACGCCATTGTGTAAGGGAAATTGGTCCGTGAAATTGCAGGTCTCAGATGATTGGGAGACCCGGGGGAGCGCTACTGTGTAGGACGAAGGTCGCATGGTCGCCGCTCGCCTGTCTCGGTTCTCCGCCGGCCATAATCCCATTCTCCTCCTCCTTATCTGCAAGCCCTGCACAGCCGTGCACGAATCACAACCGAGAACCCACATCACCGGAAAATAATGCATGACGGATGGTGGACGTACTCAGCAGCGGTGCCCCAGACCTCGCCCAGCCATCGAATGATCGGACCGCATGTGGCCCGTTACGTGATGAGGCCGATAACGTGCTTGCGCCAGGATGTCCGTCAGATCAGGATCATCCCAGCACTGCAGCAACCTCCCGACTCCAACCGCGAGGTGTCTGAGGGCTGAGACCCTCGTCCGGTCTGCATCTGGTGGAGTCGTCTGGTTCGTGGCAAGCCGTTCGTGCAGCTGGATGTTATCTAGCGTGTCGCCTTCCCAACCAGTGCCATCCAGCGCACCCGGACGCCACCCCCCTTCCGGGCTTCGATGAAGGCTCCAGAAAACGCCGGTACGCCAATGAGGTACCTGGCTAGTGAATCGGACCCTCTTTCTGGTGGAGTGGGCACCGAGGAGACCGTTTAAACTTCGAATGGGCAGTGGCTCTCTGAATGGCATCCACTGGGCTCGATGCCGGTTTATTAAATTCAATCGATAATGGGGACGCTCGATCAGCTCATCCTGAACCGTGATAACGTCGAACCCACCGGATTCCGCCAACCAATCGTGTCTGGTCCATTCTCAATTCCCATTCGCTCCCTCCGGATGTTATCTCGAGCTCGTCTTGACGCAGGAGGCAAGCTCGCCCCATCGCGTGCTGGCTGGCTCCAGCTGTCGTTTCATTCTTAAACCACGCCGATCCCGTTCCCCAGTTCGAGATCTTTGTACCTTCCGTTCATTCTCCTCCGTTTGCTCCTGGCGATCGTTGTGCGATCGTCTGCTGAGTTCCTATTTCCCACCATGGCTAGCGAGATCGAGCCCGCGGAGGTCCCTCCCAACATGGGAGTTCTTCCTTCCTACACCGAGGCCAACGAGAACCACCCCCGTCGGATGGTCCCCCGTGCCGATGGCGCTCTCGCTCGGCTCGACCCGAGCGTGACGCTGGAGGAGTACATGTACTGGGCCGGCATCGAGCGGGAGTTGGAAGAGGAGGAAAACCGGCAGTATGTGGAAGAACGCGGACCCCTCACCGTCGGCAAGGTCGTCAAGGCCCGCTTCTCCAAGGGTGTGCATCACGAGAACGAGAAGAAGAGGCAGAGGGAGACCGAGGTCCTGCAGGTGTCGGGGAACGAGAAGTCGCCCGAGGGTAAGGAAGGCATCGTTGCAGCCACGCCGTCGGACTCGTCTCTGGCCGTGTCCGATGAGGAATGGCGAACGGCGGCCCGGGCCCTCCGCACGGCCAGCTGGGGAACCGTCTTCTATCTGATCACCACCGACGTGTTGGGTTGGGCCAATGCACCGTAAGTGGGCGCCTCCCGTCTCCTCCATCTGTTGGGTGCCTTGCCGGACTAATCGAATGCGTGGGATCTAGATTCGTCTTCGCGAGTGTGGGTTACGGTCCGGCCGTCGCCCTGTTTATCATTTTTGGCCTCTTCGCCGGCTTCAGTGGCTGGATCCTGTGGAAGGTGTTCCTGGAGCTCGACTCGACCCGTTACCCCCTGATCAACTTTGGTGACACTTATTATCGGGTCTTCGGTCCCTGGGCCCGCCATTTGGTGAACATCGGACAGTCGTTGCAGCTGCTGATGTCCGTCTCCGTGCTCATTCTGGGTAACGGCCAGACACTGTCCCAGCTGGCCAACAACAAGCTTTGCTTCGTGGTGTGCATGGTGATCATGATGATCATCGGCATGGTCTTCGGCAGCATCCGGTCCCTGCAGCGTCTTGGATGGTTGACCAACGCTGCGGTCTGGCTGAACATTGCGGACTTTATCATGATGTGAGTTCCCTGACCCAACCACCCCGGACTATTTCTGATGATGTGACAGCATGGTTGCGGCTGGTGGCAAATTCGGCATCGACTACTCCGCCACCATCTCATCCACCTTGATTAAGGTCCAGGAGCCGGTCAAGGTGTTTGCCGGACCTCCGCCCGACCAGTACCAGATGCAGGCCACGGGCTTTGCGGGTCAGTTCACTGGTGTCGACCAGATGGTTTGTAAGTGGCTCTCTTCTGATGCGTGACGACCCGGTCCACTGACTCGCGCGCAGACAGTTATGGCGGTGCCATTCTGTTCGTCTCTTTCCTCGCCGAGATGCGCCGCCCCTGGGATTTCTGGAAGGGACTGTTGTGTGCCCAGATGTTCATCTGCTTCGTCTACATCTTCTTCGGTGCCTTTGTAGGTTGCGTCGACCGACCACTGCCGACGATCGCTAACGATGCCACAGGTCTACAGTTTCTATGGCCAGTACTCCATCTCCAACATCTACAACGTCGTGGAGCCAAAGGGGTTACAGACGGCGGTGAATATAGTCTACTTCATCACATGTATTATTGCATGCAGTATGTGCCCTGTCTTGCTCAGCCCCATATGCACTTACTAATGTCGACGCAGTTCTCTACTTCAACATCGGCATGAAGTCTGTCTACCAGCAGGTCTTCCAGGAACTCCTTAACTTCCCCGACATCTCCACCTTCCGCGGCCGCATGCTCTGGTACGGCCTTGGCCCGGTCTACTGGGCCATTGCCTTCGTCATCGCCGGTGCCGTTCCCAACCTGAGTGGTATCTCCAGTATGGTCGGTGCTGCCCTCATTCTGAACTTCACCTACACCCTCCCGGGTATCCTCTACGTCGGATTCCGCAGTCAGAAGGATGCGGCCCTTCCGGGCGAGGGATACAACCCCGTCACCGGTGTGACGACCCGCCACGACGGCGGCTGGAAGCGCTATGCCCGTGGATTCAAGAAGAGCTTGTACATCAACCTGTTCTGTATCTTCTACTTCTGCGGTGGTCTGGCCTGTTCGGGTATGGGTATGTGGGCTGCCATTACAAGTTTGATCGAGATCTTCGGTCCGGGTGGTACGGTTGCCACGTCCTTCGGTTGTGCTGCCCCAGTTTAGTCGGTTGTCGGACGACGAGTAGTGTCTCACCTCTACATATATCAAAATGAGTCGTGTCTGACTCGATGGATGTATTAATAATAATGTCATGGCTTTTTCTCTATTTTGGTTGCCTGTATTATGATTCAGAACGATGCATATGTGAAGAACAAGCGAATGTCTTTGCCTGCAGATGGTGGCAGCGAACCTCGATAGAGCAATCAGGTTCCTTTCATAGGAATTCCGGTCAATGGTAGTACTCTGTGAGTCACTGCAGTCCATCCGTTGTCGTGGTCTAGAGTTGCAAGTGGACCCTACAGTGGGTATCTCACACTAGCATGTCTCTGGAGTACTCCATGAGTTCACAGGGTTATTTTTCAATTTACTAGTTTGATTAGTCGAATAGTGGCCAAGAGACGTAAAATAAATGTCACCCATCTTCAACTTAAGACACTCCATATGCTGACCAACACCGTTCCTTCCGCAAATATATTTCCGCTGAGTTTTCAAATCTTCACAAGGTTGAAGTTGAGACCACTGGTGACAAGGAAGCTTGAATTACAAGAGAACGAAGAGCGCTGAGCCTAGAAATATCTTCCATGATGAAGACCCAGCGGTATGTAAATGTGTAATACTGCAACCCCCAGCAACCCCGAAATTCCGACACATCTAGGCGAGAATTCGACCACACACCTATATAACCAAATAAAGCCCACTATATTCATCCAAGGCAAGATGGCCGAGTTGGTCCAAGGCGTCAGGTTAAGGTCCACCTTAATAACCAGCTTCACAGCTTCCTGATCATCGTTTGATGGCGTGGGTTCGAATCCCACTCTTGTCATTTTTTTCACAACACTGCTGTGCAGCTGTGCCCCACATGGATTCATTCCATCGGCATTGCGGCATTTCATTGCATGAATTTATGAATTTCACAGCATGAAATGTCCTTCTTCTCAGACCCTTTTTGCTTTTCTTTCGCCTTTCTTTCTGATTTCCTTGTTTTATCACACTCTGTCACCCATGAAAGGGTTCATGACATTTTCGTCTTCATGGAGGTCATGGTTTTCATACTTTTCACCCATTTCCATTGCGGAATGAAAGATTTCATGAAACATTCATGCATTCCCCACCCTTGCACCCACTCATCAGCCTCGCCACTTATCTCACCCCATCACTACACGTCTCCCTCCAATCACGAAGGACTTATTTTTCACCACTGCAAAAACCAGCCTCAGACTATGGCTGAAGTCGAACACTCATCCTCTCATTGTAATTGATGTCTACTGAAACATACACGAGAGCTACTCATACTTCTACAACATCCCTTCATCTCAACGAACTAGTGAGTAGTTAAGGCTTCTTCTGTGCTGCGGTACACATAGTGGCAGTGACCTCGATAAGAACTCCCGATCACTCGGGTGACTTGAGCAAATAATAGATATGGATATCCCCAATCATCGTAGCTCGTTCATCTGGATGCCATTTAGCCTTGGTCTGAGAGTCGAAGGAAATGGACTGGGATACAATGAGTCCGGAGATGATTGAGACATGTCTTGTGAAATATCCAAGTTGATTTCCATATACGATACCACGAATCAAGCACACTTCCCTTCCCTTCCCCAACCACCTCACCTCACCCCTTCCCTCGATAAACCCAACCCCTCTAATCACCTCTCACCCATCCCACCCCCAAACACCAACCCAACCCCCTACGAAACAACACACAGTCACCTCTCCGCCTTAGGCGGGTACTCCTTCCCCTCGCGCACCACCTTCGGGGCACAAGTGCACCATTCGCCCTCGGGGATGGAGTCCATGACGGAGGGGATGTGGCTGCCGCAACCCCACCAGGAGGTTTTGTCTGTTTTTTCTTAGTATACATGGTATCTCAGAGGGTTTGGGGGACGGGATGGCGGGGTAGCTGAGGGGCAGATAAGGTAAGATAACATACTGCAGGTCGAGCAGGTTGCTTTCATGCACATTTTCAAATATCCAAGAGTTAAAATCTGGATTGAGAGAAAAGGTAGAGTAGGTTGTATAGAAATGTTTGTATGTGGATGTGTGTGTGTAATGGAGAATGGGAGGAGGAATGGAAGAGGGGCAAGAAAGCGGGTTTATAGCGCGCTTAGTCAGTGGAGTTCGCCGATCGGGAAAGTCTGATCCCCGAGAGCCCGACATTCCTTTATTTTTCCTTTTGATGAATGGGCTGGAATGAATACGGGGGAGGGATATGTTTGGTGTATATCTACATGGGATGTGAGGTGAGTAAGTAGGGCTAGTGCTGTGGTTGTGGTGCAGAGGACCTTGGGGAATTGTTCATTGTCTACGGAGTACGGCTGGGGTGTCTACTTATGGAGAAGTGCCAATACTTGAAGAATGGGGTTACTGTACTCATGAGTAAATCATTTCATTCATGGCATCTATCGTGGTATCCTATTACAACTTTCCCTTCGGCGCTGGACAGCACGCCACCGGCTCAGGGTGCAGCGTCGACTTGTTAAACGACTGCGATGAAGGCGGCACGTCCAGGGCGGGATTCTTGGTGAAAAATCCATCCGGCTTCAACATGACACTAACGCGTTCCACGGGCATGACGGGGAAATCTTCAATGCGGGGGTTGTGGGTCAGGCCGAAGGCTGTTTGGTTAGCATGTCATGAACCTCACTACACATAAATATGTCAGAAAACTTGGGATGGGGGGCTTACTATGCCACAGTACGAGATCCTCGTTCTCAACCGGATCCTCCCTCTGCACCCATTTCTCCACGCCCTCACTCTGCTTGCTCTGGTTGGTAAATTCGCCTGCCGCGTACAGTTCGTCGTCCTGATACTTGGTGACCCAGATCGGCTTGGTCGCGAAGCCGGCGCGCTTGTTGCCGTACGACTTTGGATTGGCGAGCAGCATCTGCGCGGGTGAGGTTTGCAGCTTGTATGCCACCGGCTTGTAAGTAATCGGATTAATGCAGGCGTCATTGCGGATTTTGAACACGCGGTGGCGGCTGACGTCGGTGTTGGCGGTGCCGCTGGTCCGCAGGACGGTCTGCTCGGTCGTGTATCCCATCAGGTAGGGGTTGTTCTCATCCTCCGGCAGTGGCACGCTGTCCTCGTAGTACACGGTATTCTTGAATCCGTCCAAGGCGGGATCCATGCGGAAGGAGAACATGTGTTGGTGGAAGGGTGCCATGACGCCGGGACCGACGTTGGTGCCCCAGGGGACGGTGGTGCCGAATTTCTCGTTGTCGAATGGAACGGTGGAGAGAATCCCGGTGGCACGGACCTCGAGCTCAATGTTGGCGGCTTGATCGAAGATGAAAGCAAAGATGTATTCGTAGTTGGCGACGGTACAGATCATCTGCACTACTAATTGGCGGTTGCGGACCACGGTGGCGGCGTTGTTGCGGTAGTTGGTGTGTTTGTGCTGGAGGCCGTTGTCTTGCTCGTGGAGACAGATGATGTTCTGCAGTAACACGGGGGTGCCCTTGGAATCAGCCCGGTAGCCATCGAAGTACTTGATGTGGCCGAGACAGTCGCAGCCGAGGGAGAGCTGGTTGGCGGTGATGCCGAAACCGACGTCTCCCACATCGAAGGCCTGTTTACGGTGATAAGGAGCACGGGGGTCTTGGATAGCAGGGTCAGTGTCAGTTGCATCTTTTAGAATGATTAGCGGTAGGATCAGACCTACCACCGTACGGCACGGTCATCTCGGACACGGACAATCGGTAAAACACGTTCCGTCCATCATAAGTCAGGTTGTAGATAACGAGACCCTCGCGGCTGTTGAACCCCACGCGGAAGCGCCACTTCTGCCACGCCACAACATTCCCTTCCACATCGAACGATGGGCCTTCCGGTTGCTGGACAATATACGGCTTGAGGTCCGTGCGCAACGGCTCCTGCAGCAAATCGTGTGCGTACTGAATAGTTTCCACCGGCTTCCATGGCTGCGTGTCGGTGGTTTGCGTATCAATGCCACTCGGAAGGTAATCGATACGGACCAATTCGCGTTTGAGGATGTCAAAGACCGGGGAGAACTTGCAAGGAACCGAGTAGTGGTTGTTCTGGGGATGGTCGGTGGCAATAATGTACATGTAACACTGGCACAGCCGACGCGTCTCATTGGGATCATCGGTGCCATAGATCCAGGGATCATTGCAGACAGTGACCCCAGGAGGCAGCTGCAGCTTGGCCACCTCGGCCTGCACGACGGGATGGCTGAGACACAGTTGCTCGATCTCACCGAGTTCGTCCATGTCCGCGGGACCCTGAGTCGTCAGAGCTGTTTGAGGTAACACCGATGGAATACAAGTCATACCTGAATGTGCTTGGGCAATTCCTTGGCCGAAAGGATGGAACGGGTGCCTGCGTTCAACAATGCCTTGTGAAACGCCCCGGTGTCCTTGCGATGGAAGAGAACCTGGAGCAACCGGGCGGGCTTCGGGGGCAGGGGCTTGCCCAGCCTCTCGGCCTCAATGTATGGAATGACATCACGCTTGATCGGTTCCTGAATGTCAATCTTCTTGTACCGAAGAGGAATTCCAGGAAAGGCGGCCTCCAAGATCTTGGTGGCGAGGACGATTTCCGCCGGAGTGATGGGGTCGAAGGGGTGCGGCGTGGCTGCCATTGTCTGACTGTCTGAATCCGACTGACAGGATACTTTGTGAAGAGAAGAAGGAATAGGAACAAGTGACAGCTGACAGACAGCGGAACCGGTAACTTTATAAAGAACCCGCGGGGGATCCCCGAGTCCCTGGCCTCCGAGTCGGGATATGGTTGGGTCCGCCCAGCCTGCCTACTATTGGCTTGGGGGTCGGAGGCGGGTATTCCTATTGGCCCGCTTGGCCGACCCGGCGTATCTCTTGCCTTGACGGGACTAGTTCAGGCGTCTTATCAGACCGTGACTTATCGCCGAGTAACACCAATCAAAAGTGACATTCACATCGACCGAGATAGCCCTGAGCAGCATTCTACATACATCTGGTGAACCTCTCTAAGATATCATGAAAATCGTGACCCCCAGAACCACGCCTGCTATCACCACCGTTGCCACCGCCGCGCCTACTCGATCGGACGTGGTGATCGTACGAAGTGCACTCGGGTCTCTGGACGAGTCCGATGACTCCGTGCCAGCAGCTCCATCTCCCTTGCTGGATGCCCCCGTGTTGTAAGTGAGCGGGCCTGCATTTGCCCCGACCAGGTTGGCCTGCACGGCTTCCAAGGCGGCCATCTGCTGCCCCACTCCGATGGTGCCATCGTAGGTCCCCGTGGTCCAATGCATCCCGCAGTAGGTGCCCGTCTTGCCTCCCACACACTGGGCCGCCGCCGCCTTTGCGGTTGGTTGCAGACGACCCATGATGGTGTCGTAGGTGAACGGGGCCAACCGGGCCGTGTCCGCCATCCACCGCACCAGATACGCCTTGAACGAGAATTGGTCGGTTTGACAGGTGCTGACGGGCTCGCAGGCAGCCTCATAGAGGACGCTCGGGGAGGCCTCGTCGGTGGACAGGAACGTGCTCTGCGCCTGAAGCAGACCGTTGATCCGTTCTCGCCAGTGATCGCCACCGTTGGTCTGCCTCAGTCAGTGCATGTGCTAGGCCAGCGAGGCAGTCTCTTACGTAGTTCCACATGTGTGCAGCTCCCAGCAGGAATACCCCGTTGTTGTAAGTCCATTCGATATGATTGAGATCGGTGCAATTGTTTTCCTCACTCGTGCCATCAAAGACATGGTAGTCCGGCCCAATGAGACCGATGGTGGTCACCCAGTCCCACACCTTGTCGGCCCAGTCCGCGTACGTCGCATTTCCCGTATACCGGGCGAGTCGGGCCGCCAGGTTGAAGAAGCATCCGTTGGAGATGGAGTTGCGGTACGTATAGCCGCTGTTGAACGTGTAGATCTGCCACTTCAGCCCTCCTCCGCACTTCTTGGTATCCCATCGCTGCGCCTGCTCGTTGAACACGGCTTGTACGAGAGCCAGCCATGATGGCTGATCATCAGGGGGATTGGGAAAGTTCCTCTCTGCGGCGCGCATGGCAGTAAAGGCCCAGAAGGCTTGATCGTCATTTCCCTCGGTGCGGGTCTGATTGGCGGGCATGAAGTCTCGGTTGGGTCCAATCTGGTGGAGGATCGCCTGTGCAGTCAGGTTGTTGTAGGTGGTATCCCCGGTATATGCCCAGTAGTTGACCAGAGTACCAAAGAAGGCCCCGGCTTCCCACCAGTAGTAGGGATCAGGAAGGTTGCCCGGGACATCGCCGGTGTTGTTGCCCGTGTAGAAGCTGACGAGGTCCCAGGCCAGTTCGCGGGCGACGCTCTTGATGCTGTCTAGTTGGTAGGTGTTGGTTAGCCTTTCGCTAAGGTTAGTGTTGGCCAAGCTTCGCGACTCACCAGGATTCTGAAGATCGAGGTCGATCGCCTGAGCCTGGAAGCAAGGGATCGACCAAACGATGCATGAAAGGAGGAACCGCCAGAGGCGAAACTTTGGGGCGCGCATGTCTACCAGATGGCCATCAAATGAGTGCTAGGAGATGGTGAGGGAGGAGCGAGGATTGTGTTAAAGAAATAACAAGAAATGACATTGCCTGGAGGGGTGCACAGTGAATTATCATGGAGGACCCGGCTGTGGGAATAGCACCAACCGCAGCTGCAAGGGTCCTGCAGACCGTCGCAAGGATCCCATTATTGGCCATTATTAGGGCGGCACTGTCCGCTGGCCTTGCCAGGTCCCTCCAGTTCTTGGATAGTATCCGTGAATTCGGTTCAAGGCCAGATTGCTGGTTGATTTTGGTTTTTACTGAGCACGAAGTAGGGTATTTTAGTGTAGTCGAAGCATGGGCCACCCTATGCTGTGAGCCTGTGGCAATTAATTTATCCCTGGCACCCTTGGTTTTCCTCAGAATTATTCCCAGCCAATCGCAGCAGACCTGGGATGGAGCCAACTGGCCAGTATATTCTCGGAGCCATCGACGCTACGGAATGATACGAAGTAGCAATGGCAGAGTAATTCATACAACAATGCCAGACCACATACTCTGATTAAAAACAGACGGTTTCCAAGTATGCCATGCATTACGGTGCGCTCATCTTGAGTGTTCCCTGGTGCAACTTGCTTTGGGAACACTGTCCCCGAGAGGAACAAATGAGGGCAAGAAGGGGATGGCTACTTCTTGGCCTCTCGTCAAGCCGCATGCAGACCGCCTGGACATTTCCGATAGCCCGACCCTTGAGTCATCTTATCAGGCTGGGAGGCAGGTTATCTCTCGCGCTCTCTATCGCTGTCCTGATAAGTCCATCCTGAGGCCGAGAACGGGCGGGGCTGCTGAGTCAGCGGGCCCGGGTGGGGAAGTTTCCCTTCTTCTTGTCTCCTCCTGCTTTGACGGCTGCGACAAGGCTTGTGCTCTCTTGCAACTCAAGCAGAAGAGGGTGAGGTGCTATCTTTTGGGGATGGCTTGACCAGTGTCTGTCAGCTTCGAGCCGTGGTATCTGGTAGAATGGACCAATCTCAACGTCCCAAGCGGACCAGCAATGCGTACGGCCGTCCCCACTGCCTCTTATCGATCCTCATCCACTAACCTGGCCAGCTGTCAACGCTGTCGCTCCCGCAAGGTCAAGTGCTCGGGCACCCATCCCTGCGACAAGTGCTGCCAGCGTCGTGAGCACTGTGTTTTTGAAGACGACCGGAAGATTGTGGTCTCCGAAGAGTGGGATCCCTGCCCTCTGCCAGAGCGGAACGGAGGTTAACTCCCCTAGGCTATTCTTGTCCCTGAAACGCAAGGTCGAGGCCCTGGAGGGGGTCAGCGCTTCCCCCGCAGTCAAACGACGGCGGGCCTTGACCGCGGACAGTGCCGAGGAGTCCAGCTATGGTAGGACCCCGCGTGGCCTGCATCTCCTTAGCTAATCCGCTCAGACCCAGCAGACCAAGCCTCGGAGTTGCCCCGAGAGACCACCCTCGACCTAGCCGAGAGCAATCGGTATGATGACCGATTCACATCCAATCCATTGGTGTCGCCATCCACCTATCTCAAGCACACCGGACAACGACAGCGAATATGGCGTAGGTTATCTGCCATTTCCCCGAAGCAACGGCTGACAACGGCAGTGTTCCTGGGACCAACATCGACTTGGTCCTTTAGCCGTCGGGTTCTCAACATCGTCCAGGCACATATATCGCCGGACAGCTCACGTCCGATTCCGCTCGCGGTCGACGGCGATGCATATCAGATCCAGTGGCGCCATGCCAGTTCCGAGGAATCGCCCGACATTAGCGGACTGCCATCGCTAGAGCACGCGCTCTACATGGTAAGCACCGTGCAGTTCCACTTCAGCCAGCTGTACCGTCTGTTCGACGAGGACGAATTTATCCGACATCTCCATGAGTTTTACGACGATGCGGAAACCAAGGTGCAGGAATCGCGCCTGTGGTATGTGCAGTTTCTCGTGATCCTGGCGTTCGGGGAGGCCTTCTTGGACCCGGGGCGGGACCACGCCAACACGGCGAGTTGGACCAAATATTTCTCGCGAGCCATGTCGCTGCTTCCGGATATCACCGGGCTCTGGCAGGAGCCTACCCTAGCCATCGAGGTGTTGGCTCTCATTGCGTTGTATTTTCACTCGGTGGACATGCGAGATACGGCCTACTGTTATGTGAGTATCAGTCCAAGATGATAGGGTTTGGCTAACCAAGTAGATCGGGCATGCGATGCGCATGGCATTGGTGGAAGGCTTCCACCGGGCCCTCCCCGTGGACCAGCTCGGACGGAGATTGGTTGACCGCTGCAGCAACATTTGGTGGACGGTGTACATCCTCGATCGCAAGTTCTCCTCGCTGATCGGATCCCCAAATTCGGTTCGAGATGACGAGATCACCACGTTGCTCTGGGACCCGCGCACCTGCTCTCGAAACGAGGCTGCGTTGAGTCTCCACGTCAAGATCACGCAGGTTATTTCCCGCGTGCTCAACAGTAGGCGCTCCATCTTTCCTGTCCAACTCTTTGCTCCCATCAGCGCTGACTTCTAGCAGCGGTATACAGTGCCGATGGTACGCTGGGCGGAGTGTTCCTTCGCAAAGTGCGATCGGTTCTGCATGAGATGACCAGTCTGTCGCGAGAGTTGGATGTTGTCTTTTCCCACCGCTTTGCAAACTCGGTCGACGCGCTTTCCGGGGTTACCACTCGCTTGACCCTCTCCTGCCATCTGGTACGCGAACCCATATTCGATGCTGTGCGGTGCTAATAGTCATAGTGCATTATTGTCACCACCAGACCTCTTGTTCTGAGCCTGTTATGGGAACGACTGAGTTGCTTCGAGGCAGGCACCGAGTTCCGCACTCTCTCCCCGCCCGTCCAGGCTTTACTCCAGGCGTGCATTGATTCCGCCGTCAAATCCCTGCGCATCTTGACCGCACTGCGCGACCAAACCCTACTCGGTAGGTGTCAATTTGCTTATCATCGGCCCCATTAACACTCGATAGAAACCTTCCTGCCCTTCGACCTAGAGAACCTCTTCTCCTCCTTCTTCGTCCTCTCCCTCATCTCCGCCATTCTGCCGGACGCCCTGACGGACCCCAGCTACCGCGAGATGGGCTACAGCCTCCTGGATGCCATGATTGACCGCGGGAATCGAGTCGCGCAGCTGCGCAAGTCCGAGATCGAGCTGTTGGAAGAACTGATCCAGCCATTAGTCCAGCGCCAGAGCCGACCCACCGAGGGCGGAAATTATGCACGCCCGCAACTGGCCACACCCACCAGCCAGGAGCACCTCTCCGAGCCGGGACACCAATCGGGGTCAGAAATGCCGGGGGCAATAGGGGCTGCGGCCCTTCCGCCCCCACACGAGATCGCGGAGCCCGACGACGAGCTGCCGTTGGATTGGCGGGGATTTGGACTCTCGTTGGATTGTATGCTGTCGGCGGCGGATCAACTGAGCACGAATAATTTGGTGCTGGATGCGGAACGCGAGGGGTTGCAGACGGATCTGTGGTTGTGGGAGAGTAATGCCTAACTGACGGAATCGAGATGGGGAATGAGCTGATGACGCCATGACCAATGAAATAACCTTATGCACATACCAGCTGCCGCTGACAAATGATCCGCATGCCCAGCAGCAGTGCAGCACAGAATCTCTTCACACCCACCATGTCTCTCCGTCCTTTCTCCAATGAAATCCCATCTGCAGTTGACTAGCTACACCACTAGCACCAAACATACCCAAAAAGCAAGCAGTCAACCGACCAGCCAGCCTTGTCAGCCCCTATCTATACTCATCCCTCCTATCACCCAACACTGATCCCAAGCGAATCCCCTGCAATTATCTACCTAATAGGACATGCTACCCAAGCAATGAAGCCTAACAGACAAAGTTTTCATGCCCCCAATCCGTTCATCCATCCGTCCATCCATCCATCATTAATCCATCAATCGAATCCAAAACCACGCTCCATATAACCCAATCCATGGCTCCCTACCCCTTAGCAACCCACCAACCGCGTACAGACCAAATGACTGGTCTAAAGGACATCCAAGTAGGCATGTCAAAGCGATAGGTCGAGTCGATCTACCGAATCGGTACATACACTAGACAGTAGACAGGTCCAGAAGCCAAGTTCGTACCATTGCTACTTATGCATGTCGGTTTGATTATTCCTGTGTGTGGCCAATCAGCGTACTCCGTACCTGGACAGGAGTACATGGATCAGACAATGTTGGTACTTGGTACCGAATGCAACGGATAGGACAGGCAGTCATTGGATGGATCCACTCAGGTACGGATCGTATTTCTACAAAGTACATAGTAGACATGGATGTGTGTAATGAAATGGAAGTATTCACTGCATGCATCTCACACCGTATATTCGAGTCGAGATTCGTCACGCAGGCATGAAGTCCATATGTAAGTGGCGATAATCTCGATCATCGGAGTACATCCTCCGTCGTCGATACGAATAGAGTTTTCTCATTGTCAAAAAGTACCCTCGGCAATCCCACGGCTCCGCGGGAGGAGGTAGAATCCTCCGTGCCTCGGAAGCAACCATCTTAAGACTACCCCTTTGACCAGGCTACTACATAGGAATAATCACATTGCGTGGTCTCATTCGCACCCCGCCAAGAAGAACTATTTAACCTCGTACGTAGGCTCTGTCCGGGCAGTGTCAACCACGAGAGTTTGGGGCATCCATGGGCGGACACGGCAAGAAATAAGGTGACTGCAAGAACCGGGGATTCGTCAGCCTGGCTGTCTGAGTCGAGGCAGGCTATAATTAACCCTTTTTACTCGCAGACCTCAGAAGCATACGTAAGTGAGCCCCACCCGAGCCAACCGGCGGTTCGGTGGCGCCGAATCTGTCATGGGTTGTTGTGTACATCTGAATGTCGGAATCAGGGGATGAAAACGATGGATATGTCAGGTACGATGTATGATCTGGCAGTGCAGTGTCAGATGTTCTCTACATAGTAGATCGACATCACCTACACGTGTTGGTGGTGACCGATCAACATTAATGTGAACCACCCACCCGAAAAGGAGTGGCCCGCCGAAGCCACGCTAGTCGAGGCTTAACTCCGCCGGTGCCAACGCTATCGAGATTTATCTCTCTGCCTGGTGCCTCTCACTTTTTTTTTTATTATATTATTTGTTTTTATTTTTTTATCTTTTACTTTTTTTGTTTTCCGTTTTCCGATTTCCGGTTATTTGATGGCTGACCCACACCATCGTGGCGTCAAGCAGGAACCGGAATGCTACAATTCGTTCAAGCAACCCAATTAATCCAGTCACCTTGGGCCAGACCACATGGCGCCGACGCCGTGGGCACGCTGCCACTCAGAGTGACGACGCAAGGGGGCTTACGTAGGGGCCAACCTGGATGGCATGCCAGCGCCGTGCCTGGATGGTGGACCCATCAACAAACACACATCACCACAACATTGGCTGGCGCCCTGTACAAAAAGCCCGCCGGCCAACACAGTCCATCGCGCCGTCGCTGCCGGTTCGTTCGCCATGGCCGGTCCTGCGTTTCAGACCACCGCCGCCCTCCGTTTCACTGCCCTAACCGGGGCATCCAGTCGGCCTCGGACTCCAGTCGAGGCGCACAGGCACTGGCACTAGCCTGGTGCACTCGTCAATTTCCCACCATGGCGGCGTCGGTCCGAGTCCAATGCTGACGATTCCTTTGCGCTGCCCGTATCCACTCCTTTGGTCGAGGCCATCCGGGGCTGCCTCGCTATATACCTCCCGTCACCCGGCTAGCACTCTCCTTATTGCTGTCTACATCCAGTCACTCCTTTGGACCCTGTTCATTTCAAGATCAACAACGAAATCCAACCCTCCTTTGCAGCGATACAGATCACTGATTGACTCACTGGTCTCTCCACCATGCAGTGGAAGTCACTCCTTCTGTGCGCGGCCATCGCCGAATCGGCCCTGGCTCGCTCCCACGGCCATGACCGCCGGCAACACGGCCACGGCCACGCCCAGGAGGCTCATGTGGCCGCCCGGGATGTCCAAGTCGAGGTCCACACCGTCACCGATGTCGAGCACATCACTCTGACCACCACCGTCTACGGCGTGCCCACTGAGACCGCCGAGGCGGTTACCACCTACGAGGAGGTCACCACCACCAGCACCTCCGCCGCCACCACCACCGCTGCCAGCGGCGCCTTTATTGAAATCGACACCAACGAGGACCTGGCCATCAGCGCCAGCCTGGACATCTCCCTGTCTCTGGGCTTCGGCGAGCACACCAGCACCCGCACCCACACCCATACCAGCACCAGCACTCACACGAGCACCCATACCAGCACCCACACCTCCTCTACCGCGGCCAGCTCCACCGCGGCCAGCGGCACCTCCGGCAGCGAGCCCTGGACGTCCACCCCCACCAACGGCGTCTACTCGACCTCCGGATTCGGCGGCCGCACCAACAGCAGCAGCAGCGGAATCACCTACAGCGGCAACGTCGGCGACCCATGGGGCAGCAACATCATCGAAGTCGACGCCGCGGACGCCTGGCAATACAAATACGTGATCCAGATCAACGGCAGCAACACGAACTCCTGGTTCGTGAGTTTCTGGAACAAGATCGGCCCCGACGGCAAAATGGACGGCTGGTACGGCCACTCGGCCCTGAACTTCACGCTCGCCGCGGGAGCCACCAAATACGTGGCCTTTGACGAGAACTCGCAAGGGGGCTGGGGCGCCGCGGAGGGGGACAGTTTGCCCACCGATGACTACGGGGGTTACTCGTGCACGTGGGGCGAGTTCGATTTCGGGGATACGGATAATGATGCGTGGTCCGGGTGGGATGTGAGTGCGATTCAGGCGCAGAATGCCGATCAGACGGTGCAGGGGATGCGGATCTGTCAGCATGCCGATAAGGAGTGTTCGTATATTACGACTGATGCGGGGACTGTGTATAATGCGTATACGAGTGCTGAGGCGTCGGTGGATGGTATTGGGGGGACCGTGTCGGCGGGGGCGGTCCGGTTGACGGTGGAGGTGGATTATAGCTAGTTGATACCATTGCTTGTTGTATATACGGGTTGTTGAGTGACAATATACATATGGTGGTTGCAGTGTGTTGATTGTAGGGTTTGGTGTGGTCGGGGAAGATAAGTATGCGCTTGATTTCGGATGTCTCACGTTGAAACTGGGGTAGATCCTCCGTGGCTGCGTAGTGGGTGCGCTGATCGGTGGAGCATCTGGTAGAGCGTCGGATCGGTGTCTTGATGTCTTAGATGGATGAGGCGGAAGACTCGGAACGCTCCGTGTTTGAATCTCACCTTATTCTCACCACGTTCGGTTCGCTAGGATTGACGTGATAGGAGATTCAGAGCATCGCCAGTGGACTCGGTCGGATATCGAAGTTTATTGCTTGCAATTGTGGGTCTGGCGTGGTGATTTACGGAGGGGTATAAGAACCTGTGTAGAAATGGAGTGAAGGGGACAAGGTCTCGGAGGAGAGTGCCATGATGATGTTCTCAATGTATATCGCTGCTGCAAAAAACTACCATTCACCAATGTAGCAACCTTTTAATCTAGGTATTAGACAATGACTGCAAGCTAGCCTGACTATACGACCAACATTCAATAAACTGATTGATTTACCTCTATGCCAAGTAGGGAGACTATTTGATCAACGATGAATGGTGCTCTACGGAGTACAGAGTGTGTGCTAGAGTTTCCTTGGCTTACATAACAGATAGATTACTGCCCATTCAACCACCGGTCCCATAGCTCAGTTGGTTAGAGCGTAACGCTAATAACGTTAAAGTCGAGGGTTCGAGCCCCTCTGGGACCATCTTTTTGCATCCACCAACAACATACTCTTGTGCACCCCTTTAAATGTTGGTTGCTTTGTTTTTTACCTTCAGGGCTACTTACTCTACTTGAGAAGACAGTAGGTAGAAGCCCAGCACAACTTGGTTGTATTGCAATTTCCCAACAGCACGTCCACATACAGCAACCATTAAGTCACAAAGCAAAGCCAAATCTTTCACAACACACCAACCATCACAACCTGATTTCAAGCATTCTCCCATCCTCCCACATTCCACTCAGCACCATCACCACCACCATCACCGCGAGAAAACCTACACCGCCAACATTAGCACCAACTCACCAACCCCAACAGCCCAGTCCAGCCCAGCCCAGCCCGTAACCCAGACCGTTCCTGGCCAACGCACCGCCCACGGGCCCTCTCGTCCGCTACAGAACCCTTCATAGGAGCAGCTCCGCGTGCCGCTCAAAGTCGATCGAAATCGCAACAATTTTCTGCAGAATCCGATCGTCCTTGAGCGACAGGGGGAGCTGTCTCCTACGAATGACCCTGTCGCGGGCGAGAATGGCCCATGGGCGCCCCATTGGTAAGCAACTAGATTTGCAAGGTACGTTAATTGGCATATATCTATGCTCTTCTATTCCTCTGAAGGGATGGGGGTTTGACGTTACCACTATGTGTGTTTGTATTTGGAGTAGTTATGGGGCTGCATCAAGGCCAGCCGAGATCCAACGCGTCCATGACGGATCGCACGCTGTCAATGTTCTGGTTACTGTCGATGTAGACCGCTCCGAGGAGGGCTTCAACGGTGCTGGCCATGACGTTGGTGGAGACGGATTTGCCCTGGGCGGGGTTAACCATGACGAAGTGGTCGAGGGATTTGTTGAAGCCGGTGGCGGCGAGGTTGGTGTTGTTGGCTTTGGCCGTGATGATGCTGCTGATTTTTCCTGATGGAGGTTAGTGCTTCTACAGGGAGGGGACACAGGGGGGGTTACTTCTGGGCTTTCGGGTTTGGTATCCATCTAGGGTGAGTACCATCTGGAGAATGGCGTCTCCGACCTGGGCGAGATCTTTATGGCCGTCAAAGCGGGTGGTTATGGTTGGGATGTAGGAGCCCGCTGCCTGGAGGGCTTCGAAGAGAAGGGCCGGGTTGGTGAAGGTGTATCCGATGATGAGTTGGAGGGGGGCAACCTTCTCTGCAAGAGCGGATGATGGGGACATGGTGGAGCCGGTTGGATATGATAGATATTGGATTAGGGTTGTTGAATGAGGAGTGAGTATGAGATGGACAAGTGAATAGAAGAGATAGCGAGTGAGGGGAAATCAGGTGCGAGGCTGATGGTTTTAACCCCTCCGGCTTGCAGCATCATGTGATGTCGCTTAGCCGAGCTGACGAGGCTGGGGATTGAACTGACAGTATCTCACGTCTGTAGTAGAGTATACTGCTTGATTGGGTGTTGATTGTTGTGTTTGGACTTACCTTTGCTATCGCTCTGGGACTGTGGCTGCCTTGCAATAAATTACCTAGTAAGAGTAGAGAAGTAGTGCTACAACCGTATCTGTATCAGTAGGAAAGGGAGCTCTCGGGATGCCTCCAAAGTCAGCTCCATTCCTGGGGATTAGCATTGTAATAATTCATAAAAAGTCTCAAAGCATGACTGGGTTGGCCTCCAATTATTAATACAATTGATTCTGTTCTGTTGATAAAGTATGAGATAATTCCACCGACATCCAACATCCTATAGGACGCTCTAACCTCAATCCCTCAATCCAAGATTTCTCTCTCTGTGGCAGGACCGAGTTAATATGGACCCTTTTTTTTTTTTTTTTCTTTTTATGATCTTCCAGCGACGGGATATTGATCCTGAATTCATCCTCGACTAAATTCCGAAAGACAGAAGCCCGGCTCACCACGGCATCCAGCAGCACTTGGACTGCACACACTTACCGACGGGGTACAAATCAGACGCCTCCTCTCCTGCAGTATCAAACCATAGGGTTTCAGCTCATTGTTATAACGCAAGGCGTTTTCGTAATTGATAGAGGACGCCACGTCATCGATTCCCAAGGCTGCCGTGGTCGACTCCGCGTAGAGCCAGCCCAGCTCCTGAAAAGGGTCGATCAGACCTTTAGCCAGCATGCGGTTCAAGCTCGCCGTGGTGCACGCCTCGATGGCTGCGGGTACGAGCTCTAAGCTCTGGCTGCGCTGCAACGCCGTGCGCACTGTGGACCGAAAATACGAGACATGTGTGTCGAGGGATGGATCATCACCTTGTTCGAAAACATTGGTGACAGCCACGAACAGTTCAACCCTGCAATGCAACTTGAACGCAGAGTCAGCGGGCGGTTCTTATTGTCTATATTAGAGAAAGGAGTGATGACCGAACCCTTGGTCGAGGGAAAGATCTTTGTGTTCGAAGAATGTCTTGCGGCCCTGGGGACCGGACAGGCCCACGACACGATTCCGACCCAGATAGTAGCTGTAGTTTCCGGTCGGAGAGGCTGCTTTGCTGCCATGACAAAACCCTCTTCGATCGGAGAACAGCCGAATGGCACCCACTAGCGGGGATCCCGAGATAAACTTGGGGGCATTGGCGGGGAAGGGGTGCTTCCAGAGTAAGGACAAGCAACGGACAAGGAAGACAAAGACAAGCAGATAGAACCCTTGGGTCAGGGCGTGGAATGCGATTTCGAACATGGCTGTCAGGGATCGTGAGCCCAGTGGTGAGTTCATAGACACTGATCCCTCGGTATATAAGTGTGGCCTGGATGTCATCAACACTCGGCGAAGAGCACGCAGCTGACCAGCTAGCCGCCTAGTCCAATTGGCATGACATGAGCATCTGTTATTGACGGGATTGCATCTCGAGTGCAGCCATTATTGAAGTACATGGATGATGTCGGGGAGGAGCGGTCTGTGGATCGGCATGACAAGTCGACCGCTGATTGCAGTCATTCCCGATCGAATGGAACCGGCATGCGACGGTATCTGGCAGATAAGCTGAGAACCCAGCCGGGAGGGGATGCGTTACACAGCAGCCTGGGAGTTGTCGACCCCACAGGATCGTGCTGGCTATTGTCAGCGCATCGCCCCTCTGCAGCCACGATCCTCCCGTCTCCAGTTTCTGTTCCAGTATTGCATGACTGCACGTGCAGCCCAAGACATATGCTGCTATATATGCTTTATATTGCAGTTCAATATTGTCATGGAGCTGTAGCCTCGGGAACAAGAGCCAAGAAGAGTAAGGAAAGAAGAGCTGGACCTGTCTCTTGCGTCAATATACCGGGGAGAATCATGAAATATTCGGTCAAACCAAATGTGGTGAAATCAAACTTGGCCCTTTGAATCGACTCGAGCAAACAGGATCGGCATAACCTGCCTATAATATTATAAATAGGTCCCCGTGAGTTCTACAGTCCGGGGCTCTGCAGCCGGGAGCACTGGGTTGCCACATGAGCCATGGCAAGCAAGTACACCTTGAAGATCAAGAACCGCCTGGGTAAAGCCCAGGGTGATGTGACGTGCCCATTTTATACTAAAACCACCGACCTTGAGGGGTGGCACCTGGTGGCGACGGAAGATTTGGGACGTTTGAAGTGGATGTATGGTGAATGACCCGGCGGAGCGCAAGGTCCGCCCACAAGATGCCACATCCAAATTCTTCCTCGAGCTCCCGACGGTACGTTAGGCACAATGACCATCCTTAGGAAGCGGCGCTAACAAGAAACCAAAACATGATTTAGGGTGTTCCTGACTCCGGTGCTGCCAAAACAAACTCTGAGGCCATCTACAAGGGGACTCGATTTCAGACCAACACTCAGGTCCGGGATCTGGGTTGCTGGGCAGCCGACCTGAGTTGTATCTTTTTCGTGACCCCGATGATGGTCATTGCTTGGTATATCACCGGCGCCGAGATCCATGAAGCCTACATCATCGAATTGGTCCGCTTTATGTTCGGTCTGCAGAACCCCGAGGACGGCGGCTGGCCGACATATCTGCAAGAGGAGACTTCGCTGATGAGTACGACATTGGTGTACATTGCACTGCGACTCATCGGAGTTCCTGCCGACCATGAGCGTCTTCGCAAAGCTCGGTCGTACTATCTCCGTCTGGGCGGAGCAGTCTATTTACCGAGCTGGGCCAAGTTCTGGCTGGCGCTGCTGGGTCTGTATGATTGGGCGGGTACTGATCCTTTTCCAGTGGAAATGTGGTGAGTAGTTTGTCTCAGAGTGAATGGCTAGTTCGAGCCCTGAACAATACTGACGCAATGTCAGGCTCCTGCCGGAGTGGCTTTCTCTCAGCCCATGGCAATGGTTCATAATCCCGCGCCAAGTCTACTTGCCAATGTGCTACCTCTCCTCTCGAAGGTTCACAATGCCGACCAATGATCTCCTGGACGAGATACGGGAGGAGCTGTTCCCAGAAAACTTCTCCTCCGTCGATTTCGCAGCATTCGAAGGGGTGGTGCGCCCGTCCAAGAGGCATCAGGCAAAAAGCTGGATTCTGCAGACCTTGAACTGGACCCTTAACAATGTGTGGAGCCCGTGGCTCTGCCCCAGCAAGCTCAGAGAAAAGGCAGAGAAACGAACATGGGAAATACTTCAACATTCAGCACGGGCTAACACGTCGACTGGAATTGTGTGTCTTGACTCTTGGCTGAACATGATTGCTTTCTACTGTGCCGAGGGGCCCAACCCTCCTACCCTCAAGGACATCCAAGAGGCGAGTATAGAGTACCTCTGGATGGGTTCATCTGGAATGCAGTCCATGAGTATTCATGGGGCCCACGCGTGGGAAACATCCTTTGCACTGCAGACCCTTGTGTATACAGGTCTGGTTAATCATACCGAATTCCAAAGCAACGCCCTACAAGCCTATGAGTACCTGATCAAGCAGCAACTTGTGGAAGAGTGGAATGACTCTCCCCCTTGCCATCGTCCGAGTCGTCTCGGGGCTTGGTCCTTCACCACCCGTTACCATGGCAGCCCCTGTTCCGATTGCACGGCCGAGGCACTGAAAGCCATCTTGATGGTTGAAGGCGCAACAACTCTCCGAGAAATGAGCGAGAAGAACATCCGCCTAGCGGTGGACAATCTTCTCTTGATCCAAAATGCCAGCGGGGGCTATAGCAGCTTCGAGCCCATCGGCGCCGGGGCCTGGTTGGAGTACCTCAACGGGACCGAAATGTTTGGACAAGTGATGACGGAATACGACTACGTGGAGTGCACCTCATCATGCATCACAGCACTGGCTGTCTTCAGGACTCGGAACGGCGAGTATCGGCGCCAGGAGATTGACACGGCCATTGAGCGGGGCGTGAAATTCGTGGAGCGAAGCCAGCGGGCAGATGGTGGCTGGATGGCGTCTTGGGGAATTACGTTTACGTATGGAGCTTTCTTCGCCATGGAAGCATTGCACTGTGGAGGAAGGACATATACGAACTCTTCCGTGGTCCGAGCGGGTTGTCGCTTTTTACTGGACATGTGGGAGCCTGATGGAGGCTGGGGAGAGACAATTGAGGTATGTCCATTCGAGCCTCACAGCTGCAGGAAGCTAACAAGAGTTCCACTGCCAGTCTCGCCTGTCTGGCTCATATGTACGAGCCCCCAGGTCACATACCGTTCAGACAGCTTGGTCTTGTCTCGCGCTGATGTACGCCGGGTATCCCGATCCGGAGCCAATCAAACGAGGGATTCATCTGATTCGGAGTCGACAAAAACCGAATGGTGAATGGGAACAAGAATATCCTGTCGGTAGTGGAGTCCTTACATGGTATGCTTCCCGTGCAGCTGACAACTTGTGGTCAATGCTGATGAGCCGCAGTCACATTCAATACCATAACTATATGTATTCCTTCCCAATCCGGGCCCTAGCGATGTATGAGAAGATTTATGGGAAGGGCATGTTATTTTAGGATAGATTGAACAATATACGCTCTTGTGGATATAGCCCGGTGAATTTTTGGGTAGATGCAGTTGGTGGGTAGCTCCGAGGCACTGAACATGGGCATCAGAGCAGGACTGGACCCGGGCGTTCTGTCGACGGCTTCGCGGCGGGCACGCTCTGCCCTGGTATTATGGCGGATGCTCCGTCTAGCAATTACTACCAGGGTGGGTTTAAGGTACAGCTCATGAAAGAGGACTATAACATGGCGATAGAGCTAGGGGAGCATGTAGGTGCTAGGGTGGCATTGGGGCAGGAGGGACTGGATATATACAAATAGAGCTGCCACGGACGATCCTCGGTTTTTCACCAACATTCGCGGGGATCTTACGGTACCTTGCGGATGATGAGAACTGGCAGGGGAAGTTTCAGCCGTGATGATATCTGGACATAGGCTTCATGTAGGGCAGTGTGGGGCTCGGGTTCCTTTCCCCAAATCGTTCTCCAAATCCCGAACCCAACCTCGAAATCAACGAGGCCTCCTACCACTCGATCGTTAGTATTTCACCTCCTAGCCTGCAGTAAGTTACAGACTGTCAACAAAAGGGATTTCTATGAATCTTCCGGGATCCTGTTTGAAGTCCGTCATGTCAGGGATGATGTGCATGTCGCTTAGGGTTTCTTTGAATGTCACCAATAGCTGTATGCATCCAACTTCCATCATCCATAACCACTGGATGCCACCTGCCTGAGTCTGATATGATTCGTCCCATCTAACAATCTGGCACATACGACCATAGGGTGTGGAGAACAGGGCTTCCCGTCCGCTCAGCCGTACTTAAGCCACACGCCGGGAGGTTAGTAGTTGGGTGGGTGACCACCAGCGAATCCCTTCTGTTGTATGTTTTTATGCGTTCCTTTTTCATTTTCCTGGTGATGGATAAGCCTCAGTCTTTTAGACCTCTCTTTTTTGTTGGTGCTGGAATGCCTTGTTGTGGGACCATGAGCAATCCGCTCATATTTGTCGCCGTACCCACAGTATAGTTCACCCGGTGCGGGATCAATATTCCCTGTCCTGATCTAAGTATATGATATTTTTCATTCTATTCTCGTTACATTGTAGGTCGAATAAAGGGATAGTTAAGAGGGGGGGGGGGTTGCAATTTATACAACCTTTACTGGGGCTGGCCGATGATCTACGCGCCATTGGAAATTGAAATCTGGGAAATAGCATATCTTCCATGTCTTTTTTGACTGATATTATCAAAGTCCTCGCCTAGTATAACTACCAATCACTCGTATTTTATCTAGCTAAGTCATCGATCACGGCTAGCGATGTTGTTTAGGCAATAGAAATAGAACCAGTAACTGTTTTTTTATTGTTATTTCCACACTGAATAGCAGGCTTGATCTATGCTGACCTACTTGCGAGACATGCCCTTCAGGCACCTTATTCATGTTCGGAGTAGCAGAAAACTGCTTCGTTCCCCCCAAGAGCAGGATGGGTCCTCAGTCCCTGATGCCGTCTGATCTAGTCTTCGAACATCTGCTGTGTAGGATGATCATATACCACCTATGGCTTGGGAGTCTGCGAGCTTTTCTTTGTTATAATATAATACAGCCCTGAAGACTCCACCAACTCTCAAAGCTGAGCCAGCGGAAAGAAGGCCGTGGGATACATAGTTATCAACTTCTACACAGCCACAGCCCGAGCCTCTCTGTTGATCTTTATCCCATCGCAAATGCTCGTACCCGACGTCTTTGGCATCTCAATGACTGTTTCATCGCTCGCACTGGGTCTGCTTGTGTTTTGATATGGATCCGGGGTGTGTTTGTCTCCCTTCTCTCCGAGATCTTTGCTGCGGGTCGTAATTATCCGTATATCATCGGCAACTGTGATGGCAGCGGCCTTGACGCGTTGAGAACTTGTTGGCGAAGAAGTTTGTGAGCACAGCGGTAATGTCGGCATTATTGAGGTGGAAGAAGTGGACGTGGACAAATGCTATCGTGCGACGATGGGCCCAATGTGAGGGCTTATGCTGAGGCATATTAGTGAAATTGCATCTGTTGCGACCTGTGGCTTCGTGCTGGAAAATTTCGCTCGACTTTCCTCTCGTCCTGCTGGTGCTTGAATTATCATATTAGCTTAGCTGATGTCTCAAGGTTGACGCGGCCAAATCGGTTCTGCTCAAGCAGAAGGTCGGCTGTTCACTGGACATAGATGCCAAGCATGGAAAATCATTGTAGAAGGATATGGAGCAAGAGATTCGGGGAGAGAAGTGCGAACCATATTTCAGGGTCCACTCATCTACTCCGAGGGTAGAAGATGCTAAAACATCGGGCAAGTGAATAAAAGGCGACGGATAGGACAAAGGAACGAGTGTTACTCAAGTCCAGCCTATCAGGTAACCAAGGCCTTCATCATCCCCCTGACAACCAAGGGCTGGTGTGTACGCGAGTTGGCTTCGAAGAGTTTTCCTTGGGCTATACGCCTGACGTGGCAGCCTTTACCACATCTTGAAACATCTACATCGACTGCTGCATGGTTTGTACTCTCCTTCTCGTTATCGCACACCCAGCAGTGTTGGCATATCTTCATACAGGATCAGTTTCCCAAAAACAACAGCCATACCTCCACACTCCTTCTCGTTCTCTACCGCAATCCAAGTACCCTGACCGGAATACGATTCCATCAACAATGGCAGCACCTGAAGCGGACTTTCCCCTCTTTGTTCGTCTGCCTGTCGAGCTCCGGCTCCAGATCTGGAAAGAAACCCTGCCCAAATTCCAACGCCCTCTGTACTTCTACCAGGAAGGCTGTTGGGAGTCACACAATACAGGGGAGAATGAAATAACCTTAAAATTCAACCACCATTTGCTATATCTTCAGTTGAACATCCCGATCATCTCCGTCAATCGCGAAGCAAGCAAATTTACACTTCGTTGGATGGAACAACAGGGGATCAAACTATATCTCCATGCATCCAAGAAGTCTTTCGTTATCCAACGCCCCTTTAATCCATGTACCGATACGCTCTACGTACCGAAGAAGCAATTCCACACGTTCTACTATGAGCCACTGGGTGACCTGATGTGTCAGGCAGGATTCGAGAATATGACTATTCGCTGCCCCGAGCCAGCCTTGAAGAATCTCGCAATTCCGTGGGATATCGCCAAAGACGAACCTAACCTTCTTGCTGACCTGTCCCAGAGCGGCTATTATAGTGGCGTTCAGAAGGTGGCTCTTGTTGTCAACACTCAAGCCATACCACGGGGAAATCAGGATCTTGGATCCCAGGAGCAGTGGGAGATGAAGAGCGTCCTCGACAATCATACATCTACGCGGCACAATGGCGATTGCCACTTTGAGGGGATTGAAGGGGTGACAAAGAGTGCCAAGAAGCTTGGATGGGACAACGATCAGCAGCTCGAGGTCGAACTTTGCTTTGCTAGCCTGATGTGAGTCCAAGTGACCACCATGACTCTTGTGGAAAATGTGGACTTCCAAGCGCACCAACAATTGCTCCTATCATCAGGAAAGGATTGTTTTATTGTGTCGTTCTCCAAGCTGTTATTCTGACTTGTTCCATAATATGTACTTAATTTTGAAAGTTTGTTCATATTCATCCCCACAAAGGGACGTTCAAACTCAATATCAGACTGAGATGAACTATTCCAATACCAACGAATCACTACACCCTCCAGACAAATCCCAACAGCAACTAGTAATACCACCATCCCCAAGCGGCGCTGACCACGATCAGCGACAATTGCATCCCAAATAATTATTTGTGCAGCGACCATTGCTCCCATTACAGCCATTTTCGTTACAACGGCCGACATTCCTTCCACAGCCATACCCACAGGGACAACCTAGGTATGGACCCTGTAAACCGATTAATTCAAGGTTAAGTTATTCATCTCCTCCACTTCGCCAACGTGAAAGAAACATACCGAAGTACAGGTGATGCGGTCACTGCTGAGCTCCCCATGGCAGTTGTTATCATAACAGTTTCCGTTGGGGTATCCGCAGTTGTCAGTGACAATATCATCAGTTGTGAGTTCAGGAGGGGCGGCAGTAGCCAGAAAAGCGACACACGCTATGATAAAGACACGGAAATGCATGGTGTATTTGAACCTGTGACTAGTATGGATCCTCGATAAGGGAGCGCGACGTAAAGAAGTAAAAAGGAAAGGTTGTGGATGAGAGAGAACCCCTCTTTATCTCTTCCTCTAAGTTGCTATTTTTGGGTGTCTTATGAACTCCCCACGCCATGTATGGCTCATCTGACCAGCCTATCCTTGCACATATGTGATAATCTGTGTTTAGCTGCAATAATCCACGGCATGCTTATTGGTCCCGGGCCAATGTGTAACATTCCCCGCCCTTGGGATGTAGTACATGTAGGGTTAATAGGTGCAGTCAGCATGGATGCTACTCATTACTACTCGAGACTTGAGCTTGTGTGCCAACTTAGGTTACATAGACAGTAATAGCATTGCCCTTCCCCGCAGCTGGCCTATTCGTGAGTTTGTGCATGCATGGGGCTCTTTCGGCCTCTGTCGAGTCTATTACTTGAGCATGATTTGATACTGAAAAACACCCCCCTCCGTCCCACCAATATTGAAAGAGAATATAATATAGAAAGAATGTGAGTAATAATAATAATTGAGTAGATAACACATCTTCTGAAATCTTAGTTAGAGACGAAATGGAAAGGGCGCCATAAGGGGGGCTCTTTCTTAAGTCTCTTACCCATATTCCACACCCTTTGGTAGTCAGAGGAGTCGGGAATCACCATGACTTGAAAGCTTAATTATCTAGGCTGATCGTGGTAAAAGCTTTTGATGCAAGTTCTGTGGTAGAGTTGGTGTTAATTCTAAGATTTTTGTTTGGAGATGATAAGATCTTGGAAATACAGGCATAGATCTATCTGTATAAACCACGGATAGCAGCCTATCGATAAGGTCATTGCTGGTCGAAATACCAGCGGGTGATAGATTGCCTACCGTTGAAGCTGGGTCGTAGTGATCTTGAATCTACAACAGAATATATATCATTTGAGATTGTATTTAGTTCTAAATTTAAGATGGAAGGAGACTTATACATCAACTAATGATGCCAATCAGAGGATCAAAATAGGACCATGTATGCCATATTGCGGTTATGCGTCCTGCCCGGCTTATCAGGACCAGCTCCTCCCGAGGTCTCATACGCCCGACCACCCCAATTAACCACCACCAGCACCATTCAGTATAAGGACAACGTCTTCATAAACCGTCCCATCCAACAAATGCTTCCCACAGCCCAATACTAGCCTCCCCAGTCAGAAAGCCAAAGACACAGTCATGGCGATCACCCGCGTCGCCGCCTGCCATGTAACCCCGCACTTCCTCTCCGCTACCCAAACCACCGCCAAAGCCGTCTCGCTCATCCACCAAGCAGCAAAGCAAAAGGCGCAACTAGTGGTTTTTCCCGAGTCCTATATCGCCGCATTCCCACTCTGGAGCGCCCTACGCCCTCCGACCGAGAACCACTCATTATTCGAACGCATGGTGGCGCAATCCATCGCCATCGACGGGGACGAAGTGGCCGCCCTCCGCACCGCCGCCCGCGAGACCCATACCGTCGTGAGTATGGGTATCTCTGAGCGCAGCCCACACAGCATCGCCTGTCTCTACAACACCAATCTTTTGATTGACCACACGGGTGACATCGTCATCTACCATCGGAAACTCGTCCCCACGTTTTTCGAGAAACTCACCTGGAGCCCAGGGGATGGCTATGGATTGCGCGTTGCCGATACTCCCGCCGGGCGCATCAGTGCCTTGATCTGTGGGGAAAATACTAACCCTCTCGCTCGGTATGCGCTGATGGCGCAGCGCCAGCAGATTCATATCTCCAGTTGGCCGTGTATTTGGCCGACCCGGGTGTTGGATGATACGGCCGATGCAGCATCCCGTAACTATGACAATGTGCTCGCGAACCGGCTCCGCGCGGCGGCACATTGCTTCGAGGCGAAATGCTTCGGGGTCATGTGTAGTGGTGTGCTGGATGAGGGGGCGATTGAGATGTTGGTGGATGGGGCAAGGGAGCCGGAATGTATTCGCCGTGCCTTGGTGAATTCCCCACGGGGGGTGAGCATGTTCTTGGATCCGACGGGGGCGACAGTTGAGGGCTGGACGGTGGATGAGGCGAGTGGGGAGGTGCAGAAGAAGGAGTTTTTGCAGGCTGAGGAGGGTATTCTGTATGCGGATCTGGACTTGAGTCTTGCGGTTGAAGGCAAGCAGTATCATGATGTGGTCGGTGGGTATCAGCGGCTCGATATTTTTGATTTGCGGGTTGATCGGACGCGGAGAGAGCCAGAAAAGTTTTCTGATGGGGATGAGGCTTAGGGTTGTGGTTTGGGAGGTATTGCTCGAGAGCGCATGTTTTGAACCATGATTAGGTATACGATGTCGTTTCAATACTCTATAGATATTTCTTGGGCATGAGAATGTTATCGTATTTTCGATGTCCATTCTAGGTTTTATCTTCAGACTTATTTATATATATTACTAACTACATAGCACCCAGTAGCTGAAAAGAGCATCTATTATGAGCTCGTATCTATGCTAGATGGGATAAAGATCCACTATGTAGAGAGTCAAGATGACTTGGCTTGAATATTTCCCCTGGAATGGGCAGTCACCCCTATAGTAATAAACCCACATAGATGATGAAATTGCAATTCGTAGTTCAAGTATCCTATCCCTACCAGAGAGAAGGCTAGTCCCCAGTCAGATCACCCCACGAATTAGGTGATCGAAGAGGTTCCTTTGAGGAAAGGAAACGAATGCACCATGACCTCACAGGACAAAAGCAGACCTACTATTGTTCCAGGCACAGCCCATCTCCACCATTGAAGGATCTCGAGAAGTTCCACCAAACCCGCCAGGCTACAGCCACACTCAGGTTGCTAACACCACATTATCTTAGCTCGGTGCCTTATTAAATAGAGCTGGCGTGAATATTACTACTAGAATTATATATCTCTTCTTCCTGCTTATGTACATGTAACATGCGTGTCGGCCCAATTCGACACGCCTGCCTGTTCAAATACAGTTCCTCTATATAGACACAGCCTATGTGGAAGAAATCTGCCCCATACATTTCTTGAGTGGTATAGCCTGACGGTTGTGGTCATAGCGAGTCGGGCGTGGCTGTAGCGGCGCCCTGTCATATTCGCCAACAGCCACTAGGCTGTGCCCGCGTACCGAGTAAGCAGCATCCCATCAGAATATGAATTAGCGGTCAGGCATCCATTAGGTACCCGCAGAGCAGGCTACAACTAGTTAGTCCCTATCAAAGGAAGTTCCCAGGAACAGTGACAAGCCTCGATGAGCCGCGCATCTTGCATAATTCAGGTTAGCTTGAATCCTGGCAGCATAGTGCGAAATAACGGGGCCGCAGTGGGGCAAGAAAAGCTTGAACGACTCATCCTTCTGCTGTGATCAGCGGGACTTTCTCCAGATGCGGTAACCTCTTCGGAAGCCTCCCACGCGAATGCACAGCACAAGCTTCGTCTGTCAGCAATGCCTTCCCCAATCGCCTGCCAATGTTGTCATATCAGAGTTGAAAAAGTGGGAAGCGAGGCTGCACTGCCATGCCGGAATTATTATTCCGCTTAGAAATGACTACGAAGCTGCATCCTTCGGCTAGATGGATGCTCCAATGTAGGGGAACTAGCTAATGGCAGACCATAAGCGAGGAAGGAGGGATGATTATCACTTGGCAGAGGTGTACGTGGATCTGGTGTAGTCAGTTGTGTCTGGCCTCACTCAGCAGTATCCAGTCGTCAGCATATAAGTCCGGGTTGAATCCCATGTTGATTATTTTGTCCATCAGCATTGGTAATCTGATCAGAAAAGAACCAGCTATGATCTCTCACATCGCCCTGCCAGGTAAGCATCTGCAAAATGAGAATGTTGATGAATATATCAGTTAATAATGTTTATCATTCAGTGTTTCTGGCGGCCGCCACGGCACTCGCTAGCCCTAGTTCCACCGACAGCTATGCCCCGTACTATGTCGACTGTCCCGAGGACATCCAACTCGTGCGCCAGCCGCGATCAACCTCGCTGGCAGAGTCGGAATGGGTACACGGGCGCCAGGCACAGATGGTCGACTCACTGGGCAGGTATCTCGAAAACCTGGACCTGGCAGACTTCAACACGGCCGAGTACATGCGCCGAGTGCGTGCCGACGTCGACTACAGCGTGCCGGTGATCGGCTGGGCCAACAGCGGCGGCGGCTGGCGCGCGGCCATGACGGGTGTCGGCGGGCTGCAGGCCATCGATGAGCGCACGGCGGGAGCCCGTGAGGCCAAGGTCGGCGGCTTGTTCCAGATCCTGACGTATATCGCCGGTCTCTCCGGCGGGTCGTGGCCCGTCTCGTCGCCTGTCTTCCATGACTACGAGCCCATTAGCGAGATGATCGCAGACTGGCAGGTTGACGTGGACCGGTTTACCGATGCGGATGATGACGACTATTTCGAGGTCATCGTTGAAAAGTACACGGCCGGTTTCAATATCTCCGTGTCTGACTTCCTGGGTCGGGCGTTTGCCACCCAGGTTATCCCCGGAGTGAACCGCACCTGGTCTTCCATCCCTGAGCTGCCGGGCTTCAAGAACTTCAGCGGGCCCTTTCCAATCCTAGTCGCCAGTAGCATAAACACGAGCTCGCCGGTCGAGGACGGCCTCTACGTTCCTTCGTGGGATGCTCCATGGGTAACATCCCTCCCCATATATGTACCCCTGTATCGATGCCGTTACTGACCGACGAATAGTACGAATGGAACCCCTTCGAGTTCGGGTCATGGGCGGCTGGGTTTGTGCCTACGAAGTACGTTGGTACGGTCCCCAACGAGAACAACACGGCCGAGAAGTGCGTCGAGAATCTCGACCAGGCCAGTTTTGTCCTGGGTTCCGTCGCGAGTGCATGGAACTACTGGTACCTTGAAGCCGTGAGCAACGACACGCTGGGGACGTTCTCCAAGCGCGACGGCGGCGTTGCCAAGCGCGATTCTTACATAGATGAGCTGGTGGAGCTAGTTGACGAGGTCTTCAGCGAGTACTTCAACTACACGGTCTCGCAGATCAGCAATCCTTCCATCCCCAACGCCTTCAATCCGGACGAGAACCTCACCTTCGCCGACGGCTCTGAGGCAGGGCAGTCGATCCCCTTCCTGCCGCTCATCCAGCCTGAGCGAAAGGTTGACTTTATGTAAGTCTGACAATTTAGGGTTTTGACCGTTTTCTAATGTTTACTAGCATGGCCTGGGACGACGACGCCGACGATGAGCCCTACACATAGAACAACGGCACCAACATCTGGGACAGCTATGTGCTCGCCAAGGCCCATGGACTGCCCTTCCCCGAGGTGCCCCCGGTCCGCGAGATGCTGGCGCGCAACTACACACTCAAGCCGGTTTTGTTTGGTTGCAACACGAACCTCACCACGACGCGCGACGCCACCTCCCCCATCGTCGCGTACTTTGCGAACGCGCCGTACAGCTGGTATAGCAACTACAGCTGGTCAACGACCAACATGTCGTCCGCCGAGGCCAATGGCGTACTGCAGAACAGCTTCAATCTGCTGACGCAGGGGAACGGCACTCTTGACAGTACCTGGACCGACTGTCTAGGCTGTGCGGCCATTGACCGCAGTTTGGCCCGGGTGGGCATGCAGCGGTCGCAGGCCTGCGAGCAGTGCTTCCAGGAGCACTGCTGGGATGGCACCCTGACTGCTGGTGTGTCCGACGATTTTGTGCTGGACCCGTCACTGGCGCTGGATCCTAGCCTCAGCTATGCGGAGTGGAGCGAGCAGCATCCGGATATGGATTAGCTGGGATTTCTACAGGCTTTGCACTATTGATATATGCATTTGTTGTTCAATTCAGGCATGTTAAGACATTATTGTTAATTGATTAGTGTTTTAGTAACACTCAAGTTCAACCTTCACTCGAAATAGTGTACTTTAGACACGCCGGTCTAGGCCGTAAGCCTGTAGGCGGAATCCGACAATCAACATGACTAAGATGACTGAGCATCGACAATCGGAACCTATCAAGAACTCGAGAAGCTGGAAAGTGTTAGAAAAGGAGCAAATGAAGGCAATGGAAGGAGCATACCCATTGCTCCAGGCGGTTGTCATTGTCGCGAAGCTTTTTGAACTCTGCGTCCAGCCGCTCTATACAAATCGTCAGCTACTGTTCGGTGAGATTCTACCACGACTTACCGCTCGTAATGTACAGAACATCATCCAGTTCATGGTCATCTTCCAAACCCCGCAGGAACCTTTCCGCCGTCGAATCATCGCCAATCTGACTGACCTGGAGCCGGACAGCTGCATTTTTGGTCAGAGAGGACAAGTTCAATGAACATGACATGGGCCCTTTACCTTTCCGTTCATAGCCATGGGCTTCCAATCTGTCACCACACTCCTGAATAGCATTCCTCAGGGTATCAATCCGCTCCGGCGAGCGATCTGGCCCTGCCGGATGGCCATCCGTGATGATCGAGACCAGCACGGGGCGCTTCAATGTCTTTATCTCCAGGTATTGGTAAACCGTATCCTGTAGCACTTTGGTCTTGAGATTGGTGCCAATTTCCGTCCATCCGTCAAAGGGAACCTGTTTCATGATACTGTCAATCTTCTGGACCGATGGTTTCGACATGTCGGGCGTCGTTGTCTCGTTGATGAATCGCAGCTCGATCCCTTCGGTATCCGGAACCACGCGAGTCGTGATACTCGTGATGCGCTGGGCCAGGTCATTGAGATGGTCTTTTCGCTGGTCACGTTTCATGGACCCACTGTCATCTACAGATCCCTGTCAAAAATGTCCAACTTCCACAGGGCATGGGAGGGTCCTTACCGCAATACAGAACGGGCTGGTAGAGGGCCAAATGCGTCAGGTCCTTGGGATCCAACACATTGGACGGGTTGGTCCGGTCCAAGTCCACGGCTCTTTCCACCACATCTTCCAGAAAAGGATCACCCTCTTGGAAGAACTTATTCAAATTGTTATCCTTGATGATTTGCCGCATTCGGCTCTTGAGATCTTCCTTCTCTTGCTCCTTGGCATCATTGAATCCCTGGTCCGCCGTGATGTACTGGTGTGCTTCTGTCAGCGTCATATCGCATGTACACTATTCCAAGGGAGGAAAACGGAGTTAGTTACCTTTCCCAGTCGTTCGTCAACCTCTCCAGTCAATTTGAACCTTCGCTTAATCGCATCCTTGGCAATCATTCCAACCCCAACAGCAAACCCCACCCCCGCCGCCACCTTCAGGTTCTTATTTGCCCAGTAAACGGCCGACATGAGGAATCCCGTCACCTTGGCCACTTCCACCGCACGATTGTACATCCGCGTCTTCCGGGGTTTCAGCGCATTCTTCGCCTTGGGATTATTGGTCCATTCCTCCGCGGACTTGCCATTGAATTTGGTCTTCGGATTCGCTCCGTGGTCGACCAGACTGCTGAGGATTTCCGGCGACTTGCGCGTCCGAACAGCTTTGATCAACGGCGTCGGCACTTTCCCCGCACTTCCGTCCGGCACGAGATTGGGATTGGCGCCGTGATCGAGCAGAAGCTGGATCAGGCGCTCTTTACAAGACATCAATCCTTATCCTCGGTACAACTCGGTAATTGCTCAGTATGAACAACTGGTGTTACGTGTCATACAGATACACTTGCATGGGTAATCTACTAGTAATAAATCCAGGTGGGGCATGAACTGCAGTCACAGCCCGTCGTTTCCAGCCATTTTGTTTGCTAGGCTTCGTCATGCAGAAGCCCCTACGCCATGGTGCGCGGATACAGGCTTGTCATTCGTCACTGAAAGACACTGGGCAGCTGCCAGCCTGCCACAATCTGGAGGACTTTAGCTCCTGAATTCGGGGACTTGAAGCGGAACGAGCCGCAGACACCCCACGGAGGTTTAAGCGTAATGATAGGGGACCTATCGGGCTTCTGTCGATCCCGCGATATCTGACTTCATTGGCCATCATCAGGCAGTTAAGACATGAGTCATGGCAAGACCTGGGCTTACCCTAATTCCAATCCCAGCAGCTTCAGCTACACGGCATCCACCTAACTTGTTACGATCGTTAGTAGCTGGGTGGATGACTGCCAGGATTTGGGTTCTGTATGTTGTTGATTCATCCATTGGCCTTTTTTCATATATATATAAAATGCGAGAAAAAGAAAAAAAAATCATGTTCTGTCTACTACATGTTACAGCCACCCCTACTTGCACCCCACAATCGTCTCTATTAATCACTGCATATAGTTTTCTTCTAGGATAATCTAAGTACATACGACCATAGGGTGTGGAAAACAGGGCTTCCCGTCCGCTCAGCCGTACTTAAGCCACCTATTAAACGCGGCCAAGTAGGATATGAGCCCTTTCTCAGTCACTGCTTTATAAGTGAGCAACGCTAAGACGAAGAATAAATACAGGTGATTTAGGTGATGTTATCAAGAACATGGATAAATGAGGTAAGTAAAATAAATAAATGGATGAGCAATTAAGAGAGTTAGCTAAAAAGCTCGTTAATACCAAAATAATAAACATCCTAAAGTAGAGGGGATCTATACCGCGGTAGTAAATACTAATAATTAATACTATACTTACCATGCCAGGCGCTACTCTAGAAGTGGAGTAGTGGTACTAGATCAATATAATTAATACTATAACTACTTTCTACAGTGTAGAAGAGGACCACCCTACATAATAACCAGTAGGACTAGGACGGCGACCTGCGCCTGAATGTAACAAATCTAACATTTCTATTAAATAGTAATAAATCTGCGCGGATAATAAGACTGAGATAGCCCTACACTAAGTAGTAGAATCCGTGTGGATTACTTCTCCAAAGTAATAACCCCAGATCTGCTTTCTCTACTTAAGAAATCTAGACCTTCCACTAAAGAACTACTTTTTACAGCACATAACGCCTGGTTTACTTACAAGACACTTTCTACAGAAACATATAAACCCCCCTTAGCCAGATAAAGGGGTGAAATGTGGAATCTGTCATGGAACACTATTACAACAAAAGTCTGAGCTCCTGCATCACGCGCACGTTTCTCATGGGACTGTCATTGGAGGCGTGACTCGGAGTAGGCTAGCGAAAGAAGCCAACCCTCCTTTGAGTCCGGTCACGATCATTGAATCTTACGGAAGCAAGGCCAGGTAGGGCAGATGCATCAGCGAAAGCTAGCTAGCTGGTTTCAAGGGCTCGGCATGGGTCATACCTCGGCCGTTGCCGCTACTGTATCGACAATCTCAACACCAGTTCACAATGTCAGCAAGGAGGTCTGGAAAGAATGTTGAGGCAACGATGGTAACCAGTCATTGTCCTTGTGAATATAAATAGGAGATCCCTTCATTCTTCGTCGCTCATTCACTGCACTCATTCTTTTCAGTTGTGGAACCCAGCCCCTTGGTCGGCGGTCAATCCCCTTATCTCCTATTTTTTGTAATACTTCCTGCCCGCTAACATGCACATCGTTACCAGACATATATAGCTGTAGCTGGCAGAGACATTACGCCCATCGCCATCTTCATGATATGTATTCCTGGAGGTCACAAGATCCATTCTGCACTTGGCCGCATGCGGTATCTTCCGATACTCTGGCCACGCTTGCCTTTCATTCCAGCTTAATACACACCCTAGCGATGAATGCTCCCAGCACGTTGGCGATAAGACCCCCTTCTATGCTCGGAGTAACTGCGTTCCAAACCATAGTGTTGTTCCTTTGCATTAGGGAATCGCGGAGGACCACCTAGGCTCGCCAAAACGGCAGTGTTATTCGCCGTCAAGTCATCCAAGATATCCAGCTCCTCCTGACTGAACCACTTCGGAATAGTCCAGACACGGAAAGGGATAAGCGCGATGATAAGAATGGGGAAGCCTATCCAGCGTTAGTACTTCGCCCAAGAAGAACCTGCAGGAGCAAGAGGGGTACCAATGGCAGCAATCGTTTGCGAGATAGCCACGCACGCAGCCACTCCAATCGCCTGACAAGAGATATACAGTAGTATCTTCCTCCGCTTCACTCGCAGTAGCGGCTCATCCCGCTGGATGAAGCGGTTCTCGCGCAGGAGGAAGATCGTCTTCTGCAGCATACCGTTTGATTCAATGGAGCCCCAGCCGACGATGAAGAAGACGCCTGCAAAGACGGCGGCGGGCATGGTATGGAGCACGATCAGCAACGGGCCCGTCATGGTGCCGATGATTGCCAGCCCCATGAGAAAATGCGAGACACGCTGCTCCACTACGGCAGTGGCTTTGACTATGGGTCGACGGAGCTCGACGCCTTCACCTTCTTCTGTCCCGACAAGACACAGTTCGGTTTCGTAGATGGTGAGAGAGTCGGTATGTACTGGTGCCTGTCTATATCAGCATGCTGTCATAGGGAAAGGAGGTTACCCTACCTGAGGAACTAGTCCGTTCGGCATGGGGATACCGGTCATTCCCGCCAGAAACGTCGTGCAGCCAAGGAGGAAAAAGTCCCAGTGAAATCCGGCCGGTTTCTTCAGGGGGAATTGCCTCGCCTGTGCGGTGAGACTGCTAACATTCTAAATAAATCAGTGTCTTGTCATCCTACCGTATGCGGGAGATATACATGGTCATAGTAGAAAAGTAGCATCACCAGAAACCCAAATGGCAATGCAGCAAAGACCCATTTCATGTCGAGCTCCCAGAAATGAATCAGCCAGCCGCGGGGCTGGGTAGGGTAGAAAGCCCGACTGGTGGGGACAAAAGAAATTTGCGTGGATTTCAGGTTCCCTGGGATGTGCGAGAAACCAACCCAGAAGATGGTACCAATCTGCAGCAGTCAGACGCGCCATTTATAGGATGTTCGGTAGTACATACCACATAGGCGTAATCAGCGAGCAGCCCCCGGAACCACGGCCGACATATTGTGCTGGATCCCAGCATCTCCAGGCTGTATATCGTCAGGAAATAGAGAATGGCAATCATACAGCTCATGAATCCGGCGGTTGAGCCATGTTCCGTAAATTCATTCACCAGCTCCTCCACTCCTTTGACTGCTGCCGTTAATCATCGTCTCACGGTGCGTTTGGATCAGATACTTACTGCAGTAGATAATCCCCACATAAGCACCGAAAGACTCGGACGAAAAGTCTGTAACATAGCGCATGTAATCGCAGAGGTTGCAGACAGCGACAATCCAATGGAAGACGGCAGCCCAGATGGCGGTCCAGCACATGAAGTTTGGGTATATGGCTGGCCTGTACTGGATGACAATATCATAGATCGTGTAGTTGAATAACGATATTAGACCTGTGATGCCGACGATGGTGAGCGGCTGAGCGCCTAGAAGGCTAAAGATCATGGCAGCCAACGCAGACGAGAACAACGCCTCGTTAATGCCGTAGAACTCGCCGGTGCGGCGATACATATCCAACGTGTAGGCAATGGCGGGGAGGATGCTGCGTTCGTCAGTATATGTTCCTCCAGTCCGACCCGACGGGTGTCTTACTTGACAAAATACATTCGAATGGTACTAGCAATGGTGCGGTAGGTGAGGGCATCGCGGATATCACTCCAGTAGTATGGCAGACGACGGCGTACATCGTGATACATACCCCGGAAGAGGCGCAAGGGGCGCAGTCGCCTCCATCCCGTCAGGTTGTCATACGTATAAGAGATGGAAGAAGCCTGACGATTGAGATGAGATTCCGCCATGGTGGCTTAGAAGAAGAATAGGACGGTTCAAAATTAAAAACATTCGGGGCCAGATGACGCTTTATATCTATCAACCCGCTGCCTGGAAAATCTTTAGCGCATGCTCTTGGCCACGGACAATTTTTTGAGGGTGGTATGAAAATCCCATCCCGTCTTGGTGGGGATGAAGCATGAAATGGACCGGGGAAGGATGGTTCATGCTCTCCGCGTATGTCTAGCCTATAAGCCTATATCAGAGAGAGACTGCCATGTAGCTGCTTGACCTAGAATTAGCAATGCAGCCCTATGAGTATCGTCTATGCAATTGCTGGGGTGGTGACATCCCCAGAGTGCTGTGGTGACTGGAATAACGTCATGTGGCGAACATGGCTGACTCAGCTACTACAAGTGTGGCAATTGTAGGAAAATCAGTACACAACAGTCAACTAATCCTAGTACGCAATTCTGCTAATTTCAATATTTGCTCTGGGTTGGTCATACATGGAGGTGCAAATTTCTTTGACCCCTTACCCATCTACAAACCCTAAAGCATATAACCAGATATTGGCTCGAGAACAGATCATTTTGAGAGGCCGGATCCTCATCCGACCTAAATTTTCTGCCCGGGCAGAATTCTTGGCTAGCGGGATCCTCAAGCATATCCCGCCGTCGAGCATAAGGAGCCAACCTTTCTCACGTCACAAAGACAGTGATTATCACTATGGACTCGTCTGTAGTGTCCCAGCTGTCTACTCTTTTCCAAAATCCAAACTTTGTGTCCCAACTTTCATCGGCCGTCGACGATATTAGAACAGAGCACGGGCAGGGTGACCGTCTCTTTCTAAGGGTTGAAGCTTGCCTGAGTAGAACGCCATCGGCCGCACGCGATGGAGCCCTTCTTCTGGTAATCATGTGAAAGAAGCAAAGGTTGTTGTTCTTTCTAACGAGCCTCTAGGGATGCATTGATCTCGATACGGGGCGTCCGTTACCCCAACTGACCCCGACAACGACACCAGATCCGAACGTAAGCATTTGATATGACCATCTGCATTATTTTCTAACACAGATTACCAGGAATGCCAGGGAAACAATCCCCTAACTCCACAGTCCTTACCAAACGACGACATTGACACCCGTTACTCCAAGCGCCGAAAGACCGTCGGTGGTCTACGGTTAGCCCCCGCGAGTAACGCATCTACTTCAAGCGAACCCGAATCCAACAGCGATGAGCACAGCTCTACTGCCGCTGCAAATGCGTCGTCACTGAAGCCATCCATCCGCCAGGTGCACAGTGACACGCGATTCCCACAACGCAAGAAGCCTGGCCATGACTCGGTAGTACCGGTCTTAGAACCCACGTCAACCGACAAGCTGATCGCGGGTATATGGCGCCAGGTATTCTAGCCAGTTCAGCTGGATCGGGTTCCCTCGGTATATCACACCCATTGCCAGTTCTTACCCCGCTAATCCAGATACCAGGTCATTGAGCCCATTGTCGACATCCGCACCGGTGCCAGTGGAGAGGTAAGATATCCGCGGGAACATCGATAGCATGGTCCACTGATAACCTTCCAGGTTTTTCGAGCCGTCAACACGCTCTGCCTTAAGTACTACAACCAAAGCCAATCCTCTCGCGCGCTGGAGATGATCGTGCAGGCGTATTGGATCGAATGCTACCAGGCCCGCATCGCCGTAATCCGCCTAGAAAATCCCCACCTCTCAACGACGGAGGCTCGGATGGTCGCGCTGAAGGAGGCCTGCGCAACGCTCAACTGGAAAGAAAAGGATCTCCGAAACCGGGTGTAAGCCTCCCCGTCGAGTCACGGACACCCATCGCCTAACTTCTTTAGCGCAATCTGGCGCGGATACAAAGAAATCAAAGACGCCGGCGGCTGGGCCAGTCTCATCTTCGCCAGCGCCGGAGTGTACCGGTTCTGCAAATACCGCAATGGGTTCTACGATGGCTTCTCCGCGCGGCTTCGAACCATCCAGTCCAGCCTGGAGCTCGTCGCCGACACCCTCCACCCGGAATGGCGGGACCTGCTGCAGGTAGTCGGGCAGGCGTCGCCCCGGCGATACCACGGCCATCCGCATGAATGGGTGACAGTGCCGGGCAGTCCGGCGGTCCCGCTGGCGTCGACCTACGCGCATCTCCCGCCGCCGCACAACGCCCACGACGGGTTCGGTTATCGATTCATCGACGAGTGTGTGGTTGACCTAGCGGTATTCGGCGCGGACGATCCGCGCGTGGTCCCCGGACTGGACCCGGGGATGTGCCCCGCGTGCAAGGAGCGACAGTCGGACGAGATCGAACAGAACCAGTGCGTGTGCTTTCCGGCGCTGTTTGGGGGCGTGCGCGGCCATGTGCCGGTGCAGCTATTCCGGACGGCCAGTGGGAAGAATAATGGGGTCGTGGCGCGGTGTGACTTTAACCGCGGCGTGGCTATCGGTGAGTTCGTCGGGATCATCACGAACGGCATCGAGGGCGTCGATGTGATGTTGGGTGGCTCGCGCAGTCGGGGGTACCAGATCTACCAGGGGCGAATGGGAAATTTCACCCGGTTTATCAATCATTCGTGTCGGCCGAACAGCCAGTTCCAGCGGTTCTACTGGCGGGGAAAAGAGCGCATTATTGTGGTGTCTCGTGGGGTCTCTGCTGGGACGGAGATCACGGTGGACTATTCGGATCATTACTGGCGACAGTTGGATAAGGCATGTCTGTGTGGGGAGCCTTGTTGCCGGTTTGCGAGGCGATCATAGTTCAGCCGCCTCAGTATCGAGAACTAAAACTTAAACCCTTCTCCAGCAAACTGGGCGGAAGGTCGGAGCAGACCCCGTACCCGGGGAGCTGGCCGCGATGGAACACCAGCACACTACTGGGACTGCGGCAGTACAGCGTCACGGTGCTGACAAGCAACAAAGCTGCGGCACTCACAGTCGGGCCAAGAACACGTCTGCCAAATATCCAAGTTGGTCCACAGGTTACGGAGAATGGAAACTGAAATGAAAGATTGATACTATTCTCCTGATAAGCAAACATCCAAATATTATTGGATTCGCTGTGTCCTTAAATATATACGTAAATTATGTCTGGATGAATGGCTTGACTCTAATTTCTAATTTGAAATATTTAACCATCGATATATTATCTTGTTGACTCTAAATCTCTATGAAGGATCGAGGTAAAGCAATTTTTACGTTAATATTATGGGGCTTCTGTTCTTTATTGCCAGGTTGGGGAATAGGATTGATTATATAGTAGCTAGACCTAAAGTAGATAATCTCGAGTCAGCTTCGTGGCTTAGTAATTCTAGCACACTATTATAAACCAATCATCATTGCTACACAGAAATGAAGTGGATAGTTAAGTTTCAATAGGTGAGATTGCTGAATGTTGCGCGACTGGGGTGATTACTTATCCATTTTTAAAAGTCACTTATCCTAAGTCACCCCCGGTCGCGCGACCGTAAAGCGGCCTTACCCGCTAGCTTACCCGAGCGGCACCCACCCGCCTTCTGGCCGCGTTCAAGCCACACGCTGGGAGGTTAGTGGGTGACCACCAGTGAATCCCTTCTGTTGTATGTTTCTGTGTCTTTTTTTCATTAAAACTTGAAGTTAAGCTAGGATGGGGTTGTGGACGCCCTACCTGAAGCCTGGAGCCTCAGACCTGCTGTTCCGGAGTAGATAGATGTGCTACGCACAAGAACCAGTTGACTTTTAGCATCACACGTGATGACCCGCTTTGAATTGCGCTGGATGCTCCAAGGGAATGCGTCCAACTCCTCTTCTTTCAGCCACAAGTCAACTAGCCCAGTGTCTCATCCTAAACCGGGACACTTCTCGGATTCTCCGCCATCCCCAGAGAGATCCTTTCAGTAAGTACTTGCGCTGCAGCGCATCAAAGCAAACATATCTAACTTATGCATCTAGCCAGGCAGACAAACCGTATTGATAGACATTAGCCGCAAAAAGCCCAACAATGCGCTTTCTAAGATGAATGGCACAACAATGCCACGTGTGCAAGTCGAGCCCCATGTTACATGATATTGTCAAGGTAGGGCAATCGGTAGGCTCAATGGATATGCAGTCGATATAAAGACATTCGCCATTCGTATTCGACCAGTGCCCTGTGTGCGCAAGTTCATCATACAAATACCAATTTTGAACTTGGGATTCAAGAATGCCCTGGCTATCACGCAAGTGCGAATTTGGTTGATCACTTGGGCTGCATCAGGATGCTATCTATCCGAGACAGCACCACAGAGGAGGGTGCAATCTCAGACAAGTGCATAAGCAGCGGTTGGCTAGGGTTGTGTGACAGGCTAAGAAGCCGGGTGGACTACGTAAGGTACGATAGTCTGTAAAAGAATTAAATTCGCTGAAAAAAAAACTATCTAATCTATAGACTAGTTGGGTTTACTTATAGATAACTCTTTTTAAGAGATTTTTTTATAATATTAGTAAGTTTTTTTATTATTTTAGAGATTTCTATTCTCTCTAGAGATTTCTATTCTTTTTTCAGGTTTTATTGAATCAAGATCTAGAACTAAATAGATTAGAATATAGATATTCCAATTCTAGATAGTTAATAAGATTTAGTTTTTTTTAATTATTATCTTCTTTACCGTGACGCGGCTAGCCTATTATAGATTTTAAAGAATTAAATAGATAAGATTACGCCAGCGTTTATAAATCTTAATATTATAAAGTTTAGTTATTAATTTTTATATAAGTATAGTGTATTTTTTTTATTTAATTAAAAATATTTTTTTATACATGTATTTTCTTTAAAATATATTTTTTTTATTTAAAATTTTCTTAATAATATATTCCTTAGTACTATCTTCTATAATAATAATATTTAATTACTAATTAGTTACTTTTTAAATAGGTAGAGGGTCTGTAACAGTAAGTTAGAGTAAATTAATATAAAATATTAAATAAATTTTAGATAGTATATTTAATTTATAGATATATATTCTAATCTATTCCAGTACTATAAACTTAATATTTTATTAATTTAATTTTTTACTAGATTAGTTAATTATAATATTTTTTAGATTTAATTAAATCTTATTATTTTCTTTATAACAAGGAGCAGGATTTTATTATTAATTAATATATTATTTTTATATCTCTTATACTACTATTATTATTAAGTTAGTAATATTTTAAATTTTTTAAAGTTTACTAAAAATAGCTTTAATTTATTTTTAGAAATTCTTGGTCTAGTAATATTCTAAAACATCTATTTTAATATTTAAATCTAGAGATTTTATATAGAAATTATATTATAAAAAAAAAGACTTATTCCTATTAATATAAAATCTTAATTATTTAAAACTAACTATATTATAAACAGTAATTTTTACTAGTTAATTTATTATTAATTAATAAAATATTACAGGAAAGTTTTAATAATTATAATCTATTATTTTATTATACTATCCGTTTTAAAATAATAAATAATAAAAAAATATTATTTAATATTTAAGATTTTATATAGAATTATCTATAGTTCACTTATAAACTGAGAGCTATAATTTAAAATTACTAACTAGAGTACTTTATAGTGGCTATAGAATATTTAAATAAATATATCTATAAAGTCTTTTGTGTTTATACTTGAAATAGTCTTAATAATAATATTTTTAATTAATTAGTTAATAATAATTATAATATTTCTATAGCTTTAAAACTTCAGAAGATTTACTAGGAAGTTAATAATAATATTTTACTAAAATTAATTAAAGATTAATAATAATTTTAAAAAATCTTATTTATAATTTTTTTAGATATAGTTAGTCCTATAACTATTATAATTATAGTAGAATCAATAAATATTTTTACTTATATTTAACTAGTAATAGTAATAAATAATTATTTTATAAATTTAATTTTATTTAAGATATCTAGTAATTACACTATTATAAATTTTTTAAATAATCTAGATTTATAAAAACTCTAAGTTAAAGACCTAGATTTATTTTTAAAAAAGTAGATGTTGGTTCATATCTAATTAATACTTTATAATAAAAACTTTTAATTTTAATTATTTAAAAAATTTAAGTTTATTTTTAGTTACTGCTTTCTAGTATTTTTTTAAATTTTTATTAATTTATTTAATTTACTTTCACAGGTTATCTAGTATTAGTTTTATAAGTTCTAGATTAGTAGGAATCCTTATATTAGAGATTTTTTTAATAAATATTATATAGCTGGATCCCTTTTTAGATATAAAATAAAATAATTAAATTTTTTAATTTATGATATATTTATCTCTTTCTTTAAATATATCCTAAGATTTTTGAGATAAAATATTAGATCAAGTATTTATTATTTCTAGATAGTAATTAATCATAAAGTTAAAATAATTTAAAAACTAGATTTAATATATCTATTATTCCGTGAGTTATTATTAAATTATAAAATATTCTAGATTCTAATAGTTATTAAAAATCTTGAAATAGGGGAGTAAAATGAACTTTAATTTTTATTTTTATAAAATTTAAATAATTATTAGTAATTTTTTATTATAAATCTAATAATTACATTCTATAGATAGATTTTTCTTTAAAAAATATACTATGGGGTAGAGGATTTCCTAATTATTCTATTAAAATAATATTCTTTTTATATATTATCTAGAGAAGTTAACTTCTATTAAAGTTTCTTATTTAAGATCTTAGTATGCTAGGATAGGGGTAATAATAAAACTTTTTTTAAAGATTTTAAATATTTTCTAGATTTCTAGTGTCTAACTAAACTTAGTATTTTTTTTATAAATTATATTAAAGATTCTAAGTAGGCCTTCCAGTCTTTAAAGAACTACTAATAAAAATTAGTAAATCTTAAAAAGACTTTAATATTATAAGCAGTCTTCGGGATCTTTTAATCCTATATAATCTAAATTTTAATAAGATTTATATAGATCTTCTTTTCTATTTTAATAATAAATCCCAGGTATTTGGTAATGGTTATTTTAAATTTATATTTATTAATATTTATTTAAAGGCTCGCGTCTTATAAGTATCCTAGTATTTACTATACTTAAACATGGTGTTTAGCCAGACTTTTATTTATAAAAATAAGAATATTATTAATATAAATAAAATAAAATTTATTAAAAAATTTTTATAAAGTTTAGTTAATATATTACTAAAAAGTGTTTAGATAATTAATAAGCCTAAATAAAATTACTAATTATTTAAATAGTTTAAAATAAATACAAAATATAGTTTTTCATTTATTTATTTTTTAATTTAGATATAGTGGAAGACCTGGATGACATTTAACTTAATATAATATTAAATTTTTAAGATATATTAAAAGATTTTTTAAATAAGTAGTAAAAAATATTAATTTTTTATTATTATTTAATTTAATACTTAATAATTTATACAGAAGTATAAACTACTATTAAATTTTAAAGTAAATAATATGGGGGTAACCGCTGGAAAATTACTAATTTATATAAATCTTTTTTTTAAAAAATTAATTAGAGTTTTTTATAATATTAAAAATTCTAGTTAATTTATTTAATAAAGAAGATTTTAAGAGATTTCCTTCTTTTTTTCTCTAGCATCTTTAACTATCTCTATAAAGTAATCTATCTCTAGATAATAGAATAGTAGAATATCTGCTATTATTTTATTAAAAATATTTAAATATTTATAATAAAATTTTAATAGCTTACTTTTTACTTCCATGAGATCTTTTAACTAGTTAAACTTATAAAAAATCTTATTAATATCTACTAG